ATTAATAATTATTTCAAATAATTTATTTGTGTATATAATAGTATATAAAAATATATATTTTGTTTATTATGTAATTTTTGTGAAATAGATTTTTCTAATTAACGAACTATTTATATATGTAAATAGATTTTGAACATATTTTTTGATTTTATTTTTTATTTATAAAATAATATATATTTAATATTTGTAATCAGTGTAATACTGATTTATCTATTGTATACAATATTATATATTTATTGATATAAATATTTTTTCATTAATTATATTGATTTATTTAAAATTTTACATCAAAAAATCACATTTCCTAGACTTATTTAACTTATTTAATCGACACAATATACAGCTTAAAATAAGATTTTAATTAAAAAAGTATTAACTAATTTTAAAAATGTCATTGAATTTTATTTAGAAATACACGTCTACTATAAAGTAAAATATTGTATTTTTATAAATATTGCAATATATCTATATTTAGGATAATATTTTTACAGTTTGTTAAGTAAATTGTATAACAAAACAAAAATGTTGTTTAATTAAATAAAGACTAAATTAATAGGAAATAATTAAGAATAGAAAAAACCGAAAATTATATCATTTACTTAATTTTTGGTAAAAAGAAAACAATTTTTTCTAAAGTATATAATAGTCGAAAATTTGTGGATTTTTTGGCTAATATATAATTGTATGTATGTTTAAAATAATGCACAAATAAATACATAATAATCTATTAAATTATAAGGAAAAAAGCCATATTTGTGAGCATTTAAATTATGTTTAAATATTTAAATTAGAGATTATTTGTTTATTATTTAGTAATTTATAAGCGTAAAAATCAATTTAGTTGATTGTTTAATACATAAATTATTGCAATAAATATTTATAAGGTTAATATCTTAAGTGATTTCATAAATTGTGTTTTTTATTGTTTTTGTTTATTGCTTTCTTGTTGTTATTTGTTTTGTTATTACAAACATTGTTTTCAAATTCAAATTAAAATTCATTACAATAATAATTTGAGACAATTATCTCATACATATTGGTTAGAAAGAGAAAAAAAGTAATAAAACAAGAAATAAAAACAACTAAAACAACAACAAAATTGCTTTAATTTAATGTCAATTTTTAAAATGTCATTTGAAATTATATTCAAAGACATTTATAGTCAATTATATTTAACTATTATTTTATATCAAATATAGTATGATATTTAAAGTTATTATTATAATTTAATATTTATACAAATTTAATTTTAGAATAAATGTAGTGATTTGTTATCAATTGTATGATATAATAAATTTTATATAATTATTAAATTTAGTTTTTCCATAACAATTTATACATCAAATCATTGTTATTGATAATATTAATCAAGTTTTTAAATTAATTTTATTTAGTTTAGCTATTTTAACTTATTATAGTTTTTAGTTAAAAGCAACTTTTCTACAATTAGTTATGTTTTATTATTATTTAACTATTAAAAAATATAATCATATATAATAAATTGTGGCAAGATTTTAATGAAAATGTCATTAGATTACAAAATGAATATACTAAAGTAAATTAAATTAAATTAATCAAATGAAGCGATAAAATATTTCATATTATGATATTAAATAATTTAGACATTAAATTAATTTTATTTTAGCAAATAATTTTTTTAAATATATTAAATTTTAATATCAACAGGTTATACTCTTAAACTATGTTTATTATTTTCATTTAGTTGTTATTAATTTAAATGACATGTTATTAAATTTAATAGACTGTAGAGAGAGAGAGAGAGAGAGAGAGAGAGAGAGAGTGAGAGAGTGAGTGAGTGAGGGAAACCCCCTTTGAAAGTAGTAAACATTTGAGATAATAATACATTAAATTAGTTAATTTTCAATAAGGGTGCGTGAATTTGATGTTAAATTTTATTTTATTTTGACTCAATTTCAGTACATATTTTTTAAGACAAAAAATATTTATTAAAATAATACTAATAAATATTGAGTATTACAATTATTAATGCATTCAGTGATAAATATTTTATTTTATTTTTTTTCTGTAAAGCACCCAAATGTCATATCATATTATAATGTCATAAATAGAGTTAAATAATATTTTTTTTAAAAATTATTATTATGTCCTACGGCTATACGTTTGTGTGACAACTAAACATATTTTTCACAATTAGTTTTCTTTTGAAATTTTCACTGTAAGGTTCAGCCCTCCCTTTCCCTCTCACTTCACAAGTGCTTCTGTTTATTATTATATTAAATGTGTGATAATAACCACTCCTTTAAATTTGAATAAATATAATATAATTTTTTTATTATTATACTTTAATGACCCAAACTTAAGGTTTGCTTTCGTTTTTTTAAAAAAATAAATAAATTATACCTCAAGTTATACCACCTCTTCCTGATTTTTCTGAGACATTGTGTGTTATGAGTCGACACAAGATAAACACAATTACTATTTATTATTAGGAATGAGAGAAAAAAATAATTTGACATTAATTACATTATTATTAATAATAATTTAGGCAAAACTATGTGTTTAACTAATATTACATAACTATATTGAAATAGTAGACTAAGTTAGTTGGTGTGGAAAATCATATTTAAATTCATGAGACACCTCTCGATTTCAATCATTCAATTGTTTGACTTTCAATAGTAAACATACATTAATTGAAACATTGTTTTATCGTTTTTATTAAAAAGTTTGAAACAATTTATTTCCAATAATATAGAAATGTATACCAAAGTGCTTCTCAGTTTTGCCACACTATTGGTTGTGTTAGTTATTTACGTACAGTCTTTCGGTAAGTCAATGATTACCGAATACTATATAAATAAATATATATATATATATATATCTTCAATGACTAAAATATATACTATATATTGTATTTAATCTTTATATCTATTTTACCGATTGTACAGAACATGGAGAAAATGGTCCCTTAATTATTAAGACATCGGATCGACGAAACAAAAATAGCGATCTGTACGTCAATCCCATATCCGTCTAATACTTTCAAAAATATTTTATTTATTTATATATATATACACATCTAGTATAATGCTTGGCGGCCGTAATAAATGTGGTCACGGACCGACCATCATTAAATCGGGAAAACGTAGACATGGACAGGATTTGTAAGTACCGAAATGTTTAAAAACTTATCGATAATATTATTTTGTTAATTAATTATTGTTTGTATGTTAATGTTTTTTTTAAAAAAATAATTAATTATAGGATTCTTTTGGGCGGATCTAACAATTGTCATAAAAAGAAGGTTGAGCACGTGCCGGTGCACGTACCTGTCAAACAGTATGTGCCGGTGCCTTACAAAGAGACAGTCCACGTGCCCGTTCATATCCCCGTACATATTCCTGTGCACGTGCCAATGAAAAAAGAGGAGGGAGGCTATGGTGGTGGTGGTGGCGGAGATATGGGTGGCTTTGGCGGATACAATGACTTCGGTGGTATGGATGGCTTTGGATGGAGACGATAATTACCATCAGTTTTAGATTTTGACAAAAATATTATTTTGTGAAATCATTTTAAAAAAATAATTATCAATCAATCTATTTATTTGAAGAAAAAATGGTTTCGTCTACTCATTTGTTTATAATTTGAATACTTTTTAAATTGAAAAATCATATGTGATTATTCAGGGAGTTTTTTTTAATTATTTCTGGGATACTATTTATTTATATATAATTTTTTAAATATATATTTTTCAATTATACTCTACAATGTATTTATTTGCTTTATTATTGTTGTGTTAAAATTAGTCTACTATTTATTTTATTTTGTCATTGTTATCATTTATGTCCATATTTTTTGTAGTATTAAAATTTTGTTGATAAATTGAAAATTTATTTTGTTATTATTATATATTTAGCTAAATGTGTATTTATATTTTCAGTCAATAAAAATATTATTATAATAATATGCAATTCATATTTGTATGCATTTATTTAAATTAATAAAAATATATTTCTAACTAAAATAATTATTATTAACATTTGATATATAAAGTTTATAATGAATATAAAAATATATTTAAATAAATTTGTAAATATAAAGATTTCATTTAAAAATAATAGTTTCTAATAAATAAATTATAATATTAAAGTGTATTCATAAATTTATTGTTACTAATTTTATTAGTACTGTAAATGCATATGTCTTTTAGCATTTTTTACGTTTAGATATTTGAATAATAAAATAAATAAATATAACAAATAAATTAGTTTATATAGAATAATGTAATAAAATAATAACTAAATATATATTTTAAATGCATCATTGAAGCATAAAATAATCAATCACAATATAAAGTGTATTATGTTTTATATTTAATATTAGTATTTTAATAATTGCGAATAAGTCACGCAATAGGCTAGTGGTATTAAGTGTTAGAAATTTTCTAGAAACTTCCTATAATTGTTTATTTAATTTGATTTGATTGTTAATTTGATTAAAAACAATAAATTTACAATTACTGTATTAAAATATCATAATTTATATCTTATAACTGTATGTATATAAAACATTAAGTACATGTATATTTAATTTATTTTTAAAAATAAAAATTAACAATTAAATTATGTAAATTAATAATTTACAAACATTTTAAATGAATAATGTCTATATTATTAAAATAATTTTTAAAAATTGTATTATACTGTACCAAAAAATAATTATTATAATAAATTGATTATGATTGTATATTAATTATTAATTGATTAATATTTAGAAATAAAATTAAATTTATTATTTTCATAAACTTTATTGTCATACATTTTTAATAAAATATAACTTTTAAAAAAATTATTATTTAGTATAAAAATTATTTAATTCATGATTTTTTATATTTATTGAATATAAAACATTGGAATTTTTATTTAAAATTTAATTTGAATTTAATAATATTTTCTGATTAATATTTACTGAATAATATTTTTCATAATTAATGATAGTTTTAATAATAAACTATCTCTTTATAGGTGAACATCGGAGCGATGAAAGTGAAGTAACTGTAGATTTATTATATAATTATGATTAATGATTTTACAGTATATAGATTTGTATACATACTTATTTTATTTGTATAATTCATATATAATATAAATTGTTTTTATTTAATAAAATTAATTAACTATAAATTATATTTACCAGCCATTGACCATCTTTTTTATGCCATACACGGGTTTCCTCTCCCCGTGTGGTCACAACATTTCCATCTCTATATACAAATGTATATATATTTTAATTTCATCAATTTATATATATATATATATATATTAATTTAGTTTATATTAAATCTACTATTGTCAATTATCATTAAATATTGTGATTGTTTTTTAAATATTTGTTGATAAAAAAAATTATTTTGTCTATTTCTATTATAGAGAATTGTTTTCTAAAAACAATAAATATTTAATTAAAATAAATCAAAAATAAACAATTAATTTTTATATTTCAATTATCTACTAAAATAATTTGCTATTTTTAATAATAATAATAAATTAATGACATTTTATGATTTGACTCACTTGTCGACAGATTGGTTGAGCCTTACATATGCAATGACAGCACTGTTTGCATCCAATTTATGGACCACTGGTGACAATATTGATGTCCGTTTAGGCGCTTTGTCTTTGGCTAACACTGTGTGTATATATATGTGTTTAGTTTTGATAAATAGTTTTTATTGATTTAATTCAAATTAATAATTTAAGGCTTACATAAACGCACAAACAACACACATATACTCATAAACATACATATAGTGTATATACGGTACTGTTATACACACACACATACTGACAGTTTAGTTAATTATTTATATTTTAATTATACAAACGGATTAAATAATTAATTTGCAGATCTAATAAAAACAAATCCAATCAAATCAAAACACTTACAGTAATCAAAGTAAAACTTGTGAAACTCGACGCCAACAATATTGCCGACGGCTTCGGGTTCAAATGAGGTCAGATTGCGGTCAACTAATTTGGTGTACGAGTCGTAGTCGGCGGCGTTAATGGCAGTGATTAGGCGTTCAGTTAAACCGATAATCAATTGTTTGAATTCATTGTCTACGGCGGCACTCATTATGATTATTATTATTATTATTGTGTTGGCTATAAATTGTAGTTATTTTATATCAATAAATATTCATTTAAAAATTAAAAATTAGCACAATTGTTGTTTGCTTTTTTTAAAAATAATTGATAGTAAAATAGAAAAAGTATCAAGTAATTTTTTCCCACTAACGTTCAAAAAGTGATATTTTTAGAAAATTAAAAGATTTTTCAAATATAAATAAATATATATTTGAGAGAAAAAAATAAGTATTTCAAGAATTTTGTGTGAATTAGAGTATTGAGAAAAAATGCAAATAGTATTGTACAGTATAGTACTGTACTAATAGTAAAAGTTAATATATAAATTAAAAATAATTGGCATTTACTCAATATTATCGATTTTCACAACACAAATGTAGCGATGAATTTATATACAAAGAGAGAAAGAGAGACTATTATTTAAACTTTTTAAAAAATGAGAACAATTTTTTATTATATTAATAAAAAATCTAGATTTTTATATAAAAAAATATATAGAAATTTTATGTGATGTCTATTTATATTTTGCATTCATATGCATTATATTGAATTTATTGACTTATTTTTATACCTTATCTGACAGTTTTTTTAGCGATACTTTAGGCGATACATTATGTACTGTATTGACACATAATAATACTTCATTAAAATGAATAACATTTACTATTGTGTTATGTGTATGTATGTATGTATTATGTATGTACAGTATGTATGTGTGTGTGTTTATATATATATATATATATATGTGTGTGTTTGTGTATGTGTGTCTTATTTAACAAAAATAACAGCTATCAAGTGTCAGTAGCGGAGCCTTTTTTTGTTAGCATTGAATTATCTATTATATTATATCGTGTTAGTGGTTAAAGTTAATAAAAAAAATTATAAATATAATTAAAGTCTATTATACTATTGAATAGTATCCAAATATTATTTATAACAAAAAAATTTAGTCAAAAAAATATTTATTAATTATATAGATCTTGAAAATTGATATTTCATTAATTAAAAAGTTATAAAATGCTAAGTACTTGAAGTAACAAAAGCCCTTAAAATATATTAGCAAAAAATTGAAGATTAAATGTTAATCTAAAAAACATATCATATTTACGGATTAATAGCACTAATGGCTTATAAAAAGATCAAAAATAGACTTTCATAAAGAGTGGAAACCCCTGATATACAGTATTTATATTTTTTATGATTATATCTTTATTTATTAAATGATAGTTTTTTCTAAATGACAATCAATATATCAATATCTCATAATAATTATAATAAATTACCTCTAAATGTTTTACACGTATTAAGACATTATCAAACAAAATGACAAAACAGGACTTAAGAGGTCTTAAGTGTGTTTATCACACAAATAAAGCATTTATAATATTTAATATCTTAAGAGTAAAACTGAGTGAAAATGTCAAAAATATACCAAAATATTTGACAACAAATATAACAGTTTGTATTGTAATGTTTTTATCTAACATTTTCTTCTCTATTGTATTTAATATGTATTTTATGAAATGAAAATCTATTTATATAATTACAGTAATAAATGTTTAATGTAAGCGCTTATACAGTACAGTACTATATGTAAATTAACCTATTTTTCAAAAAATTATTTCATTTAGTGTACTGTACCTACAGTATTATACAGTAAATGGTAATAATCAATTAACTTTTATAATAAATTACATATTCATTGAATTCATTTATTTTTGAGATCTTAATTTAAAAGTTTTATTTATTTTCGAAAAAAATAATAACTTCAATTTATTTATATTAAAGTAATGTTTTATTTAAAATTATTTTTAAACAAATTGGTATATTGATATATAATATATATCATACAGTATTATATAATATATATTATAAGTTTTTATTATTGGAAACATAGAAAAGTTTAATTAGATAAGAAAGTTTATCTAAAAAATAATCACAAAATATTATGAAAACTAACAAATAAAAACAAAATTTATTATTTATAATATCATCTTAATAACAACATAATAATTGCAAACAATATAATATGATTATAATAATATGTGTATAGTAAATATATTTTAATGAAAACAAGTTTAAAACAACTTATATGGTACCAATAATAATAATAATAATTAAAATTATCATTACAATAAATATAAAAAATGTTTTAAATATATATATATTTGTATATAATATGTATGGTTTAAATTTTCATATTTATATATAATTTTAAAATATTTAATATTTATAATTAATAATTATAATAATAATATCATTTCCATTTAAAGTTTTATTCATTGCTTTGCAAAAAAGTTATCATATTAAGTGTAAAATTGCAACAATAATCATAATAGTAATAATTAATATTTTAATAATTAATTTTATGTGATATCATTGAAAAACATTGAGAATCAATTGATTTTTTTTAATTTATTTGTTTGTTTGTTTTATTTTTATTTGTATCATAATCTATTTGTTTGTTTTTTTATTTTTGTCGAGTAATTATATGAACAAATTGATTTTCTAAAACAATTGTTACATAAAATTTACTTATATTATGGATCAATAAGATTTTCTATGACTGTTATAAGTAGACAAACTCATCATTTGATTATTGATTTTAAATAAAATTTTAATTATTAATGTTGTTTTATTTTAAAATTACAATTTCTAATTTATTTTCTTGAGATTTTTTAAAAAATACATAAACAGTATCAAGTTTTCATAGATTTTGAAAAATAAATATTATCTCATTCATTATGATAATTGTGTGTTAATCAACTTATTTGTATGATAGATGAGCCAATGTTTTTATAGGATACAATGTTTAACAATAGTAATAATGGTTATATAGTTTCCTAATGTTTTCGTTTTTATTATAATCATTATTTTAAGTCAATTTAAGTATAGCTGCTATAAAATGATAGTAAAATATAAACACAGCTTTTGATTTTCAATTTTCTCATTTTACTTAAATTTCTGAATGTCTCCCAAAAAAAACTTTTTTTTTAAATATAATAAATTACTATTAATTTCAAAAAATTTGAATCTTATTTAAAATTTATAACAATATGTCTTAAGTTAATTATTTTTTTACGAAATATTTTAGCAAAAAAAATCTTATTAAGTTGTTATTTAAAATATTGAGTTTTAAAATGTATAACAATTCATAAAATTTTCGTTTCAGTATCTGATAATTGTTTTTAATTTTTGATATAAGTATAATGTAAATACAGTATAAATAAATAATACAGTATTTATTATAGTAAATAATTTTCTGTTAAAAAGATATTTCATAATATTATATAAGAAGTAAACGTTATTATCATAAGAAATAATCTTTTCGTAGTTTTTTTAAAAACAGATATTTTATGTGAAAAAAATCGAGAGAAAAGTTGAGATAATATTTGGTTTGAATTAATAATATTTTTTTTATCCGTCAAAACTGTAGTCCATAATAAGTTATTTAATATATTATTTAAATAGATATTATAATAATAATCTTGATATTATTATTAATATTATTAAATGGCGACATCAATAAAACAAAGTGTCAGACAAAGTATTGGATTTATTGTTAAATATTTAATTTTTTTTGGTGTCACCGGTTATATGTGTTTGGGTGTGGTGGTTGTAGGTATGAGCTCAATATATATATATGAGTGAGTTATTTTTCCTACCAGTCCAGTATTGAGTGTGCAATGAGTTTATGTATTAGAGATGTACATCAAATTTGTTTCATTTTTGGTATTTCATTTGTTCCGTTAATTTATAATTAATAATCGGGTTTTTTAATATAAATAATCGCTTAAACCTTAAATTTTAATTACATAACAAATATTACAGTATTTATTTATATATAAAAATGCCTTAATGGTTATTGAAAATTTTTATTTATATACTGTATATATATATTTATATTTATTCAATAATTATTTATTATCATATACCAGTAGAAATAGTTAAATATTTTTGTTTGTTTGGATTTCATGATGTCTTCATCATATTATAATAATATGTAAATAATTTTGTTTATTTGTAGCACAAGTAGTAAATATCGTGTTATATATATAGTATACATATATACACTAAAATTTACATATTTATAATGTTTTGCCACTGGCCTCGATAACCACCATATATTTTAAGGGTATTACTTGAAGCATCATTTCCGTCCTATTTTTAATTATTATAAATATATTAACAATGGTATACAAACTGATACCAAACATTGATAAAAATTCATTTAATTAATTATATGATAACTTTCTCAACATAGACGACATAACTCTCTTATAATTACAATATTGAATAATTAAAAACATAAAATTGTATAATAATTGTTATATTGATTTTTTAGATATATTTGGAAAATGATATTTTTAGGAAAACACATAATTTAACATTAATATTAATATATATATATTATAATTCAAATGAATGATATAATTATTGAAAACTCGATTTTTCATCACAAATAAAATGTATCCAAAAATTAATTTTTTGTTGTTTATATAATGAGGAATTTTTGTAAGATATTATTTAAGTAGTAATAGTAACAATAATAATAATAATAACAATAATTGGAATAAAATAGCGTTGTTTACTTGAAATAGTAATATAAATGGTTTGTAAAATTTGAGGAAAATTTCATGAAATATTCTCAATGTTTGAATAGTTTTTCAATAAACTTGATAACCAACTGTACCCTTCATCGTTTGAATCTCAAATACATCACTCATAATACACGATGTTTTGAATTATATTATATAAAATTGAATCATTTGAAAACATTCACATATTTTGAATTTTTAAGGTTTTTTTTAGCTTTGATTAAAATTTGTATAACAGTCTGTGTAATATTTATGTATATTACAAATAATAATTTATAATTATTAACACTATTATTAATTAATATACTGTATATATATATATTTATAAGTATTAAGTTATTATTATTATTATTATTAGATTATAATTGATGGCTATTTTGAAAGTCTTAATAAGTTAGTTGTTGTGTTGTATTAGAACGGGTAGACCTATGGAAGTGGCAGTTTTGCCAGGTGCCATCTTTTTTATGCCATACCCGGGTCTCCTCGGATTGTTGGGTATGAGCCACACCAGACCTAAACACAACAGTTTTAATTAATTTTTTTTGTTTGTTATTATTGTTAAAATTGTATATCTATTAAAATAAACAGTTTTTTTTGCTACAGATAAAAATATTCTGATATATTAAAAAAACAAAATAATTAAGTTTTTTTTTATTAAAACTATAGCTTATATTTTTTTTTTAAAAAACACCGTAATAATATTAATAATAATAAATGCATAATAATCTAATTACAAATAACATTTAAATATAAAGTTCATATATAAGTTAACAATAATGTTAATAATAATAATAATAATAATACTGTAGTCTAAAAAAATATATATACGTCTGAAATAATATTTGCTAAAATCATAAATAAATTATAAATAAAATTAAAGCAATTTATGAGGCCTTTCAATTCAATTATAAAGCCATATGACAACAAAATTAGATTTTCTTTTTAAGGGTTTAAGCTTTTTTATATAACTTAACTTTTATAACTATATGGTATATACAGGTTTATACAAAAAAATACATTCAGCACATTAAATACTGTACATAACTTACATACTGTTGTTTATAGACAATGATAACACACATACATTTAATACACTACACATTTACTGTACTATACTGTAGTATATTCTGTATTGTAAGTTATTTAAGCAGTTATAACAGTATTGTATAAATCTTAAAGTAAAATGAAATTAAATTTATAGAGCACTTACTTATCCATGTATTGCGTGAGTCGAATGTATGCGATACAGGCTTTTAGATATATTGAGATATTCAGTATAGGAGTGAATGGGAGAGAAAGAGAGAAAGTGAGAGAGAGATAAAAAATAATAGACAATAAAAAATAAAAAGCAATTATTAATTTTTTAATAACCTTTAATTTATATAACATAGTATATAGTTTAGTATATTATAACAAATATATATWTTTTTTATAGTACTATTAATATAATAATTGCTACATACAAATATATAAATGTACCATAAATTTATGTGATGTAGATTTTTATTATGTTTGTTTGTATATACTGTATATATATATATACTGTACTGTACTTTTATTTTGCAAAATTGTCATAATAATTCATATGTATATTTGTGTACTATAAGTTATAGTCAATAACCTACTGTACTGTATCCTAATACCTGCACACCCGATGCTAACATTAATATAAATATTTATAGAAAATAAATATGATAATAATAATAAAATATTAATAATAATAATATTGTTAATGTTAATAAAGAATTCATTGTAGGAATTTAGATAATAAGCTTTTCGGTGGAAAAAAACTAAAATATCAAATGATATAAAATTGTAAAAACTGCACAAATAAAATAATAATAAAAAATAATAATAAATATTCTGTTTATTTTAATTTACAATTCTCTATAGTGACCATTATATTAATATAAATTATAGTTATTTTTATATTAATATTATATATATATACGTGTGTATGTGTGTGTGTTTATGTTTGAATGTGCGTCAGCAAAGGTGCCACAATTGATAAGATTATTGTATTAAAAATAGTTTTAATAATATTAATATCTTATAGTAATATTAATATAATGCAATATAACTATTTATTATTATAATGTATGTCTCATACCTGCATCATCTCCTAATAGATGAACTGATGGATTCAAAATTGTTGTGTTGAGTCCTTTTGAATTTTTACCTAAAACTGTTTAATAATATAAAATGTCAAATAACAACATTAGTTAAACATTTAATATATGTTTTTTTTTATTAATATACGACACAAAAAAATAATTTGATTAATGTAGTCAAACTATATCTAAGTCATGATATTTAAAATGTACTAAAATGTATTAAAAATTATTAATTTATTGTATATAAATAGTAGATTTTTAAAAATATAATAAATCAAAAATTATATATAATATTCATAATTAATACTTAATACTGTATAATACAGTTAAATCAATTTTTATACATTATAGCACTTATAAATATTTATAAAAATATAAAATATTGATTTTTCAATAATGTAAATTTTAGTTATATTAGTTATTTAAATAAATTTATATTTATGTATAATAATATATATGTAATATACATTTTTGTGAATTTTATTCAATAAGAACTTACTGTAATAATTAATATATAATATTTGTTTATTACATAGAAAACTAAATTTTATCTAAAATAGTTTATCTTTAATTGACTGTACATAATAAAAAAAAAATTAATACAACAATAATAATAATAAATAATTACACAGATTATTGTAATTAATTTTCTCCAGATAATTTTATAATGTAACAGTTTTATTAATTTAGTTTTATAGTGTGTCAATAATATGTCATTTTGTACTTAAAAATTATAACTAATTTAATCAGCAATTTTTATAATTAGTTTTATTGAATGATAAAAAAACAAAATATCCGCCTCAGGATACAATTAAATTAAACATTTTTATGTTCATTATTAGGGATATATCTGATTCATTTGAACCATAAATTACTGATTATTAAAACATTCTGACATTACTGTAATAATAATAATAATAATAACGAAATCCTTATCGTTAGCCAGTTTATAACAATAGAAATTATAGATTCTTTTTAAAATATCATAAATTTGATTAAAAAACTATTTTTAGTTTACAAATCTTCAAATTTATATATCAAAATTATGTATTATACATACAGTATATGTGTATATATGTAATATATATGTATATGATACTAAGTATAGTTAATTGACATAACTCGTGATAGATTTTCTTTACTAAAATCAAATCATAGTATTACTTGTTTGATATTACTGTATAATATGATATATTTTAATTAAGTTTTAACTTTATGATCAATATATTAGAAATATATGACAGTCATCTACTGTATTATGTCATAATTTTATAATATTGACCTAAATTTTATTTGTTTATATCATTGAAACTTTTGTGAGTACTATAATATAATTAGTATAATACAAATAATAAATACAAATAAGAGTCGGTATATATAAACTAATTTATTCCCTATTCGTTATTAAAGAAAGTTTAAAGGTTAGGTCATTCTAAAAATAAATAGAAATTTTGTTATTTTATCGATTTTTATACCATATAAGAGTAAATATATTGAAGTAACTTAAATAAATATTTTACCTATTTTTTGTGTGTTTGTGTAAAACACTATTATTTACTACAGATTTATTGTATTAAATAATAAAGTATTACTTAACTAAAAAAATTTAATAAAAAAATTAATAATAATATGATTATTATTATTATTTTTTAAAGTATAATAAATAATAAAATTTAATTTTAAATAATTTAGTGATTATAAATAAAACTAGACATACCATTATCAAAGTAAAATTTATGAAAGTCCATGCCTTCGACTAGATTGCCGAGAGCACCCGGCTCAAATGCAGTCATCTGGGAATCACATAATTTGGTATATGTTTCATAATCACCGCTACTAATGGCGTCAATTAATTGCTCAGTTATTTTGACAATTTCTTGTTTGCGAGCTATACAACCCACACACACACACATATAAATGCAGACAAAAAAAATATTAGATTTAAATAAATATCTATTAAATATTAATGAATTTATTATTTTTATCAAATATATTGATGAATTTAATGTATTTTAAAATACATGATTTACTTTATTATTGATTTTCTGTTTAATATTTATGTATATTTTAAATATATTATATCTTATGAAATGTGAATGATATTAATGTAATCTGATATTAGATACTATTAAAAATATATATATTTTGAATTTCTTAATGTATAATTCATAAAAATAATTATAAAATTTCTATTACATATTCTTTAACAAAAAAAGATTATATAATGTATTAATGTTAAAACAAATATAAATAATTAATATATAAATTTTTATTGCTATCTTAAACTTAATATCTCTTATAAAAAAAACTAAAATTTAATTATCTTTCAACTAAGATTAATTTTATATATCCATATATTCTATATATATCTTAAAGTTATTTGATTTACTAATGATAAATAACAGTATACTGTAGATAAATACAATACAATCTACGAAATAACATAACAACAAATGATAACAATAGAGAAATGGAAATAAAACAAAATAAAGAGACAATACTAATAGATTGGGAAAATAGTAAAGAAAATATGATAGAAATATGATAGAAATATGATAGATATGATAGATAGAGAGGTAGACTTACGATCTAACAAACCATTGGAACTCCGGACTACTGTTTAAGGCACAGGTATTTTCATATTTCATTTGTTTGGCAATCGTTTTCATTGGAGAGATACACATAAATCGGAAAGTTTGGTCAGTGATAGATATACAGTATATATATATAGATTAGTTGGATAAAGATAGACATGAAGTGTTCAATAATGAGGAGATTCATTGCAGTTATTGATCAATGAATTTGATCAGATCATAGGTCATATGTGTAATCAATGGATATATATAAAAAAAGAAAACAATGATATAATGTAAATAATTTATAATAATTTCAATGTTTTTATTTGTTCAAATCAATTAATTTAATGCTGTTATACTGTATATAAGGTAAATAAGTTAGGTTTGGAGTCAAAAAAACATTGTTCAATAAATTAAAAGGAAATGAATTTGTTTAGTTAATAAAGTGATTAATATACTGTATAACGCATCAAACATATATTTAAATTTAAAAAAAAAACATTTTTACTCGTATTATTAATTTTAGTATTTAATTTGTTATCATAAATAAAAACAACAACAAAAATACTAGTAAATAGCTAATAAACTAATATTATTGTCTATAAATAATATGATAACTATAAGTATATCAACAAATAGTAATACTAATAGAAATAAATATAAAGTATTTTAACAAACCTTTGGCGTCTTCATCCTCAAGGGTTGTATTACTAGAATCAGTTGATTCCTTGACGTGAGAGCCGTCACCCTTCTTGGCTACTATTGAACGACCTGTTCATCACAATATGGATACACAATATATATTTATATATATTTAATTAGCCAATTGACTGATTGTTTGTTTGTTTGTCTAATTAAGTTTGTGTATGTGATTTGTCACAAATAAATGTTTTAAATGTTGTTATCAAGCAATTTATTTTAAAAAAACAAACAAATTAAATAAGCAAATAATGATTAGTTTTTTTTCTAATTTACTATTTTTTTTGTTTCTACAATATTGACAAAATAAAATTATTAATATAAATAAATCTATATATATTACATTCTGTATGCTTGATAAATTTGATATAATTTTAATTTAAAAATAGATATTTAAAAATTACTATATTATACTTGAATTTAAATATAAAAAAATATTTAATTAGTTTCAACGATACTTATGTGGCAAACAAAATACTTGAAAAATAAATTAATAAATTTTATGTTTATGTATTCAATTTTCTTTTTGATTATTATTATTTTGATTTAAATTTAATCTCTCAGACATATATAATATTAAATTGTTTATCTGTCACGTATTTTTCGAAAAAAATTTCATATATATTATTGGTAACAATAATGCCATAAAAATAATATTTATGTAATGTTTGTATACATAAATAAATCTAAACAAATTAAATGATTTTTGCTGGACATTAAAATTCTAGTCATATTTTTACTTATGCAAATTTTTATTATTTATCATAATATAAAGTAATAGTAAAAATGATAGTTTCATAATAAACAAAATTAAAAACAACAAAATTAGTTTTAACATATAAATTACAGCAACATTGAACTTATGTTATATATATTTATATTATATATAAATATCATATAATATTATATTTATATATCTATATATTTGGTTTAAAACAACAGTAATATTATTACAATTTTTAAATTAAAATTATTTCAGTATATAATTAAAATAATTTATATATATTTTTTATATAGTCACATATATGAACGTTAAACGTGCAAATTACTATTTTATTGATTTAGACATTAATATTTTATCAATTTTATGTATGTGTATAATATATTCAAACAAAATACAGTTTACAGTTATACTTTATATTTAAAAATATAAAAGCAAATGTATTATACGGGTATTTAAATTATAATAATAATACTCGTGTGAAAAAACAATATAATGGCTTTATATTTAAAAGATAGGCTTTTAAGGAACTAAATGTTTTTATACTTTTATATAAAAAACTAGTACTTAAGTAACGGTGAATATTGAATACAAAATTTAATGTATGATTTTTTAAAAATTATATAAATTGCACTTTTAAACTCATAATAATAATCTATAGTTAAATTTCATTTAATAACAACAATTTTAAATAGTTATGAAACCTTGCTAAATTTATTTTTTTTAATGTAAATTCTCTTATATCTGTAATATCTTATATTTCAATTTATAATTTCTGCGAAATAACTAAAGAATATTTTAAAATATAAATAATAATTTCTAATAAAATGATTTAATTGTGAATTGAAAAGTAGGCTTATATATTTTACTTATATGTGTTCATATTTAACGATAAATTTATATTTATATAATTTTTAAATTTATAAACATATTTTTTTATTTAGAAATCTTGTTAAAGATAGTAGAGTTTAGTTATATATTAATATATATGCTTTATATTTATATATCCAATAAATTATAACAGATTATAAACTCAGTTAAAGTATATTAAAAGTAATATATATATATATACCATAAGATCAAACAATAAGAGTTCTGTAATGATATGATTATAGGGAAAAATAATAGCAATTCGTTGCATAAATGCTGACATGATATCAATGTTGACATTTTTGCTCTCTTTCTCTCTCTCTTTCTTTCTCTTTGATATTTTTATAATAAAATATTTGTTGCAAAACTAAAATTTGTTTTTTTTGTTGAATACAGTACACTACTGTACGGTATGGTTGAGAAGCGGCCTATCATTATCACGAATCGACAGTAAGAAACCTGATGTTCCGTTAATAAACATTTATATATCCAAAAGAAAATCCATATTGAATAACATATAAAGAAAATTAGATATTTATTTTCACTATACTTTACTTTTGTTAATAATAATATTAATTGATTGTGAAAGAGAAAGACAATACAATATATATATATATATTTATAAATAGGAAATGAAAAACTGTTTGTTAAATATATTACAGTATTATTATATATATATATATATATATATATATATATTGATAGATAAATGGGAATTGATTAGTGAGCTATTTTCCACAGTAGATAATTATAGCAAGTTTAGAGAGAAAAAACAATACAACAACTAATGATCTCTTATTTATAAATTAAGAGTCAAATGACAAACTCTTATGTATACAAATAGTACACTTAATGTTTAAGCATTGTATCTAATTTTGTAATTTAAGAATATTCTGTGAATATATATATATATATATACTGTATATAATAGTGACTTATTTTGCCTTTTTCTGTATAAAATTCTCGGCAATAGAAATAAAATTCCTTAGAAAATAACATATAATATATAGATTGTATTATACATATACCGAGTGATAGTATAAATAAAATTAGATTTTTCTTTGAATTAAATAAATAGTAAAAATCCAATTTATTCTTATCATAAAAAACTGTATTATATAAATATACTGTAAAATTCACTCTTATGTTCACTGATTTAGTGAGTGAGTGACTGTGTGGTTGACTGATAAAGTGAGTGAATGAGTGAGTGAGTGAGTGAGAGAGAGAGAGAGAGAGAGAGAGAGAGAGAGAGAGAGAGAAAAGATCTTTTAAATATTTTTTTTTCAAAAAAATGTTATCTTTCTGTGAAATTTTATTATGGTTTATAAAAATATTTTTGCCATTTTTGGTAACATTTTCATAGTATTTATGTTAAAAAAATTTAATATAAATGAAACATATGCTTGACTTTCAATTTTATAATTATTAAGTTATTATTTATATTAAATTTATATGTATAATAAATGTGTAATATATTGTATGTATAGCTTTAATGATATGATCATATGTACTACTGTGTGTTTATATGTAGTGTATAAATGATATGTACTGTTTGACTACTGATAATAAAGCTTGAATGAATAGCAAATATTTATTATTTTCAATTATTATTAATATTTTAATTTAACAATTATTATTATCATCTTTTATTTTGAGATGTTTATTAATTTTGATAATATTAATTTACAAATTATATTTGCTCAAATAATTTTTAAGTATTGATAATAATAATACTAAAATACAATAATAATTTTACAGTCATAATTCACTAGCGATTCAAATATGAAAACACATATTAAAATATATAAAAACTTGTTTTTTTGTTTCTATTGAAATATTTATCAGATTTTATATCATATATCATTATTATTGAGAAAATAACTAAATTTTTAATTATTTAATGTTGTTTTATCTGTTAAAATATTTATTTATATAGTCGTCTCACACCATAACAACAACTACAACAACAAAAGTCGACTCAAAAATCACTATCTCTTTCATTGTCATTCATTTATCTTTTTATATACTGTATATACCATTACTATCTTTATTTTTATATACAATACATACAGTAATATATTTGTGTATTTTTACTATCTTTATGTCTTGTTTTCAATATTTATTTTTACTTAACTTTCCACTAAATAAATAAAAAACAATAATAATATAACACAAAAAAAGAGAGACTACTACTTTGCGAGTCTTCAAACAATTCATTCACCATTGCAACAGAAAGAGAGAAAGAGAGAGAGAGAGAGAGAGAGAGAGAGAGAGAGAGGTGATGTGTGTGTCTATCGTAAGGCATGAGAAAATAGTCAAATAAAATAGCGAATCATTAATCAAATGAAGGAGAAGTGGTGGTAAAAATTAGAGGACATTGTGTTTCTGGAGATTGCAATTGCTATTTGCCATCACTTATGGCTTTTAACCGTTTGATATCAATGTCGTTGTCGTCACTGAAGTCATCATATGTTGAATTCTTATCATTTCTTATTTTAGTCTTATTTTGTTCACTAAAAGCACTGGTAATTGATTTTCTGTTTGATATAACTCTCATCATATTATACTGTATGTGATATATATTCTGTATATAATCTATAGATGTATATATTGTGTGAACATTATTACTGCAGCTATTCTTTATGATCCAATCTATCTGTTAAACCACATATACATAAACATTATACGTATATATACTGTATATATGTATTATATATATGTTTATAACATCTTACTGTATATTTACTGAGTATTGAGTAATATTTGTTAAACAAAAGCACGAAATTTTGTTTTATTACAACAAATGACAAATTATTTACTGTTTATTAAATAAAATCATTTTTATTCATTAGTCAATTATTTGAATTTCTGTCATTTCTCTTTTATTTTATGATAAATTATTTAATTAAAATATGTTTAATAATAATAAGTAATTAAAAATTGTAGTAATAGTCACATACATATATATATACAGTATATACTATATAGAATATTCATGTATAATATTAGCTTAGATGTCTATTATTCACAATCAATGTTAATTATAGAGAGATATTAATAAAATTATTGTATATTTATTTTAGTTTTTTGTCTTATAAGTTTGATATATAAATTTATATATGATTTGATGTGTTTGAGTGTATATGTATGTGTGAGTGTGAGTGGGTATATGTGTTACTAAACTCTATTACTAAACTAATCAATATTAATACTATTAAACATATCCACAAAGTATTAAGAATTATTGCATAAAATGCAATAAAATAAGAAAATTATGATAAATATAATATGATATTAGCTGTTATTTATTTTATTAATATAATTACTATATTTGTAGAGTAAATCTTATAAATCTATGAAAATTGTGAATACATTTCACAAGAAAACATCTGATATATTAAGAATATTATATAAATTATTTATTTATTTATTGTTAATTTATTGTAAATATTAAAATAATTAATATATCTATTGCTTATAATTAGATTATATAATTAGTTTTAATAATTTTCATAAAACAATATTATATTATTTATTGTTACATTTCAATAAATATTTAAATATAAAGATATGTTAAGTTATTGTATATATATATATATAATATTTTGACATCTAGATTGCTAATATATTTAATTAAAATTTTTGTAATATTTGAAACATTGAGCTTATAGTTTGCAATATCATATTTATTTATTAATTAATTGAGCTCACTATTAGACTCATCATACACAATTAGCACATTTAGTTTAATGGACAACAATAAATTTGATACTCGATATTTGATATAAATAGATAAATGGCCCTATAAACAGCATATACTGTATATATATAAATTTATATATATGATACATATAAAATTATATTTAATTAATTGAATCACACAAGTATTGGACTTAACTAATATCAATGTTTTTGAAATTGTGTTATATTTAGTATATAAAAGGAATGATGGGAACAAAAGTTAATTAACTTTAACTAAAATATTTTGAGTTAACGAGATTTTAGTTTTTTATGAAAATTTTCATATTTTTAGTCTTATCTCTGAATAATAATCAAAATATTTTAAATAGTTTTAAAATAAACTGTATATATATATACTGTATATATTTAAAAGTCATAAGATTTTGTTACATAATCACAAATATAGTTATCAAGTTATTAGCACTCATAATGTGAGAACAAATTATTAAAAGATATACAGTATATCCCAATAAAATATCTATATATTTATGATAAAATTTATGAGATAATTATATCGTAATGTTTATCTTTATATATTTTATATTAATTATAGCATCAAAATATAATGATTGTATTTATATAACAAAAATTATTAATAGTTAAGTAAAGTATATTATTAGAAATGAATTATTGTTGTTAAATAAATAAAATATAAAATATATGTTAACAATAAACAAAACAAAATTAGATTAAATTAAATCAATTCTTTCTCTTTTTTTTGTTGAAAAAACATGCAATTAATTAAAATGATTGTTAACTACTGTTGATTGGGATCGGACTGCGAGTGACCGGCGCCGTCACCGACAACAGCAGCAGCACTGGGACTGGGACTTCGATCGGTTGAGGACTTGGACTTACTAGAAAAGTTGCGGGTGGCCAACATTGTGGTCAATATGGCGCCCTTGAGTTTTCGGCGGGCATTGAACTTCTTAAGGCAGTCTACCGTCTCCTGTCTATGGAGTGTCGAGGCTACCCGTTCTCGTTGACAGATCCACGGGTGTTTCAATGCCTCGGCCGCTGTGATACGTTTGGCCGGATTGACGGTCAGCATCGAGTTTATCAGGTTTTTGGCTTCGGGTGTCACGGTATCCCATTCCGGTGAGGGATACTATATCAACAACAAAACAAAAATTTATATATATATATATATAAAGTATACAAACATCACATCCGTAACAATATTGTACAGTTCAAACAATTTGTTTGGTTGTAGTTAATGTAAATATATAACAATGTTTTCATTTTTATATATATATGACAGCAAACAGACGTCCAAAATATCGATTGACATAATATTGAATGCAAATATTTGTTGTTTTGTTACCATTTATAGAGTAAAAAAAAGTATTTTTGATGTTCATATGTGATATGAAAAGAAAAGATTATTGAAAAATGTAACATTAATATAAATACATACAATATAAATACAGTAATATAATACAATAAATTTAATATTATATAAAAAAAATTGAACCCATCACTCATACATCATAAGCTCCGGCCTTTATTTGTGCATAAAGTCTGTGCTGATCCTCGTCCCAAAAGGGTGGGTAACCAACTAATAGTATATACAGTATAACTCCTGTATCGTAATGACAAAAAATAGTATATTATTAATGACAGCCCACATGTATGTCAAAATTGTGTGATCAATGGTCTCATACCACAGGCCCATATATCGACGGGTTTGCCGTATGGGTCCTTCTTTAGCACTTCAGGCGATAAATAGCCAGGAGTTCCGGCAAAGCCTATTAAAAAAGGACAGACATATCAAATTCAATAAGACGTGAATGAATAATAGATTGTATTTATGAAACTGACTTATAATTAGCGATACAATATAATAATTACTCTTTTTCTTAGCGCAAAACAGTAAACATAAGTTATAGGTTTTTAGTTTATTAAGCAGTATTAGTGGTGTGTGTGTCTAATAAATGAGAAAACTATGTTTCAATTGTTTAAAAGCTCAAAATGATAATAAATAAATTGTTGAAAGAAATGAATTGTGATATCTAACACTAAACATATAAATCAACACTTAATTCATTTTAAGATCTACAGTATTTCATTGTTAAGACTATAAACTAAAGTGTATTGATTAGAAAATAAATTAAAATGGACCATGGTTCATTTTTCATATAATAAGTTACTGATTTTATGTGCTATTAATATGATATAAGTTTGATAACAGTGTATTTATTTGAAATAATTTTTACAGAATATTCTGGAAATTATTATTATTAAAATTATACATTTATTTTAAATGGAATAATAATTTTTTGTTATTATCGTTCAATATATTCATTTATTTTAACATAATTAATGTAAACAATAAATAAAATATTTACTATTTTGTAGTAATAATCATTATTAATGTGTTTTATGTAAATTATCAAATATGAAAAACATATTAGAAATATTGCTTAACAACAAAACCCAATTAGAAAACTATAAATACACACAAATATATATATCGATTATCATGATTATCATGGATAAGGCAATATATAATATATATAAGTTATATAGAGGAATGTTATGTGTTGTACATACCATACCAAGCCTGTTGCTCGCCTTGTACTTCAATAGCCAGTCCAAAGTCAGCTAATTTAACGGCAGCGCCTTTAGCTTTACTCGCTAGTAATAGGTTTTCAGGCTGTTATTGAAAAATGAAAATATATTATATATATATATATATATAAACAAGAATTACATACATTTTACAAAAAAAGACAAACAATCGGTAATCAATAGTCACATAAAATTTGTTGTTAACAATTGTGACTGTGTGTGTGTAGGTGGGTGAGTGGGTGGGTGAATGGGTTTTATATTAATATATGCTTTTTAAAGAAACGTTTTAGACTATGTGTCAAATAAAATATTTCATATTTTCTATGTGTAAATGTATATTTCTATAGTATATATACATTGTATGCATTCAAATAATTTTTCACGCATTTTCAAAAATATATCGATTTTTCCGTAACATTTATTTTATGTTAAAAATTTTTTGTTAACTTAAAAGAAAAGTCTGTTCAGATTTAACTGATATTTTATGAGTTAAAAAACAATTGACATTTATTGCTGACAAAATTCACTTGATATCTATGTTTATTTTATTCATAATAGTATTTAAAATTGACTTTTATTATTACATTACATAATAGAAAACAAGACATAAAAATCATTAAAATGCTAAATTGTGTGATTGTTTTTTGTTTTATCACAACATAGTTAACTGTATACCTGATTACTAGACACCTGATGATGCTATTAAGCACTTGTATCTAATTGTATGTGTGTTTTATATATATTTACTATCATTTTATATGCTAAATATAAAAAACAACAAAAACACGCTCCAAGAAAATAAAACAAAGCATTAATATTTTTTTAAACACAAAACAATTTATATTATACAAAAAATGTCTCAAAAATTACTCTATATGTGTGTGTGTTTTGTGAACAATAATTTATAATCATTAATATTACTTTAAAACTTATATGTCGTCAGTTCATTAAGTATAGAAAGAGATGTGTTTGAAAAAAATGATAAATATTTTTTGATATTATATATGTTGTTTTTTAACAGATATTAATGATATTTAACTCACAATTTTAAAACCCATATAATACCAGTAAAATAAAATCTATCAATACTATCTACGTATATAAGTAACAAAAGTGTAAATTGTTATTATAATAATTATAATAATGATAATAACATTTCTTGTCAATTATAGAAATGTATATATCTCTCCAATGTATTCAAAATAACAATAAAAATAATAATATAATATATAAATATATACTTTATATTTATATATTTAAAAGTAGAGCACATTTCACAGTATTGTATACTATAATACAGTACTACTCTACCAATTATCAAAAATTAAATTACTATTTGATATTAAATTGTACATTAATATTGATAGTTGAGAAATGGGGTTTTCATATTTACTATAATATTTAGTATTATGTTTATTTGAAATATTTGTAATACTTTGTAATATTTAAAAAAAATATAATAGCAATATAAATTGATAGATATTATAATATAAAAAAATAATAATCAAATAATAAAACTTACTTTGAGATCTCTGTGTACTATATTATTCATATGGCAATGATTTACAGACTCGAGTATCTGTTGTATACAATGGGATGCATCGGCTTCTGAATAGTACTCTCGGGCGACAATGTCCTCAAAGAGTTCACCGCCGGTAACCAAATCAAAGATTAAATAATGAAAGCCTTCCTCTTGGATGCTGTCGTGTAACCGAACTGTTCAACAAAATTCAAAATATTTAGACATTTACTTAATTTATTATAATTTAAATACAGTCTGTAATAGTAGCGATAGTTAAAAATAAAAATCTTATTAATTTCTATATTTTCATTTAGCATTTTTTTACTCATAGTTTTTATGTTTGCAGTTTTTTTTGTCGGCACTACTATTAGTAAAATCTATAAATTATTTAATTAAACTTACACAGTTACTGTATAGTTTATATAAATATATAAATTTATATCTAATGTGTTTGTACTGTGTATATGTATATATGTGTGTGTTTGCCTATCACTCACTATCTATCAAAAGCAATCAATAATTCAAATAAATGTCACTGAAAATACATATATAAATTATTTACTCATATAATCCCATTGCTTAGACATCACAACAACAACAACAAATGTTGTTCAAAATTGATTAAGACTCTAATGTTTAATGATTACTTTTGTGAGGATTTAAAAACTAAATTATCATAATATATTAGATGGTTATGATTGTGTGTGTGTGTGTGTGTGTGTGTGTGTGTACGCTAAGTATATAATCGTTGTTTTTTTATTTGTATGAATTTTTTTATTTGTAATATACTGTATAGTGTGTAATGTTTGTTATGTTATATTTTTATTATGTTCTCAATCATTTAACCAAACAAACAAATAGCATTAAATTAATGCAAAATATCTATAGTTTTTTGTGTGATATGCAATATATATTTTTTTGGGGTAAGTGTTTGCCATCAAATCATGTATATATCATATATTTATATATAATACATAAGATTCTTACTGTTTTAGTACAGTACATACTCGGCTATATTGTAAAAGATAAACTACATTTATTTTGAAACAAAATTTTTTTATGCTTTATTGTAATATTATATCGTATATGTGTGAAAGTTATTCAAATAAAGCCATAAGATAGTAGAGAAATTGCATTAAAATTTATATTCAAAAATTCAGTGAAATGTTATTTTTTATTTTACTTGATTTTTTCCACAAAAATATGATCTATATATATATATTCTTATTTTAATAAAAAATATATTGAAAATTTTACACACATTTTTTAAATAACTATAATTAAGACGTTATGCAAATTAAAATTGTATAACAGTATAATAAAATAGTATATAAATATTAGTATTGTATTCATAAATTGCTTGGTACACAAAAAATTTTTTTTAATTATAAATTATTTCAAAACAATATGCAATTCCTTACCAATGTTTGGATGATTTAATTTTCTACAAATTCGTGCCTCTCTTTCCAATTTTTGAAAATCTATAAAAAACAAATAAGTCAAATATTATATATATGATTTATATATATATATATACGGTATATACTATATAAATCTCTACAATAAAAATGAATAATAAATTTTTATGTATACAAAATAAGTACACAACACAGTAAATAATGACATAAAACACAATTCAAAATAAATTGAATTTTTGTATTATATTTTTTTATATACACCATAGATATAAATATGCTGCATATTTTGATTATAAATCCCTGGTTATATATCGTAATTTATTTTTGTTATATTGTATATAAATTGCATATTATATGTCATATAATATAACTTGTATGATAAGTGTATATTTCATCATTTATATAATGTAAAAGTTTCATGAATTTATTATTAAAAACATAACATTTATAAATAAATAATAAATTTTAATATTGGAAATTATTCTATTAAATAATATTGATCAATTTTGATACTAAATAATGAAATCATAAAACTTTAATTAAACAAATATGCAAATTAAAAACATTATCATTTACTTTAAATTATTTGATATTTTTAAATTTTGTTAGCATTAAAAATATTAGAAATTATCAATTAATAATATATATTTAATAGTTATTTACATATAAATTGTCTTTAATATTGATATTAAATACAGGTTGTTATTTTTTAAAAATAAATAAAACATTTAGAAATATTCAGAAATTTTTTTATAATAATAATAATAACATAATATGTAAATTTGTATAAATATATATATAATTAATTAGTTAACGACAGAAAGTTTTAATGTAAAATAAATTACATTTGTTTGTTAATTATTTTTGCAAAATTAACTACTAACTTATTTCAACATATGTTACATTTATAAATTTTGTTTTTAGTTTTTTTTAAACTAAGCAATATTTCATTGAATTAATTTAGTTTGTATTTTAATAATTTTTATTGTGTTGTTTTACTACTGGAAAAAATAACTTTAATGATATAAACTTTATAAAATTGATATCATAATTTAGTAAAGTTTGCCGGTCACGTTTAATTTAAGTTATATTTCTAAAAATTTATTTTTATTGTTAAATTTATTTGTTTTACTATATACAATATACACTTTTCATTCAATTACTAATTTTTTTTATGAAACTAGTTTAAAATATATTATCAAGATTATAGATATTTTTTATTTTAAAAAAAGATCTTATTTTAAATAGTAATTTATTTCTACAAAAATAAAATGATGCGTGTATTTACTATATAATTGTAAAATATTTATAATGCTGTATTATATAATAAAAATTTATCTAATCTATGATAAAAAGTTGTCTTATTTGCTGATATCATGCCTATAGCTATATTATTATCATTTTTATTATTGTTATTACAAGATAACCTAGAGTTATGCAAATTAAAGGTTTGTTTACTTTACACTCACAAAAAACAATGATTAAATTTAAACATAAATAATTAAAATTATTAAAGTGTTATTAAAAATATTTAATTAAAAAACTAATCTTATTATTATATTAATAGTCTATTTTTAAACATTTACTATACATTACACTTTCAATCAATTATTAAAAATATTTTTTTTGTTTAATTTTTTAAATGCATTTTTAATAAATTAAATACAAAATAGGTCTTAAGTTAAAGTGTTATATATTAATATAAAAATTTATATTATATATAAATTTTATATGTATTCATTAAACTTGATTACTTTATTTAATATATGTCATCAGTCATTACTTAAAAAATTTAATTGTAGACACGATCACAATAAATATAAATATATATTATGATATACACTAAATTTTGTTATTTATGACATAACTGATAAAACTAAGAAATTGTATTATTATGCATTTTCAATAATTTAATTTACAATATATATCTATATTTAGATTATTAAAATGTATATTTTTTGAATTGAAATGATTTTAATTGAAATTTAAATTTTAAAATAAATATTATAGTTTACTTTTATTTCGTAAATGCATTATTATTGTACATTCACTTTGTTTCTCACTCTAAATGTACAGGAATTTACTAATTTAAGAGTCAGCAAAAATAATATTACTTAACTCWCTCTCTCTCTCTCTCTCTCTCTCTCTCTCTCTCTCTCTTTATTATCACTTTCTTTATCACTCACTCACTCATTCATTTAGTAACTCACTCACTCACCAAAATGTAAATATCTATTTATTAGAAGCAAAATATTGCATATATATATACTGTATTGTACTTATGCAGTAATATAAAACTAAAAATAAAATAAAATAAAAATGCAAATGCGAACATAATTTATAGAAATACTTAAATTTAGACTAATTGTACACTTTTTATGATATCACCCATAATTGTTAGCCCAATGACTATTAGTGTATATATATTGTGTATAAATGAAAATATTTAATAGTATGAATATATACAGTATATATCAATAGTTTAGTTTTAAGACCCAAAAAAATCGATTTTCAAAGTTATGTTTTTAATAACAATGTGTATGTATTTGTAATATAATTAATGAACTATAAACTACTCTATGAGAAACACATAAAAATTCTTATATAAGTTTATATAGTTTTCAATTGTGTATTATATGCCAAAACAAAATTATTATTATTATTATTGTCTATTTTCTACACAAAATAAAAAAGACATTTATTATATTATAGCTATATTATTATAATGAAAACTCATTCACACATCACATATAGTTAAGTAAAAAATATTTAAAATATAATTAATTATAAACAGTTAAAACTATTTGACATTATCTTTTTTATTTTGTGTTGTCTGTTTATATGTGTTAAAAAATAAATGTAAATATTTTGCTAAAATAAAAATAAATATATATAACAATCTATACATGTATGTATTTATACACTATTTATATATATACATAAAGTATAATAGTACTGTATATAAATATTCTTTCTATAATATTAACAATATCTTAATAATTGTAATATTATATTAAAAACAAATAGCTAATAACAAGTCATATAACAAAATCGATAACATGAATATATAAAATTAATAATAAGAAAAAATAAATATTTTTTTTCATATCCATGAATTAAATAAATTAAAAATACAAATAATAATCATATAAATTTATATATATATATTATATATAATATAATATAATTTTACAACAATAAAAATGCAAATTTCACATTAACAGTATAATTTCTAACATTTTCAATAAATAGATTTGGAAATGAAATAAAATTTGATAAAATTACAAAATAATATATATATATATATATAAGATATAATATAATGGACGAACCTCTTGACGATAATTTTTTGGTATTAATTATTTTTGCCGCAAATTCTAATTGTGTTGCTTTTTGTACACATCGTCTCACTATTGAAAACGCGCCCCTAATTTAATGGATTAAACAAATTCATTAGTTAATTGCATAATATGTTTGAAAATAATATGACGACCACCACTACCAACAATAACAAACAATTTTTGTGTTATTATTATCTCTAAAATAATATTATAGATATTATATATATGTATGTATATATATATATATGTATGTGTGTATTTGTAAAAATATTAATTTTACTAAAATAAATATTAAAATAGCATTATTTGTTTTTTAAATAAATAAATATATATATCCTATTTATAAATTTATTAAAAATAAAAGTTAATCAATAATTTTTGAATTATTAATATATATATATATATATATGTATAAGTATTTATAATAAAATTTGAAAGAACTAGAATTTTATGTTATTTTTGTTTTTATAATAATATAATCATAATAAACAAGTTGGAAAACCTGTATAATATTTATTGCCTATTTAAAGTTTAAGCTTATCTAAATATAATCACATTAGTAGTCTATAATTAGATGTGAATGTATATGTGAGATATATATATATTTCATTAGGTATTTATGAAAAATACAATAGCAATATTTTTTTCGGAAAATTGTAAATAAATAAACACAATGTATATATGTGTTAGTGTGTATGTATGTGTAAATATCTGCAAACATACAGTGTATATAATGAATATACAGTATATATACAGTATATCTGTATATATATATATAATATACATCTGGAATATATTTTTCAATTCTGAAATCAATGGAGAATCTGAGTGTACGGTATATACTGTAATAAATAGTATAACAGAACTGATGATCAAAATTATTTGTCTGCATTAATGCAGAATATATTATAATTAAAGTAATGATGAAAAAATGTTTGGTGGCATATATGGGTATTATAATAAAAGTTTTTTAGGTTTACATACTTGCCCAGTTCCTCCTTGAGCTCATAATTATCAGAGAATCTGGTCGTAGCCTGTGGTGGACCCGCCATTTTACTCTGGCTTGTATACCATAACACACACACACACACTAGTGCCGACTAATATTACTTACTATACCAATCCATACATACACAACAACACACATACACTCAAGAATAATACTGTTTATACCATATATATGGTATATTTCTCTGTGTGTATGCGTATATGTGCTATATATTCAGTGAGTCTCTCCGGTATATTATATATAAATGCTATACCATTGATGATGACATACATATACAGTATATATATTAAAAACACTGGTTTTATACATATAATCTGTAGACACACATATACTTATATACACTGTTAGTAGACCTGTATTTATACGATATATTGTAGAATATTGTATTTGTAATAATGTAGGTTTTCAGGGAAACGATGCCTAAGTTTAAAACACGAATATTATGTAATGAGAGTGAGTGTGTGTGTGTGTGTGTGTGTGTGTGTGTGTGTGTCAATAGTTATGTCGATAATAATAATTGACAACAGTTTATAGCTTTTTTTGCAGCATTTTCACACTTATGGCATACTATAGTTTATATTAGATATATACTGTATTATATATATATATATATATATATATAGTATAAAAACTAATCACAACAACAACAACAAAAACTCCAGTTCCCGATTATATAAGTTGTGTGAAATATTATTACTGTTTTATATTTATTAACTTTTTTTCTTTTTTTACTGTTTGAAAAAAGTAATAATAACTGAGATTTTTTCTTTGGTATAAAGATTTATAACACAAACTAAAACTTTAATATACAAAAATTTTATTATTAGATAAAAATAATTTTATATAATACTGGAATATAAATTTTTTATATATATACAATTATATATAATTGTTTAAGCATGTAGTATTTATAGATAATATATTACAGATTTAAAACAAACAGTCAGTAAAAAACAGTATTAATAATTTTAAACTTCACTTAATGTTGTGAATAAATTTGTTATTTTTGAAATATAGATTAATTAAATAAATTTATATACTTAATAAATAACAATTATTATATACAATCAAACAAAATTATTTAATCACAACAACAAAAACAAGTATTGCATTAAGTGTGACACTTAAAGTTTTCTTGTATAATAATTATAATAATAATAAATTATAATAATAAATTAAGACAACAAACATCTATATTATAAACAATATCTTTCATAAAATTGAATTAATTGAAAAAAAAACTTTTTTATAGTCACTTAAAATTTTGAGTTTAATTGCTAATCAAAATATCAAATGATTTTTTTTTTGTAAAATTATAAAAAATTATTGTTTTTATTTGTTTTTATGTGATAATAAAAGAAAATATCTTTTAACAATACTAGTGATATAACTATGAGATCCCTTAATTCAAAAACATGAGAGAGAAAAATAGGTTTTCCTTTTTCAATGCAATGTTCCCAATATAGCACTCGGAGTCGATTTTGTTTGAGAGAAAGAGAGAGAGAGAGAGAGTCAGTCAGCGCACACATTATACCATAGACACAGACGCACACACGCAAAGTGCCGGTCGCTATGGTGTCAAACCCGACGGCCCCCACCATACATATCATATATACGATATATACTGTCTGTTTGTCTTAATATACGGTTTTTATTATACAAATGTGCGCGCAATCCAATGAGTTAACTATTTTTCATTCAATGTTATTCATTGTATACTTTCAATCAGTTTTTTCTCTCTCAAAATGTATTTCCTATGAGTTTACATTAAATGATATTTATTGACACACATCCGATAGGATGTCATATATATATTTATTTTTTTGTTTCTGATATTAAACTTGTTTTTTTAGTAAAATAAAAAACATAAAGCAAATTGTTTTATTTGATGATATCACTTTCAATGCTAACCTAACGATTTGTAGGCAAGTCCTCAACTTTTGGTTTATGTGAGGAAAGATCTACTGAATTGAATTTTCAATTTCATAGAAACACATGTGCCGTCTCTTATGCAATAAAATAGTTTCATAATTACATACAATAATAATTAATTCTGTATATAACTTGTTATAATTATGTTTTTTACAATATATGCATTATGTGTATGATTGTTCAAAAATTTGATTGAAATCATAATATATTTAATTCAATACATTATTCATAGTAATGTTCTCTAAAAATATATATGCAATATAATATATTTTTATATTATACAACCTTATATATATTAAATACTAGCAGTTTATTATTTATAACATAGTGTAGATTTGTAGATATTGTTATTGTTATTATTATTTCGCATTTTGTTATATAATAAATGTTTGGAAAACAAATTTACAATAACTTTAATTAGTTTAGAATTAGAATAGTTTAGTTTTAGATTAATTAATTATTTAACAATTTTTTAAATTTAATTATATTGTTTTTATTGATTTTCTAAATAATATAATTTTTAATATAAGTTTTAATATGTTTTAATATAATTTAATTATATAATTTAATGTAAATTTTACTACAAAATTACTTTGCATTTTACCTTATATTGTGGTTACTATTTTTTTTTAATTGTTAACAATTTTTTTATAATAAATATTTAACATTCATTGTTTAAAATTATTAATTAAATTATTAAATAGTTTTTTGAATAAATGATAAAATAAACTATGCTTTTTAACTTACTGTTCTTGAGTTATTAATTTATATTTACAAATATATATATATAAACATTTTGAAAATTTCTAAAATAAACTACAATTACATTACTATACATATATTTTACATCCCTATATTTTGTAGAACACTTTCATAAAGTCCCAGTTATTTTTGTTTCACATCACTGTCCAGCCTCACTATCAGCTGCACCGGCATCCGTACCTCCATCACTACCACCACCATCTCCGCCACCATCACTACCTCCACCTCCACCCGCATCCGTACCTCCATTACGTCTACGTTTAATTCTGCTATTTTTTAAATCTCTGCGCCAATTGTTATTCTGTGACAACGATAAGCTTCTGGACCCACTTTGTCCGAACCCGTTGTTTAGCCGTCTATTACCCGAACCACTGAAACGCATTCTATTGGGAAGACTTGAGTTGACATTAAATGTTTGGATTAAACGTCTTTTATTGGGTTTATTTTGCTCTACACTTAGATAGACTGTAATACTAATTAACACTAATAATAAAAACAATTTCATTATTGGTATTTTACTCAAAAAACATACATTTAGTAATAGTTAGTAATAATAGAATAGAAAATTTTATATAAATTTATTTTATTTATACATTTATATAATAGAGCAGTGATTTTGTATTTAGTTTCTTATATTTTTTAAAATATAAAATCTGTCACAAGATGTTTGATTGCATGATATATATAATGTTTGATTAAATCAGTTATGTTTAAATATTAGCATTCAATATATTTTTTTTTAATTATTATTAGGGTTTTATACTATTTTATTGGTAATTAATTTTTATTTATTTATTCAATAAATTTATATAATATCAATAATAAATAATCTATTAAAACGCAATTTGCTAATAATTTATTTCATAATAGATCAAATAAAAATACTTAACTTATATACAGTATATAATGTATTATTACTGATACATAAAATAAAATACATTATTATTTACTGTATTTAAAATTGTAATAAAATTTGGAGAGAAAAAATTTGTTCAGAATTTAATGATATGTGAGTAAAATAACATTTTTGATAATTAATATATTGTATATAAAATTATATATAATATATTATATTATAATTACATCATTTACATTTAGTATTAAAATTAATTAAATCAATTATGATGTGAATTTAATTTGTTTTAATAAACAGATCAAACTGATCCCTCTTCGTCTGTATTTGGCGCACCTTCAGTACCATCAGAACCCCCATAACTTCCAGCACCTTCAGCACCTCCAGAACCTCCATAACCTCCCGTTCCACCGACACCTCCACCTCTGCGTCTCATTTTGCTATTTGCTAAATCCCTGCGCCAATTACTATTGCGAGACAACGACAAACTTCTGGCCCCACTGTGTCCAAACCCGTTGTTTGGCTTTCCATTACCCGAACCACTGAATCGCAATCTATTCGTAAGGTGTGACCGAACATTGTCTGCCCGGACACCTCCTCTTCTTCTGTTGTGTCCACCACCCGATGGGTTGGGCTGTTGTTGTTGTTCACTAAAATATACAATACTAGCAATAAATACTAGTATTAAAATTAGTTTCATTTTTAAAAAATTTAACAAATTATATATTGCTATTATAGAAAATAATTTTTAAAAACTACATCCAATTTAAAAATTAATTGAAATTTATTTTTTTACTTATAAATTAGTGCATCAGTACTATTGTTATACGTTTTATAGCATAAAATATATACTATTATATTATAATTTATTAATTAGGAGAAAATCTGCTACAAAGTAAATATACAGAAAATATTATACATTAATATTTAATTTTATAATACTGTTATTGTGTAATATTTTTGAAAAAAGCATCTAAATGATATTTTTAAAAATATAATTAATTATTTATTTAATTAATTACAAACTAATTATTTCGAATAATTTATATTTATCATATATATTATTATTTAAACATTTTAAAAATATACTTTTTTATTTAACAAATTCTAATATAACTTATATCTATAATATGTATTCAATTGATCCATTAATTAATCATTTAGAAGTTTCCGCCTCACCTCCAGTTCCAGTATCGCCACCAGTTTCACCACCAGTTTCACCACCGGTATCCCCTCCAGTATCCCCTCCACTATCACCCCCAGTTTCACCTCCTGTATCACCTCCAGTATCACCACCAGTATCGCCACCTGTATCTCCTCCAGTATCGCCATCAGTATCACCACCAGTGCCGCCGCCGCCACCTCTTCTTCGTTTTCTTTTACTTTCTCTCCATTTTTGCAAATTTTGTTTCCAATTCGGATCTTTAACTAATTGTAATTTTTTGGGTGCAATTCGTTTAGTTTTTTTAGTTTCTGGACTATTGACTGATCTAAATACAAGTTTATTTTGTTGTTTATTTTTAACAGCAACTACAGTAACACGTTTTCCTATTTGATTATTATCATAAAATTTTTTAAAAAAATTGTTAAAAAATATATATTTATAATTCAAATAGATTTCTAATAAGTATTTATATTTAGTTTTAAAAAACCTTTGTTATCCTTAGTTCCGCCGCCACTACCCTTAGTCTCTTCTCCATCTTTTTGACCAAAAACTACATATAATTGAATTAACAAAATAATAGATATAATAACAAACAAAACAATTTTCATACTAATTATGTTATAGATTGAGTAAATTAATTTTTAAATATATAATAAATAAAAATTTATAAAGTATTTTTTATATCACTAAAAGAGTATTAGTTTTGATATTTGACTGTTTACACAAATCACTTACATATATATATATATAGTATTTAATTTTATTATATTGTTTAAACTATATGTCTTTATACATATTTAAACATATTAACGATTTCTTATGTTTTATGTAATATTTGTAATAAAAATCTGTTTGTTTAATCCATTGTTAAATTTTAATCAACTAAATCCAGATGTTTAAACTTAGGAATTGATTAAATTTTATTAATTATATATCAATTTAATATAACAACAAAATTGTTATATATTTTTTTATTCAAATAAAAACTATTATAAAGGTATATACAATTTTTTTTAAAAAATAATATGCATTATTTTATATACATATATATTATTTAAATTACTCCTAATTTATTAAGATAAACTTTTTATAATTAATAAATTTGCATAAAAATGAATACACTATAACTATTACTAATTTTAAAATATCATTAAAATACATAAATTTAGAATTTGTATTTCCATCATGGTAATTATTATAAAAATATTATAGTCTACATTTTTAGTTATAAATTTTTTATGATAATCCTAAAATAATAATCAATAATGTTTATTATTACTTTGATTTTGAAATTTTAATCTTATAAATTAAATAGGTACTGTATCATTGTTATGTATTATATTGTAATAAATGAGTATTAAATAAATATAAACATTTTAATTGTTATTACAATAATATTTTTATACTTGAATAATTACAATAATTGTATTACTTTTTAGAAATAATTTTTAATAAGATAACTAAACTATGATTTACAAAATATTTTACTATTTATTTTTAAATTAATTAATTAGAATTATTTTTCGAAATTATTTGTTAAATATCGACAGCCATTTGTCCTGAATTTATACTTTTTTAATATTAATATTTTCATTTTTATTAATATTTATATTAATTGATTTGGGAGTTGTTGTTGTTGTTGTTGTTGTTGTTGTTGTTGTTGTAATTTTGGTTGTTGTATGTGATTGTTGATTATCTAATGTAAAATATATACAATAATTATTATTAATTAAGATTCATTTTATTTTTAAAAAGTAAATTAATAATTAAATAAAATATATGCTTATTATTATAATTATAACACTTACTTGAATTAGAGTTCAAATCTATTGATTTGCATTCATTACAATGAATGACAATAATAACTATTAGAATAACAGTTAAAAAACTTTTTGTATTAAACATCTTTTTTTAAATTAATATATTTTACATATAATTAGAGAATATAATATAAAATAATTAAATTTAAAAAATTAATGTTTATATACTATAGTATTATAAAAACATATAATTAAATACTGTATAAAGTTTAATTTAAATAGTATTATACTTTAATTACTATTTGTTATTTGCACATTAATTCTAAAACAAATAATATATTATATATTTTACATTTTAATTTCTAATGAAATTTAATTTAGAACTTGTGTACTATTAAAAATTTTACTAAATATATAAGTTAGTACAAACAATTAATTTCAAAAATAAAAATTACCGATTTTTTAATTAAAATTATTAATCGTCAGCTAATTAAATAATAGTAATAATACTTAAATACTGTATATTATGTATTTATTGCTTACTAAATTGCAATTAAAATTTATAATTAATAAACTTAATATATTTCAATACTAATGTAATAAAAGAAAACCGTATATTAATTGCTTAATTTGTAGGACGAGTTGAATGTCTATACATCCTATGATTTCCCATAACTCTAACATTTAAATTGATGTTATTGTTGTTAACTTTATGATTGATGATATGTGTATGTACTTCATGTGGTGACTGGCCATCGGGTACCGAATGTGGTCTGTAATCAAATCTATGATCAAAATCTGGTCTCATATGAGGTGTGCGATCAGGTCTATGTCCTCTGTTATCATAACTATAGTTCGGTTGATATGTGGGATCCATTCTCTCATGAGGTGGTGGTTGTCGACGTATTGGTTGTCTTTTTGATTTGTTATTTTCTAACTTTTTCCTATCTTTTTATTTAATTTATAATTATGAAAATAATATTATTGAAATTAATCAAAATAAATTACCTATTAATTCATATTCCGGTTCATTTTTATAATTCACTTTACATTCAATAGTAAAACTAGTAATAAATATTAAAATTATAAACAATTTCATTATTATAAATTATTAGAATATTTTAATTAAATATTTAATATAAAAACTCAAATATCACAAATTATAATGTATCAATGTATCAATTTATTACATATATAGTATAAATAACTAATAATTTTAATATTTTTCAAATTCATGTTTATTTATACTAAAAAAGTTTAATAATCTCACATTTTATACGATTATTTTGTTCAACAAAAAATTCATTGACATTATCTCATTACTAATAATATAATAATATTTAAAATATCAATTTAAATACTAATAAACCGTGTGATGTACAGGTCATTGATATTTGAGCTTATTTGTTGTTTTTTTTATAAAACTAATTATTTAAAAATTTTATACTTTAAATAATACAAACGGACAATAATATCTAATTAAAATAAATTATAATTATGTTATTATTAAATACTATAATATTCAATACATTTTATATAAATTTTAATCTGTTAAATGTATTTAAGTGTCTAAAATAAAAGTTTAGCTATAGATAATTTACTAAACTGTACTTGATTTCAACTAAATCTCACTTTAATATTTTATTTATATGTCAATCATTAATTTAAACATTATTTTTTTAATTTAATTAGTTATTTAATTAATTGCGTACAAAAAGAGAGAGAGAGAGAGTTTATAAATATTTATCATAATTTTTATATCATAAATGATATACATATTATTAAGATGTTTAAAATCTTAATACAAATAAATCATAGTTAATAACAAAAATAAAGTATAACATTAATTTTCAGGGCCTTTGAATGCGGCCCCCTCTCTGGATCCATCAACTGATCCATCGATGTTTCTCTGGACATTGACGGTGACCTTAATCTGTTGTTGTCCCTGATTATCGTAACCACTATTATCATAACCATTTTGATTATTATAACCATTGTTATCATAACCGGGGGATCTGTACCGTTGATTATAACCGAGATTATTGTTGCCATAGTTGTTATTAGTCCGAAACCAACGGCCCCTATTGTTATATTGTTGTTGTTGTTGTTGTTGTCTCATCGGAGCATAATTGAGATAACCATTGTTATAGTCATCTAGAAATTTATTTTTATTTTAAATAATTATTTTAATTAATATTTTTTTCAAATTTTTATATACATACTGTTTCTTATTCTGTGAAGTGGCAATACTTTACATTCAATTAGCAATAAATTGAATAATAATAATAAATTAATAGATATCAAAATTACCATTAATGAGATGCTTATTGAAGCCATTTTATAAATTTAATTATTTTTCAAATGATAATTGTAAATAATTTAATTTTTTAAAAAGTGTAACAAAATGCTTTAAAGTTTACTTAATAATGTTTTGCAATGTAATAAATAAGTTGTCTTATAATAAAATAAATTTTTTATTTTTAACAAAAATCTGTTGTTAATTAAATAAACGTGTCATCACTTATTAGTAATTATCATTAATTGTAAATTGTTTTTGTTATGCAATTTAAAACTATTGTTATTATTATTATTATTTATTACTTGTGTTCAAATATAGAAGCTATCAATTAATGACTAAAATTAAAAATAAAACTTTGAAACAAATAAGTATACTGTACTTGAAATGCAATTTAAACAGTAATATTGAAGTTCATTAACGAAATCCTATTATATGAAACATTATACATATATTTTGATATTTATTCAGAGAAACAATTTTCATTACATTAGTGTAATAACAAATATGATATAAAAAAATCCGTAAAATGATATAAAATAAAATATGATAATAATAATCAACAATAACTATTGTTTAATAGTAAATTATAAAAACATGATTAAAATTACTTTTTAAATCTGCAAATTAAATATCTAATTAATAATTATTTATTAATAATAATTAAACTTAAAAAAATAATAATAATTATAATTTTTCTAATATGATATTCAAGTCATTATTATTATTATAATTTAGATGATTAATAAAAAACGTTTAAAAATTAAAATTATGGGTTAAATAATGATTTTAAAAAAACAATTACAATGAATTGGTTGTTAAATTTTTTTTTTAAAATGGTAACAAATGAAGACATCAACACTTCCAAACAGACCGTATTTCATAGAATTGGATCACTTGTTGTGGACAGTGATGATTGGTCAGCTCAGAGGACATCACCGAAACTTCACGGGTTTCCATCCACTCAACAAAATGGTATATCTTGTTGTTGTTCTTGCCTTTGGCCGCCCGTCGGATCCTTTTGATAGTCCACTGTGACGGCCATTCGCGTCGAATAACAGGTCTTGTATTGACAGACGGCCTAATAGTTGCCGAAGAGTTGACATCCGAAACGAATCCGCTGTCATCTCTTTTGTCATTAATAGTTAGGTTTTGAACTTTTAATGTTTCGGCGATGTCTTGGCTATTGTTATCACTTTTATTATTGAAATGATTAATCAAATGATAGCATTCGTCTTTAAGATTTTCAATCGGTTCCCATGTGTTGTAGTCGTCAGAAAAGTCACACCATTTGACCAAATAAATTGGTCGGCCATTGATAACCTGTTTGTCGATAATTTTTTCCGCATAATATTCGTTGCATTGTTTGTCCAGATTTTCGGTCATTGTTTCGTCAAAAGTCCGTCAAATTGTTTGTTCAAAATAGTTGTGTTCAATAAAAACGTTGCGCTTTAAAGGCGTTGGAGTCATGTATTGGTGTCTAATGTTAGACATGTATTGCAATCATATCTAGAGTTGGAGTCATTAGGTCTGGGCCTCAAACTATCACCAGTTTTGATCTCATCTAATGTTTTCGGGGATCAGTTTCTAGGTTAAGGTTAAGGTTATGTTTATTGAAATGCTTATCTATTTAGTGGTAAATAATTTTGTGACAAACTTTAAAACAAAAACAAAACAAAAATATTTTTTTTATTGATTGAAATAAAACAGTTTAAATTGATTAGCATTTGTTGTCTTATCAAAAGCACATTTGAAATGTTCTCTTCAGTTACCACTATATTATAGCCGAGAAACCAGAGTTGTACTCAACCACGGATTCAGATCAAAATCTTTGCGATTAACCAGATCTGAGCTATGATAGCAAGTGATAGCAATATTAAGATTATCATTAGATATTATCTCATTAGTTAATAATTAAAAGATGACAAACTTGAGGGTCAATACACTAACGCCTTTGCCTTTGGTCTCGAGTGCCAAACATTTGGTAAAGTAATTGACCGCCGATTCGGTAATACAAAATGCAAACTCCTGGTCATACTTTGATTAAAAAAATATCACATTATTTATAATACTATTAGAAACTAGTGAAATAAATTATCGTAATAACCGGTCTGAATCCAGAATCAGAGGTCAGTGTAATAATGCCACCACTGATGGCTTGAATGTACGGCAATGCCATTGATGTCAGCAAAACTGCTGATCTGACGTTCAGACGAAAAACGGTATCAAATTTCTGCATCACATCCGTATCGGTGATGGACAACGGCAAAGATATTTGTGCGCAATGTATCAAAATATCCAATCTTCCCATTTGATCTATTGTTGTGTCCAACAATTGTCTCACTTGATTATCGTCCAATAGATCCGCTTTAACTTCTAGTACTGTAGTGTTAGATAATTGTCTACATTGTTGCGCTACACTCTTGATCCGATCTTCATCTCTGCCGGTGATCACTAATTTCAGTCCAATCTTTGACAAATATAATGCCAATTTTTGTCCGCAACCCGAAGTTGATCCTAAGTATAGATTTTACCGTAAATTTTTTAATTTTTAAAAATTACAACTGACCTGTAATTAGAGCTACTTTTGGGTCGACTTCATAAACTAGTTTTCTATCTTTAAGCGAACTTTTAATCATTTTTGATAATTAAAATTTAATTTTACAATTATATTATAATATAATATAATATAATATAATGAGTATATGATTATATGAGTTGTTAGTAAATAAAATGTTTTTCAAGAAAGTTATCATCAATTTATGCGACAAAATATCATTTATTAGAAGACAAAATATTTATGTAAAACAAAAAACCATTATTTTTTAAAAATAAAATATTTCCTTAATTGCAAACATATACTGTTTTTCCACTAATTATAGTATTGTGAAATATATATATAATTTTAATTTTGACTTTTTTCAAAGTTACTAATTGACAAAACTGTTTGTTTTTATCACAATCGGGATTTTTTGCTGATAATAGATCCGCCGTCGAGAGGTATAAGACTTCCAGTAATAAATGCCGATCTGTTTGAGGCCAAGAACTCGATGGCTTTGGTTACATCATCCACTACACCGGGTCTTTGCAATGGATAAGTCTTTCTGCAAAACATTATTATGTCTTCCTCACTAACAGCCATGTCTTTAATAGTATTGATCATTGGTGTCAATACAATACTAGGACTGACAGTATATGAATTGGACAATAATTAGCTGACTATAAAAACAATTAGACACAAAATACATACAGAATAGAATTGACACGAATACCCTTCGGTCCCAACTCCATGGCCAGACATTTGGTCAACATATCGATACCACATTTCGACATCCCGTACGAACTCCAAGTCCTTCTCTGTAATTAAATTTGTTATTATTTTCCGTTATTAATGTATTAAATAAATTATTGAATAAATACCGGAACAAGTGATGAAATACTCGAAACATTGACAATACAGCCTTTGGTCTGTTCGAGAAACGGGACCACTAGTGATGTCAAGAATACGACTGGCCTTAAGTTTGTGTTAATTATACGATCAAACGATTGCATGTATTTTTGATCGGCTCTAATGTTTCCCTGATCTACAATTCCCGCGCAGTTGACCAGAATATGGATTTTGCCGAAAAAGGCAATTGTTTTATCAACCAAATGCCGAACCTCACTGTCGTTCTGGAGATCAACTAATACTTCGAGAATTTGTTTATCGGTGTGTTGTCGGCACTCCTTTGCCACTGAATTGACTTTAGTGGCGTCGCGTCCGGTGACCACAACATTTGCTCCCAATTTTGCGAAATAAATGGCAGCTCCGGCGCCCATTCCCGAACTCGAGCCTAGATTTCAAGATTTACTGTTTCAAAAATACTGATTTTTTTAATCTAATTATTTTTATTACCTGTAATTAGCATTACTTTATCGTTAAAATCATTTGCACTAAAATTTGATTTAATTGTATCCATTTTTCAAAGTATAAAAATATATTTCTTTAATTAAAGAATTAAAGAAATCACAAAATTTTATTAATTTTATTATTATAAAATTTTATTATTGTTACTGTTTAAGATTAATTTTATAAATATTTTTTTTAATATTACTTAAGTTTATCGAATTATGTGTGTATTTTCCACTTTTATTATTTTAACTATGTCTTACTTTTTTTTGTGTGTGTTTTTATTGTTATTTTATTAACAAATACAGATAAAACTTATACTGTATATCATATAATGTTGAGACAGTATTTAAACATTAATTATTTAATTATTAAATATAATTTGATTTAATCATAATATTTATTTCAGTTGGGTTTTTATAAGCATAAGTTTTTTTTCATTTGATACGTTTCATATAAACTTTTCTAATATTGAATAAATTATTTATAAAAAAATTGAATACTTTTTATAATAAATTAAACTTCAGTTATTGTTTATTAGGATTTATAAGATTTAGTTTGAAAATTAAAGTTAAAAAAGTTTGAAATTATTCCAAAAAAAAACTCAATTACTGTTAACCACATGTTTTTCATTAGGTTTACGACGGCTATCATTATATTGAACATCCATTTCATTGGATTTATTGGTAACTTCTTCTCTGACATCAATTGGTTCTTCAGTGATATCAACTCGGCTTTCAGTGGACAGAGTTATCAATTGATTTTCTTTCGGACCGGAGTTTGTTGGTGTCATTGACTCATCACCTGTCGCTTCTAAAGTTGTCGTAATTGTATGGCTTGTAGTAACAGATCCGGAATCAGTATTGACATAATTTACTGTCGTTTCACCTCCAGGTGCTTCAGTAATAGTATCCATTGTTGTTGTCGTTGATCGTCTTTTCTTAAATTTCTTTTTCTGTTTATTTTTCTTATCCTTTTTGTCTCCATTATCGATATGGATGTGAACGTGAACTTCATTGACATTATTGTTATCTCTTTTATATCTTAAATGATTTGCCGAATCGGTGTCTAATTTTCTGTTAATTACATTACCAATTACCGGAAAATTTTTTAATTCATCTAAAAAACGTTAATTAATTAATTAAATGCATTTTATTTTTAATATTAGCTACAAATATACCTTTATTTGATATTATATTGGAATAAAATAATGTAAATAATAAATAGAAAATTAAAATTAAATACATAATTATTACGTGTAACTAATTTATTATATCTTGAAAATTACATTACATCTATTGTACAATATATTTATAACATTAAAATAAAGTTATAAATCTAAAATATCAATAATCAAATCAGATTTCACTTTAAATTATTTGTTTATTTTATTGACATTTGTTATATTTTTATAGTATCGTAAAATAAATTTTAGATCACAATTCACTTATTATTAAAACTTTATTTACTTTTTATTTCATAATAAATGTTTTTTTAACACCAATTGTTCAAATAAGTTTTATAAAAATTACAATTATTTTGTTATTTATTTATTTATTATAATATATTATATTTATTAAAAAATTGATTCAAATTATCGGTAATTAAAATTAATTATCAATTTGAAAATTCAGTTTCTGTTTGCAATAATAATTCATTAATTGTAACATTAGTTATGCCATTAATTGGTGTAATTGTCGTCGAAATATCATCGGATATATTGTCATCAAACTCTTCTTCATCTGAATTATAGTCTAGTTTAAGGATAAAATTAATTAAATTATATGTGAATTATGAAAATCATTCAAAAAAATTGTACAAACCTTGACATTTGATGCGAAATTCAATAAAACAGTTTATGATTAATATAATTACAATTAATCTCAATAATAAACTCATTTTTTAAAAATAAGTCTAATTAAAAATCAATTAAATAAAGGTATGTTTTAATATAAATATTCACTAATAAACTCAACTATTATTTTAAAAAACTTTCAAACGTCTCAACAAAATTATATCCAAAACAAAAGTGGTTTTGATTTTTAAAAATAGATATTTTTTGGTTAAATTTTAAAACACAACATTGTGTCTAAAAATAACAACTTATTTATCAATTAATTATACAATAAAAATATCACAAAAATATCAGATTTTTTTCTGTCTAATAAATGTTTATAATTTTTTTAAAGTAATTTTTATAGTCATATAAAAAATTTTTATAAATTATAACTCAATTGTCATAACATTTGACTAAATCATGATTTTTATGCTAAAATAATATCATATATAATAACACTATTTTAAAGTCAATAATTCAATGATACAATTGTTAAGACATATCGGCTACTGTTTGACAGCAATAAAGCCGCCGATAAGACCTGAGACCAGAGTAATGGCCAACGAAAGTGTCATCAAATGATTGGCGCCGACGGGTCCCCAAACTAGCGATGCGACCAAAAGCGAGGCCGCGCTTATGGCATAGATAATGGCCAATAATCGGGAATAACCGATACCAAACTGGCCAACAATGGCTGCAATCTGTCCTTCAAAGCTGACAATCATTGTGACCAACGCGTAGGTCATAAGGAAGCGATCCAAAGACATCAAGACATAGACATTAATGAATAGGTTTAGAGTTGTCATCGTTAGCCAAACACCTCTCATATAAATCAATACATCTGTCAATCGTATGGCAGCCGACGGCCGATCATTGAGGACAATACGTCGGTAATCGTCGACATCGACAACGAGTTTGGTTTTATCGGACAATGTCTTCATTTTTTTGTGAATATCTTTCAAAGTCTTTGTTTTTCTCAAAACTTTTTGTTTTTATATTTATTTATAAAATATTTTTTGTTTATTAACCGATACTATAGTGACATCTATTGATAAAAACAATATATGAAATGTTTGGCCAATAGATGGCAATATAGTGTTCATTAAATAAATAAATAATCAATAATTCAATTAATTAATAAAGTATTAAAATTTTTACAGTTATTTATATGGTTTGTATTGTTTGGTCAATAGATGGCAACATTGACTCCATATAATAGTTATTAATATTAATAATACAGTAATTAAACTTTTTTTTAATTAAATTAAATTAATAACTAATTAATACTATAAATCTATTTGAATGTTAAAATCTACTGTACTTTAAATATTATAATTTAATTAATATCTTAAATACATAAGTTTTTCATCAAATTATTAATATTAATAAATATAAAACAAATAATATTTTTTCTAAATATTTATTTAATTAATAACTTTTTATTTATAATTTTCCTCAAACTGTCTGTAATATTAATGGTTTTCAATCTTGACATTAACGGTAACCTTATTGTTATGTCCTCCTCGACCTCCCTTTCCATCACTGACATCACTATTGTTATCATTATTTTGATTATTATTATTACTGTTATTGTTGTCGTTTTGGTGATCACTGCCACCACTACTACCACTACTTTGATCGGTCTCTTCTGTTTCCTCTCGATTGCGAATTCTTCCCGATTTTGTTGAACTTCTTCTACCATTTCTGCCTCTTTTGTTCACAGATTTCCGTTTTCCTGATTTCCTTCTCTTTGAACTTTTTGTTTCTCCGCCGTTGTCTTCGTAATCATAATCGTCGTAATCGTAATCATCGCCACCTTTTCCCCCACTTCTACTTCCGCCTCTGTTTCTTCGACCTCCATAGTGATGGTGATGATGGATGTGCTCGTGTGTGTGCACGTGTTGATGAGTCTGTACCTCTTCGTGTTCATTAGTGTCTTGAGATCCATAATTGCCATCATTTTTACCGCAATGACAATCTCTGACTCGTCTTTTATCGCGTATTAGTTCCCTGTCTTTGACATTATCTTTATTTGTTTCCAACGTTGCGCTGCTTTCTGACCGCAAAACAGATCCTAAAACTAAAAGCAAAATATTGTAATTTAATGATTCATTGATTTGTTTTTTCCCCGAAATTATTTACCATTGCTTTGATTTATGCAACAAATCAGACAAATACTGAATAAAAATAATAGGAAACAAAAAGTCATTATTTCTTGTGATAATTAATATCTCTTTTGAAACAATGATATTTAGTTTCAAATTTCTATTTAATTTCATAATTCAATACAAATCTGAATAAATATTTAATTTGTAATTAATTTTTTAAAGCCTTTGTTACAACATATTTGTTACTTTAATTTATTCAGTTATCATTTTATTATTTAATACATATTTTTAAAAAAAATTTATTTAGGACTATATTTAACCAATAATTTTAAAAATATTTTATTGTAAATATATAATTGATAATTTTAATAAATATTACATAATTAGTAACTTGGGTATATATTTATAATTTGTTATAATTAATATTATTATTATAACTTGATTTTTGATACTAAATAAATAATTGCTTTATTTTATATTTTTTAAATTTAATTCTTAATATTTATTTATTACAAATAATTAGTATTATTTTTTTTATAAATAAAATTATCAAATTATTGAAAACAATTTGCATATAATTATAATTAACAAAAATGTATTGAAAATACATTAGTTGTTATCAATTTTGACACTCAATTGAACATTATTAGTGTGTCCGCCACCAGAACTCTTCTTCTTCTTCTTTTTAGAGCTTTTTGTTGTTGTTGTCTCTTCTTCTTCATCTTCTTCTTCCTCATGACTTTTGGTTCCATTGCCGCCATTTTGGCGCTTATTTCTCACCAATTCATCGACACTTTTCTTATCAATCGATTTAGTGTTTGAAACAATTTCTTTGATAATGAAAACCAAAAAAATACAAATAATAAAAGATAATAATAATTATAATAATAAATAACTAAATTTTTATATACCTTTTGCATTAGTCGTTTCAAATAATGCTAAATATGTTATTATAAGTAAAACTGAAATTATTACAAAACGATTCATTTTTTAAACTGATTTGATTTTAAATAATTGATATATTATTTTAATTCAAATGTTTAATATATAAAACATTGTTAGTAAAGAGTAAATAAAACTGAATAAATATAATTATTTAAAAAGTTTTATTTACTATCAAATGTAATACAATAACAAAAATCATTTGACTCTTTTAAAAAAAAATAATTATATGATCTGATATCAACAATTCATTAAATTAATTAAATAACAATATTTTTGTCTGTAATTGTTTTATTTAATAAATTACTTTTATACTATGTGATTTATTTTTTAAATTAATGATTTATTTAATAATTAAAAATTACAAAATTAAACATTTATATTATAGTAATTAGATTTTTTACTTAATAAAATTCTATATACCGGTAAATGATTTTTTAAGATTAAATTTATTTATTAAAATATTTTAGATTTATAAAAAAATATTAATAGATTAAATCAAGTCATATATTATATAAAAAATAATATCTATTGATAGTAATAGTACTTAAAATCTATACTAAACAAAATGTATTTAAAACTTAATCCAAAGCCTTCTTAAGCACTTTAACTGCTTCCTCGATGTCCAACTCAGTGACAAAACGAGCCATTCTGTCATTTTTAAACTTCTTTCTATCCGCTCTTCCAGTCCTATCGATAATAAGTTGTCCTCTCGTCAAATGTCCGGCCAATTCAATGGCCACCGGGTATTCATCAGTCAATTTGATTATTTTCGAGAAAACTGCGACAAACACTACAATAATGTCACACAAAACGACTCCAGGACTGACATTTCGGCCTATAGTTTAACAGAAATATATAAAAATCATTTTCAAAATTATTAAAAAACAAAGTGTTTTTACCGTAAACTTTGTGTTCATAAATACTTTGATAAATATTTTCTAAAAATTTTGATTTTTCAGTATTTTTTTCGACGATTTCGTCGAAATGTTTCTAAAAATGTCAATTTTGTTAATTAATTATTGAATTTCTCTCATATATTTGATGTCTGATATTCACTAACCCATAACATGCGAGTCTTCAAACACGTATCCCACGGCACGATCGTCATCGGACACGTGCTGTTGGTGAGCACCATATGAACGGCTTCGGGATCATTAAAGAAGTTGAATTCAGTGGTCGGTCCAACATTTCCTAACATTTCTATCATTCCGCCCATTGCTATGATTTCGCGAAACTCATTCAAAACCGACGGATATAAATGCTGAGCCAATGCTAAGTTGGTTAGCGGTCCCAAAGACAACAGTTGGATCTGTTTGGGGAATTGTTGCACAAGAGATACGATGGCCTGAGCCGCGTGTTCTTCTTCGGTTTGACAGTCGATTTCGGGCATTCGGTGAACAGAATTTCCCAAACCGTCGATTCCCATAAAGCCGTCTTCGAAACCGATTTTCTCGCGTAACGGAAAAGCGCATCCTTTGAGTACACGAATTGTTTTCTCTAATCCGAAGAGTCTTAAAGTGAGAAAAACATTGCGAACCACTTGACAGACATCTGTATTCCCGTAGACACAAGTTATGGCCAAAATGCGGATCAAACCTTTGCGATGACAGTCAAGAGCTAACATCAGCGCTACCGCGTCGTCCACTCCGCAGTCGGTATCAATAATCACGTAATTCTCTTGAGATGCCATTTGTTTGATGATAATAATTAAAAATTTAAAATGACTTTTTGTCAAAACTTTTATATTACACTTAACTGACTGTTGAAACTTTGCAAAAGTAAACCAAATAAATAAATTAGCCTATAGGGCGCTTATTATAGGATTTACTCTTATAATAATACAAAATACAATTGTTATTTTTAAAATGATTGCCTATTAATATATAATATCTAAATTATATAATACTTCTAATAACTGGAAATTTGCTAAATTGATAATTTTAAAGTTTAGTAATTTTATTTATAAAATATTTATTAATAACAAATAAAATCATTTTTGTTTAATTCTTTGAGTTTCTCATATCAAAAGTAATTAATGTTTTTATCTAATTGAATATAAAACAAATATTGTCTTTATTTACAGAAAACTTTAAATTTGTATAAAATAATATTAAATACAATCATATCAATCACTGGTGATAAAATCATATCAATTTGTTTATCGTTTAATAACATTATAAAAATTACTTATCTGACTGAAGTTATGTCGAGATAATAGGCTTCACTATCAAATCAATGTAATAGACATTTAAAGTATACTTTTAACACAATTATTTTTGTTTAACACAATTATTCAATACAGTATTTTTTTAAATCATAATGATTAAATAAAATACAGTTTAATTTATAGTAAAATGCAAGTCACAATGATTTCCATTTAAATACTATCAAATAATACTAACTTTTTATTATATAAATAATATTTTTATCAATTATTCATTTTTAATAGTAAGTTATTTTTTTAATAATAATAAAACAAATAATCTAATAAATAATGACTAAAAAACTAAATAATTTATTAAATTCAATATTTTTTAAATACATTATTAAAAAGTTTATTTATACTACTATATAATTTGTTCAATGTTTGTGCCATTTTCTGTCACACAAACAATTACTTTTAATGTGTCGCGCGATTATTAATAATATAATTTATTAAATAAATAATAATTAAATAAAATATACTTTTTATAATAAACTTTAAGCGCGTAAGTATTGTTGCACGTGTTAACTATTGATACACATTTTATTACGTGGAGATCTAACAACTAGTTCTTATATACTCTGATATCAATAAAACATTACATTCAATATATTTTTCACTGAATTTTTTCTAAACCTTTGCAAAAGTTTTAGTAATGTTTTTAATATTATCTGAAAATATAACTAAATAAAAGTTTTACATTAAAAATGATAATTAATGAAAGAAAAATAGACTTTTGATAACTTTGTTTCGTCACAAATCATTGAACACTAGAGACACGTGCAGACCATTTGAAGACCAGTTCAATACAATGGATAACAACTGTGACAACACTTCCGAAGACTTCATGAGAACATTCAAAACGAGAGAAATGTTTGCATTTATTATTTAAAACTCTGTTTTCAAACAACTTTTCAATTGACTTCCAAATGAAGACATCAACGAATCGGAACTCAGATATAAATGACGAGTCGTTAAAAGTCTTCCGCAGAGCGGAAGTCCTTCTGAGAGACTAAAAGAAGAGTTCCGGACATTGCATGAGTCACTCGATTGAGAGGAAAGAAAACTCAAAGGCGTCGAAAAACATCTGTGAAATGATTCAAAAAGCAGTTATTCTTCTCGTACTATATGTCTTCAGGTTTGTTATTGATATTGAATCCAAAATGATTTTATTTGATCCACTTTTTGTTTTTAGTTTCTTTTCTGTTGACACTCGAAATCCAAATGAAAACTCCGGAAACGGCTATCGTCTGAACCGAAAGATAAAGCGTCACTCAAACGGACTTCCAGAGGAAAACTCTGGCAATTTCAGAGCCATAGCTAATGACGACGGAAAAGATGATAAACTACTCAAAAGTGATTTCGATTCAATTTTCGACGAATCAAATACCAATGCCTACGCCGACGCCAATTCATTGACCACAACTGTTACCACTACTACTCCTAATACTAATTCAATACTGAAATTATCATTTATGACTAAATGGTTGGATAGTAATAAAAAATGGACTCAAATATTCAACAGAAGACATCCCAACAACGGAACGATGACAACAACATCTACTACTTCTTCTTCTTCATCATCAACGGAACCGACAAAGACGACCATTTCGTCATTAGTCTCAACATTGAAAACTTCTAACTCTTCGACGACAACGACAATGACTACGAAGAAAAAGTTTTGGGGTTTGGGTTAAAAATAAATGTTTTTTTTCTGAGATCTCCAGAGACTGAAAGAGAGAGATCAGTCATTTCAGAAATAACTAACTGATTGTCTAATTATGTAAATCGATTGGTCTTTCCTTTGGGAATAACAAAGAGGAAAAAGAAGTAGTCTTTTGGGAGAAATGTTTTTTGATTGAAATGCATTGAGATTTGCATTTAAAGTGATTTCCGATTCATTGACCACTAATTCAAATCAAATCCTAAACTAATAGTCGTTTTATTTCTCTTTTATTTCAATAATTAATTGGTTTTGCATTTGTTTTTCAATTATTATGTAATCGAGTAGTCATTGTAGCCGTCATTACATTAAGTCTCTCTCCCATACATTTCCCCCCCATTGCTGTCCCCATCCCTATAGATGTGAATCCAACCCATTTGGACGTCATTTATGTATAGTTTGTATAATGTTTTTATTGAGTGCTTTGTTTGGCAACAATAGACTGAATGAGTCATTCACTCAAAGGACGCACTGAAGGAGTGAGTCATTCACTGAAACATTCATTCATTCATTCAATTGATGTTTATTTCCGACAAAATCACGATTTCAGACCCGAAGTCACTACAAACTGAGTCCAGCCGTCGACAACCCGTCACCCGACTGTCAAACGTGTCCCAAGTCTTCTCAATCGTCCCTTTCTGTGGCCGAAGAAGTCGACTCTTTGGCCGCGAAATGAAGTGTTCTCCGCTCGCATTGTTTCCTCCGACGAGTCCGTGTCGGCCATGAAGTTGTTGGTCATTCGAGTGGCGCTTTTGGCGCTACAGTTGTCCACCGCAGTGGTCGCGGCCGCAATTGTCGTCTGGCGTCACACAACTGCTCTTCATGTATTGTCCGCCCCTTCGGCCGATCGTTTGGCTGAACAGTTGCGCGGAATGGATGGCGAGTCAGTTGCAGTGGTAGCCATGTGTGCGGCAGTGGTGGTGGTGTCGTTGGTGGGAGCCGTGGGTGCGGCCCGCTCTCCGTCGGGTGCGTGTCAGCTGCACTTTTACGTGACGACAGAAATTATCTTTTTGTTTGTCACATGTGTTGCCCTTTGTGGTACTATTTGGGAACTGGTTTCCGGCGCCACTTCTCCCGCATCGGCGATCACGGAAGAGACGGCCGTTCCGTGGCAACAGTCGGCCAAATCGCTTGGTCTGAGTCTAGTGGCGGCCGCAGTGTTTGCGCTCTCTATTCGACTTTCGCGCCGTATTCTCGATGACGCGGAAAACTTGGTCGACGACGATGACAGCGGCCGACACTTTGACATTGACACCGCCAATGACGACAAAGATTCGGGTTTTACGCGCGTTTAACACGCGTTTTGATTCATGCGTTTTCACGTCTCGGACGACGAAAATTCCAAAGATTTTTCCGATCAATAAAAATAATTCTTTTTTATTCACAAACTCTTTGTCTCAGTTTTTCTATGAATTTTCGTCCAATTTTTACATTTAAAAAACATATCATTTATTTTTCATTATTATTATACATATTCTGTTATTTATGTTTTTAGTTTAACGATATTTTATGAAAACATAGATTTTATTTGTTTATTATTATTAAAAACAATGAATTTTTTTGTATATAAAAAGATAAGAAAAAAAGTTTATTTTTATTTATTCTAAAGTTTTTAATTATTAAGTAATTAATTGAATCTTAAATATTGGTTATCATCCCTCTAGTGTTTGAATGAGAAACCATGTATTTTGTAGTAAAAGTGATTCAATTAATGGTTCAATTAATTAAAAAAAATGAAAAAACAGTAATTAATATAATTGATAATATATTAAATATACAGTAAAAAATAATGTTTACTTGTAATATATATATATATATATATATATATTTTAACTAATAATTTTAAAAACAAATAGCAAAAGCAAATCTGTTAACAAACAGTAATTTTTACGACAAAATTAATTCAATAATAACTAAATTATGCAATTTATTCGCTAAAATATTTATTAATTGAAACTGATTTAATAAAATAAATGCAAAATATGTGTGCAATATTTTTTTTAATAATTTTTAAATATTTGACAATTAATCGGTTATATAGACATTTATAAATAGAGTTTTTTTGTGTAAAACCATAGTTAAACTTTATTACAACTATTTAATTATAAAATTCAAGAATAACAGAATAATTTACATTTTTAGATATTTTTTAATTTTGTTGTTTTTGTTTTATAATATTTATTTTTTAAAAATGTATTTATTGTTTTAGAAAAATATATTATGAAAACGAGATTTTAGAACTTTTTATTAATAAAAATCAATGAATTTGTTTAAAATAAGACGAACTAAGAGTAGTTTTATTATTTAATCTAAAGTTTAAGTAATAATTAAGTAATTAATTAATAATTAAAATTCTAGTAAATAAATTTTCTCTCAATTACTTGAATTAACAAACTTTGTTTTTTATTGTAAAAATGTTATTTTAATTCATTAATGTTTTATTAAAATGTAGTAAAAATTGTAAAACCTATTAATTAATAAAAAATGTATTAAATAACCTAATAAAACATAATATTATAAATAATGGTTTAGTAATGAAATATTAGTAAATAGTAGCAAATCTGTTAACAAACAGTGTTTTCCAGTAGAGTAAAAAACAGTGATTTTTACGGCAAAAAAACACAGTTATAAACTTAATTGAAATTTATTCACTAAAATTATTTTTTAAATTGATATTTTAATCTAACGAAATAGCATTAACTAAATAAATTAAATTTTAAATAAATTGACAGAAATATGATTTATTTATTTTTGATAAAATTTTGGAAATATTTTTTTGTTAATTAACTAAACCTGAAATATATGTTACATTCAAACTTAACTTCAATTTCTACCCTAACTCTATGTCGATTCCTTTATACAATTCCCCCATTAGATCGAGTATTAAAAGAAAATGACTATTTTATCATATGTTGTGTTGAATTTGGCTTTTTGTAGTCTTTTGCAGACATTTGACAATAACTTTGCCGACGAAAACCCGAATTCATGTTTTAAAAATAAAAATGACTATCATTTCCTACCGACGAATAATGGACACAAAAGTAATGATCATCGATATTCTAATGAAGAATTACCAACAGATCCAATAGAATCAATTGATGTGGAAAGACATCTGGATGTTCCCAATGATCATTTAGATGATGTCTATCCGTTAAGACCACAGAATTCTGATCATTATTATCATAGAAAAAAACCAACAATTAATTCTAAAGATTCAAATAAACTAAAAGAATCATTTGGTCCAATTGATCCAATAGATGATGTGGATCCATTGGTTTCTGATAATCCATTGGATTCAATGGATCAGATAGAAGTTAAAGATCATATTAGACATATGGATGACATGAATTCAGTTAGTCATTTCAACGAAGAGTCAAAAATATATCCGAAAGAAACAGTTGAACCTATTGTTCATATCGATGATGTGGATCCGTTGAGTTCAGAAAATACAATGGATTCAATGGATCACTTTGTTCCGATCAGTCATCAGGATCACAATGAAGAGTTGAAAAAACATCAAATGGATCAGATAGATCTTAAAGATCATATTAGACAAAATGATGACATGGATTCAGTTGATCATTTAGCAACGTGTGATCATCTAAATAGCAATGAAAAATCAAAAATATATCCGAGTGGTTCAGTTGATCCAAAAGAAGCATTGGAACCAATTGATCACATAATAGATTCAATAGATAACCATCAGGATCACAAACCAGACCCAAAAAACAGTTGGATAGATTCGGTAAAAAGTGACAGTTCTATTGATACTATTAATGAAGATATGGGTCCATTTGATCCAAAGAATTCAATGGACACTGAAAAACCTGTATTTCCAGTAAATCCGATGGCGTCTAAATGGTTTCTCAAACGAATGCAACAAATTAAAGATATAAAGAAACAGAGAGAAGAGTGTAAAGCTGAAGATCCAGAGTTGTGTACACTCAAACCAACTGTTCCAACTGATTGCTCGATATCCAAGTGTCAGGAAGTGAAGAAACAAATGAAGACGTGTTTCAAATGCCAGTATTTTGAGTCGCGTTTGTCGGACTGCAATGAATGCAATGACTGTAAACCACAATCAAATCGCAAGTGTTTTCTGAATACCGAAGAATGCAATCGTGCTTTGGATTCGTTAAAAATGTGCACAAAAGGAGAATTGGATGATTCAGAGTGCAAGAAGAATGTGGTAATCATTAGGAGATGTGGAGAGAAAAACAGAGACTGTGAAAGTGAAAGAAAGAAAGTCATAAAATGTCTAAGATGTGGATCAAAGTCTAAGATGTTTGAGCGATTGAAATGTGAATCAAAGAAATTTGAGAAAAAAGAGTGTTTAGAAATTGAAGACGAATTCCGGAAGTGCTCTTCATGTGAATGGATGCGCAAAATGTTTTGCAAGCAAAACAAAAATACGAGAATAAATGAATTTCTTTGTGAAGCTATGAGTAGAGTCAGACCGGAATGCTTTAACAAACAAACGACAATTGCACCCAAAGAAGAGGCGCCATTAGACAGGGAAAAGACCAGTGAAACACCAATCGATACGACGGAAGAAACGACGTTTCCAACCGAAGAGGAGGCGGCAGCCATGGAGAGAGAAAGATCTACGATTACAACTACAGAGACTACTGTTTCAACTGAAGAGGAGGCGCCAATGGACAGAGAGAAAACAACCACAGAATTAACCACTGAGTCAACTACTGAGTCGACTACAGAGACAACGACAGAGACAACAACAGAGACAACAACAGAGACAACAACAGAGACAACAACAGAGACAACAACAGAGACAACAACAGAGTCAACCACTGAGTCAACTACAGAGACAACTGTTTCAACCGAAGAGGAGGCGGCGATGGACAGAGAAAAGACCACAACTGAAGTGACGACAACAACAGAGTTGGAGGATGAGGTGGAAGTGGCGAGTTTGGAAAGAGAAGCCAAACTAATAGATCAAATGGATTGTTTGTCTCTGAAGAACAAATCGGAGACTTGCGATGAAGACGACGAAGGTTTGTCTAGAAATCAATTCATGTTTTTATTAGTTTATCTACAGAAGCGACAACAACGCTAAAACCGGACGCCTCTGCAACCGAACGGCGCAAACGGGAATTGCAGGACGAGATCTGCGACAAAGTGTACAAAATGATGGACGAAAAGTGTCACGAATCCACTACAGAAGGTTTGTTTCAATTGATGTCTTCAACGAAAACAAACTATTAATACATAAATGATTTGTTTTTGCAGACGATTTAGTACCAAATTTGACGGGAAGACCGGTTTATATGGGAACCTATTTACAAAAGCCTAACAAAAGACGTCGAAAGAAAAAAACGGGAAAAGATTTGTAAATACAATAAAATTGTTCGCAACTTATTTCCCGAATTTTTTTAGTCTTTTAAATTCGTCGGTAACAGAAAGTCAAACCGAAACGACAATTATTGCGGTGCGGATAACGACCACTCGTCGGACTGTTTTCAGGCAATTACACAATTTAGCCAAAAATGCCAAACAGTTTATGACAAATACTACCAATTCTTTGAGAGCGCGTATTATTAAAGCCAAAACTTTTCTGAAACCAAAGTCCCGGAATCGGACAGATTTGGCGCTCAATAAATCCAAAAGCGATTATTGGATAGTCTGAACCTCTGGTGTCGGTAAAAGCGTAAATTTTTTTGTTAAAAATAAACGAAACGAAAAGTCGAAAAAATAGTTAACAAATTCGACTTCCGGTTGTCGACTGCAACGCCGCGCGCGACTTATATGTTAACAATTAATGACAAAACAAAATGACAGCTTTTGCCAGACTTTTGTTGATCTTTACGACGATTGTCGTGCATTTGATTCAAGCGGACGGTTATTGGAGTAACTTTTTGTCGGTTTGTTTATCGAAATTTGTCGAAGAAATTGGTTTTTCTTTCTTTGATTTTAAATTATTTTGTTCTGACATTAGAATCCTTATCAACACAATCGACACGAAAGGCTTAATGTTGACAATGAACGAGACATATATAGACCTCAAAGACGTTATTTGGGGACAAAATATTTCGATAACATCAACAACAACAACAACAACGACGACGACTTTGTCGATTTGATAGTTCCGCGATCAATGGCCAGATTTCGTTTGTCCAAAAGTCAGAAACAACCCCCCGTTCCCAATGAACACAAACTTACGGACGCAGAAGATGATGAAATCATACGAAGATCAATGGCTCGGTTTGAGATCAGCAAACAAAAAGACAACAACAATTAGAAGCCTTATCTGTCAGCAAACCAAAACCAACCGCTAGATATCGGGGTTTTTTGGGGGGTTTTATATGGGGTTAAAAAATGGCGAAATATAATAAACTAATTGCATTGTTATGCGTGACTTCAGGTGTTTATCTCTGTTTTTTTGCTGTCGTTTCTGTTTCTGTAACCATTTTCTCGTTTTTCCGAAGTGATTGCTTTCGGTCGCATTGAGGCCATAAATCCTGAGCTCGAGAAATGGCTAAACGATTTTGACGATACGACAATTGATTCAAATGGGTCGACGACCACAACGACACCATTTTCTTCGTCGAAGATATCGGTAAAAATTTCTTCGACGCCATCACTCATAAGCACAACGGAAGACGATTATTATGAAGACGAGACGTCAACAATGACATCTCTGGGAACAACACCGAAAGGTTCAACAAATATGGTTCAGACATCGCTTTCGACTACAGAAGACGATTATGAAGACGAGACGTCAACAATGATATCATTGGGAACAACACCGAAAGGTTCAACAAATATAGTTCAGACATCACTTTCAACTACAGAAGACGATTACGAAGTTGAGACAACAACGGGACAAATGTCATCGTCGATAAAACCGACAGATGAGTCTGAACTTCCGTCGACTGTCGCTGATTACGACACAACTGTTCTTCCGTCCACTCAAGAAGATTACGATACATCTATAATGTCCACTCATCAAGACATGAGTACAACAGAAATGATAAAAACCGAAAAGACGCCAATTTTACCGATGAATTTTGATGGAGACGAAACACTGCCGACAACAGAATCAGACAAAACATCTTCTGTTTCAGAAAATACAGTACCAGAAGAACCACCAACTGTACCATCAGATGAAACAACTGTTTCTGAAACTACAGTTACAGACGAGACAACAACTGCAACATCAGAAGAAACTACAGTTCCTGAAGAATCTACAAGTCATACATCAGAAGAAACTACAGTTCCTGAAGAATCTACAAGTCATACATCAGAAGAAACTACAGTTCCTGAAGAATCTACAAGTCATACATCAGAAGAAACTACAGTTCCTGAAGAATCTACAAGTCATACATCAGAAGAAACTACAATTCCTGAAGAATCTATAAGTCATACATCAGAAGAAACTACAGTTCCTGAAGAATCTACAACTCAACCATCTGAGGAAACAACTGTTTCTGAAACTACAGTTACAGACAAGACAACAACTGCAACATCAGATGAAACTCCAGTTCCTGAAGAATCTACAAGTCATACATCAGAAGAAACTACAGTTCCTGAAGAATCTACAAGTCATACATCAGAAGAAACTACAGTTCCTGAAGAATCTACAAGTCATACATCAGAAGAAACTACAGTTCCTGACACTACAGTTGCAGACAAGCCAACAACTCAACCATCAGAAGAAACAACAGCTTCTGAAACTACAGTTCCTGAAGAGTCTACAACTCAACCATCAGATGAAACTACAGTTCCTGACACTACAGTTCCTGAAGAGTCTACAACTCAACCATCTGAGGAAACAACTGTTTCTGAAACTACAGTTACAGACGAGCCAACAACTGCACCATCAGAAACAACTCCAGTGCCAAAAACTATAGGTCCTGAAGATTCTACAACTCAACCATCAGAAGAAACAACAACTGTTCCAAAGAAACCAAAAGAAGAAGAAGAAGCAGCAGTAGATCGTCAGATAACAACAACAGATGAAAATACAATTCCTGAAGAGTCTACAACTCATACATCAGAAGAAACTACAGTTCCTGATACTAAAGTTACAGACGAACCAACAACTGCAACATCAGGTGAAACTCCAGTTTCTGAAGAGTCTACAATTCAACCATCAAAAGAAACTACAGTTCCTGAAGAATCTACAAGTCATATATCAGAAGAAGCTACAGTTCCTGAAGAGTCTACAACTCAACCATCAGATGAAACTACAGTTCCTGACACTACAATTTCAGACGAGCCAACAACTGCAGCATCAGAAACAACTCCAGTGTCAAAAACTATAGTTCCTGAAGATTCTACAACTCAACCATCAGAAGAAACAACAACTGTTCCAAAGAAACCAAAAGAAGAAGAAGAAGCAGCAGTAGATCGTCAGATAACAACAACAGATGAAACTACAGTTCCTGACACTACAGTTGCAGACGAGCCGACAACTCGACCATCAGAAGAAACAACTGTTTCTGAAACTACAGTTCCTGAAGAGTCTACAACTCCACCATCAGAAGAAACAACAGCTTCTGAAACTACAGTTCCTGAAGAGTCTACAACTCAACCATCAGATGAAACTACAGTTCCTGAAGAGTCTACAACTCCACCATCTGAAGAAACAACAGCTTCTGACACTACAGTTCCTGATAAGTCTACAACTCAACCATCTGAAGAAACAACAGCTTCTGAAACTACAGTTCCTGAAGAGTCTACAACTCAACCATCAGATGAAACTACAGTTCCTGACACTACAGTTCCTGAAGAGTCTACAACTCAACCATCAGAAGAAACTACAGTTCCTGAAGAGTCTACAACTCCACCATCTGAAGAAACAACAGCTTCTGAAACTACAGTTCCTGAAGAGTCTACAACTCAACCATCTGAAGAAACAACAGCTTCTGAAACTACAGTTCCTGAAGAGTCTACAACTCAACCATCTGAAGAAACAACAGCTTCTGAAACTACAGTTCCTGAAGAGTCTACAACTCAACCATCTGAAGAAACAACAGCTTCTGAAACTACAGTTCCTGAAGAGTCTACAACTCAACCATCTGAAGAAACAACAGCTTCTGAAACTACAGTTCCTGAAGAGTCTACAACTCAACCATCTGAAGAAACAACAGCTTCTGAAACTACAGTTCCTGAAGAGTCTACAACTCCACCATCTGAAGAAACAACAGCTTCTGAAACTACAGTTCCTGAAGAGTCTACAACTCAACCATCTGAAGAAACAACAGCTTCTGAAACTACAGTTCCTGAAGAGTCTACAACTCAACCATCAGATGAAACTACAGTTCCTGACACTACAGTTCTTGAAGAGTCTACAACTCAACCATCAGAAGAAACTACAGTTCCTGAAGAGTCTACAACTCCACCATCTGAAGAAACAACAGCTTCTGAAACTACAGTTCCTGAAGAGTCTACAACTCAACCATCAGATGAAACTACAGTTCCTGACACTACAGTTCCTGAAGAGTCTACAACTCAACCATCAGAAGAAACTACAGTTCCTGAAGATTCTACAACTCCACCATCTGAAGAAACAACAGCTTCTGAAACTACAGTTCCTGAAGAGTCTACAACTCAACCATCAGAAGAAACAACAACTGTTCCAAAGAAACCAAAAGAAGAAGAAGAAGCAGCAGTAGATCGTCAGATAACAACAACAGATGAAACTACAGTTCCTGACACTACAGTTGCAGACGAGCCGACAACTCGACCATCAGAAGAAACAACTGTTTCTGAAACTACAGTTCCTGAAGAGTCTACAACTCAACCATCAGATAAAACTACAGTTCCTGAAGAGTCTACAACTCCACCATCTGAAGAAACAACAGCTTCTGAAACTACAGTTCCTGAAGAGTCTACAACTCAACCATCAGAAGAAACTACAGTTCCTGAAGAGTCTACAACTCCACCATCTGAAGAAACAACAGCTTCTGAAACTACAGTTCCTGAAGAGTCTACAACTCAACCTGTCTACAACTCAACCATCAGATGAAACTACAGAAACTACAGTTCCTGACACTACAGTTCCTGAAGAGTCTACAACTCAACCATCAGAAGAAACTACAGTTCCTGAAGATTCTACAACTCCACCATCTGAAGAAACAACAGCTTCTGAAACTACAGTTCCTGAAGAGTCTACAACTCAACCATCAGAAGAAACAACAACTGTTCCAAAGAAACCAAAAGAAGAAGAAGAAGCAGCAGTAGATCGTCAGATAACAACAACAGATGAAACTACAGTTCCTGACACTACAGTTGCAGACGAGCCGACAACTCAACCATCTGAAGAAACAACAGCTTCTGAAACTACAGTTCCTGAAGAGTCTACAACTCAACCATCAGATAAAACTACAGTTCCCGACACTACAGTTCCTGAAGAGTCTACAACTCAACCATCAGAAGAAACTACAGTTCCTGAAGAATCTACAACTCAACCATCAGAAGAAACAACAGCTTCTGAAACTACAGTTCCTGAAGAGTCTACAACTCAACCATCAGATGAAACAACAACTGTTCCAAAGAAACCAAAAGAAGAAGAAGAAGCAGCAGTAGATCGTCAGATAACAACAACAGATGAAACTACAGTTCCTGACACTACAGTTCCTGACACTACAGTTCCTGAAGAGTCTACAATTCAACCATCAGATGAAACTACAGTTCCTGTAGAGTCTACAATTCAACCATCAGAAGAAACTACAGTTCCTGAAGAGTCTACAACTCAACCATCAGAAGAAACAACAGTTCCTGAAACTACAGTTCCTGAAGAGTCTACAACTCAACCATCAGAAGAAACAACAACTGTTCCAAAGAAACCAAAAGAAGAAGAAGAAGCAGCAGTAGATCGTCAGATAACAACAACAGATGAAACTACAGTTCCTGACACTACAGTTCCTGAAGAGTCTACAATTCAACCATTAGATGAAACTACAGTTCCTGACACTACAGTTCCTGTAGAGTCTACAATTCAACCATCAGAAGAAACTACAGTTCCTGAAGAGTCTACAACTCAACCATCAGAAGAAACTACAGTTCCTGAAGAGTCTACAGCTCAACCATCAGAAGAAACAACAGTTCCTGAAACTACAGTTCCTGAAGAGTCTACAACTCAACCATCAGAAGAAACTACAGCTTCTGAAACTACAGTTCCTGAAGAGTCTACAACTCAACCATCAGATGAAACTACAGTTTCAGATGAGCTAACAACTGCAACGTTAGATGAAACAACTCCCGTTCCCGAAACTACTGTTTCAAATAAGCCAAAAGAAGAAGAAGAAGCGGATATGGATCGTGAAGTGACAACAATTAAAACACCTGAAGATACAACTGAACCATCAGATGACACAACTCTTGTTTCTGAAACTGAAGATTCGTCTACTACGGAATCAGAAGAAACGTCTACTGTTCCCGAAACTACAGTTCCTGATACTACAGAAACAGTTGAATTAACAACTGCTTCTGAAGCTACAGTTCCAGACACTACAGTTGCTGACGAGCCTACAACTGTACCATCAGAAGAAACAACTCCCGTTCTCGAGACTACTGTTCCAAAAAAACCAAAAGAAGAAGAAGAAGCAGCAGTAGATCGTCAAATAACAACAACAGATGAACCAACAACTGCATCATCAGATGAAACTGCAACCGAAGGTACAGTTACTGACACTACAGAACCGGAAGAGACCTCAACTGCAGCTTTAGAAGAAACAACTACTGTTGCAGAAACTACAGCTATCGATATTACAGAATCTGATGGACCAACAACGGCATCTTCAGATGAAACAACTGTTTCGCAAGAAGAAACAACTCCCGTTCCTGAAACTACTGTTCCAAAGAAACCAAAAGAAGAAGAAGAAGCAGCAGTAGATCGTCAGATAACAACAACAGAAGAAACTACAGTTTCAGAAGAGTCAACAACTCAACCATCAGAAGAAACAACTGTTTCTGAAACTACAATTCCTGAAGAGTCTACAAGTCAACCATCAGATGAAACTACAGTTCCTGACACTACAGTTCCTGAAGAGTCTACAACTCAACCATCAGAAGAAACTACTGTTTCTGATACTACTGTTTCAAAAAAACCAAAAGAAGAAGAAGAAGCGGATATGGATCGTGAAGTGACAACAATTAAAACACCTGAAGATACAACTGAACCATCAGAAGAAACAACTCCCGTACCAGAAACTACTGTTACCGAAAGTACAGTTTCTGACACTACAATATCGGAAGAACTGACAACTGTAACAGAAGAAGAAACAACTCAAGTTTCTGAAGAACCATCAACTGCACCGTCAGATAAAACAACTTCTGTCTCGGAAACTCCCACTACTGATACTATTGTACCAAAAAAACCAAAAGAAGAAGAAGAAGCAGCAGTAGATCGTCAAATAACAACTGAAACAACTGCACCTCCAGATGAAACACCTACTATTCCCGAAACTACTGTTTTCGATACTACAGTTTCTGAAGATTTATCTACACAACAGTCAGAGGAAACAACTACAGTTTCAGAGGAAGAAAAAACTCCTGTTCCCGAAATCACGACCATTGTTCCAAAAAAACCAAAAGAAGAAGAAGATGCGGCAGTAGATCGTCAAATAACAACAATTGAAACAACTGCACCATTAGATACTACATCTCCTGTTCCCGAAACTACAGTTCCAGATATTCCATTAACTCAACCCTCAGAAGAAACAACTATTGTTTCTAAAACTACATTACCTGATGAGCCGACAACATCAGAATCAGACAAACCAACTACTGTTACACCAGTTCCAGACGCTTCAGGTTTTTCTTTAATTCAATATAAATAATAATAATTTACTGTATATTTAGATATTTTTTATAAATGTCTATAATTTTGAAAATTTTAATTTGATTTTTGTTTGCTATTCAACAATACAATAGGCATTCCTGAAGAAGAGGAAAGAGCGCCGGACATCGTATCCGAGAAATTAGAGGGAATACCCACTGATTGTGTTGAAACAACTGAAGGAATTCATAGCAGAGAAACCATTTCTTTATTGACAATCAAAGCGACGACCGGATCAGATATGACAAATAGACGTGATTCTCAAGAAGTAGAACAATCGCCGGACAGAAATTATGCATATTTGACAAGTTATGCGGAACAAGTGACGCAATTTATGGAAACTGAATTACCAGAATCGGGAGAAGCAAATCAAATGCCCAATGATAAAGTAGGATATCCATCACCTCAATATCAGTATCAGTTTCCGTATAGACAAATACATACGGGAAGACATCCGCCAGTATATCATCAGCCGGTGATGGAGAATGAATGTGTGACAACAGTTGATGGTGTGACAGGAGTTGACCATAAAAATCAATACCACAATCAATATCCTCCAAATCAAAAGCACAATAAATATCCTTCAAATCAAAATCAATTATATCATCAAAAACAACAAACATCTGAATCGTTTGGTGAAGAAACAACACCATCGGATACTTCAGTTGATAAGACGACTGGAAGTACGACAACATTGAAAAACAAAAAAACCGAATCTGATTCTCAAGAAGAAGAACAATCTCCGGACAGAAATGACGGATCTTCGACAAGTAATGCGGAACAAGTGGAGCAATGCGTGGAAACAGAATCATCAGAATCTATAGATAGATCGGGAAAACTAAATCCGGTGCCTAATGTTAAAGTCTCTGCAAATGGACAAAAGATTTTTAATAGTTACGGATCCGGATATCCGTCGCCTCAATATCCGCCATTAGCGGGACAACAGCATATAAGTGCATCCGGATATCCATTGAAACCTCAAAATCAGTACCAAAACACTGAACAATTAACAAATCAAAATCAAAACGATAACCGAAAGCTCAGGCCGTACGAAAAAGGACTGAAAGAAACGGAATATCAACAGCAAGTGATAAAGAATGAATGTGTGACAACAGTTGATGGTGTGACAGGAGTTGACCATAAAAATAAATACCACAATCAATATCCTCCAAATCAAAAGCACAATCAATATCCTCCAAATCAAAATCAATTATATCATCAAAAACAACAAACATCTGAATCGTCTGGTGAAGAAACGAAACCATCGGATACTTCAGTTGATAAGACGAATGGAAGTACGACAACATTGAAAAACCGAAAAAAAGAATCTGATGCTCAAGAAGAAGAACAATCTCCGGAAAGAAATGACGGATCTTCAAAAAGTAATGCGGAACAAGTTGCGCAATGTGTGGAAACAGAATCATCAGAATCTATAGATAGATCGGGAAAACTAAATCCGGTGCCTAATGTTAAAGTCTCTGCAAATGGACAAAAGATTTTTAATAGTTACGGATCCGGATATCCGTCGCCTCAATATCAGTGGCCGCACGGACAGAGAGAGGCGAGAAGATATCCGCCATCAACGGGACAACAGCATATAAGTGCATCCGGATATCCATTGCATCCTCAAAATCAGTACCAAAACACTGAACAATTAACAAATCAAAATCAAAACGATAACCGAAAGCTCAGGCCGTACGCAAAAGTACTAAAAGAAACGGAATATCATAAGCCGCTGATGGATAAGCAATGTGAGACCGGAGTTGACAATCAAAATCAATATCCTTCACATCAAAGCCAATTGTATTATCAAAATCAGTATAAAAATCAATACAAATTCCAAACTCCGAATCCATTACATCCGAACCAAAACAATCCTCAAAATCCATATCAAAATCATTACAATCACAGACCGTATTCATCGTCACAGACAGAGAAAGTTTATGGACAGCATTTGAGTGATGGAAATGCAATGAACAGAGAGTCAATTGGGAAGGAGTTTGGAGCAGTTGGGGAACAGAGTGTCGGTGATTATTATAGAAATGGAGCCAAGAAAAAGACGTATTCAATTTGGTCGGAACAGCAAAGAACAAGAGAACAGGTAAAGACAGAGACATTCTGCAAATCTATTGTAATTACCGGTAATCATAATTATGACATACACACAGACAGGACATTATCATAAACAGTCAATTGAAAGTCAACAGACTCACGGAGGACAGTATTTCTATGGACAGACAGGAGATCCGTCATTTGAGACTTCGGCCGGACTTAATAGAGTTAAAGGACTACAAAGTTCTTATGGAAAACAAACTGTTGGATCGTATAATTCATTGGAATATCCGTCTTATTCGGGACAACAACAACATAACAAAGGAAAATTCAGTCATTACGGACAAACTCTGCCCAAACAGACTGCAGGAGTGGCGGGATATCCTTATTCTGGTCAACAGATAGTCAACGGAGATTGCGAACAGACAAATAAGAAAACGGAAACAAAGACTGAAGAGAAAAGAGCGGATCAGATGGGAAATGTTGAAAGCGATTCGAAACAAAAGAGTGACAGTCAAAGAAATGGAGTTTCTGGTCATCCAAGTGGAGGAAAAAGTGTTTCGACAAAAGAAAAGAAAAAAGATTTAACAGGAATTACATCTAATAGACAAATACAAAGATCACAGAAAGGAAAAGAGTCGGTCGGCGGAAATGGAATCAAAGACACGTTTTCTGTAAATTCATTGAGTCAACTGAACGGCGCCGAATCGGTGATCACTGAATGTGGAAGTGAGTCGGGAATTAGCAATTTGGGAACAACAACTCCCGGCTGTCAGGAATGGGAGCCGTGTTCTGGATCTGTGACAGTGACGCCGGACGATGCGAATCTCTATGTGGCAATGATAGACAACCCATTAGTTGTCGCGAATCCCAAATGTGGATCAGATGGGTTGTGTCCGGATAATGAGATTTAGGGATAAATTTGGGGTTTTTATTGTAATTTACTGTAAATTAATTATAAAAATATTTATTAATAAAAAACAAAATGTCCGCCAAATTGGTGTTTACTGTTATTCTTCTAACCGTCGATTAGTTGAAACTCAAACTTCTGACCACTTATTCCTCGAAATGTTTACATTTTTCGTCTCAGACTCCGCCACTTTTGAACCAATGAAAAGACTGAAAACACTTTTGTTTGTGATTTTAGGTTTTTTTCAGTAATTGTTTTTAAAAAATTGTTTTAATCTCTATTTTTATTTTCGGAAGTGATCTCCGCTTTGAAGACAATTAATGCTATAAATCCTTCCATAGAAGAAGAGATCAACAATGAAAACAATTGGGAAGAAGATACAACTACTACTACTGAGCCGCTTTCTACTGAAGAGGAAGCGGCGGCAATGGATAGAGAAAAAGAGAAAACGGCATCAACTGAAATGACAACAGCAACGGAAGCTCCGATTGATAGGGAATCGACAACAACACCGACGACAACAACGACGACAACAACAACGACAACAACAACGACAACGACAACGACAACGACAACAACAACGACAACAACAACGACAACAACAACAGTAAAGACAACGACAACTGAAGAGATTGAATGCAAAGAAGTGGAAACGACAACAGAAATGATTGAATGCAAGGAAACGACAACAGAAATCGAGTGTTTGGTTACGACTCAAGAAGTAAAGATGTTTGCAATTACTGAATGTTTGAATGACGAGGGGATGGGCGACAGCAAAGGTAGTAGTAGTAGTAGTACAACGACTGAGAGTACAAAGTGTAAGGAATGGGAGCCGTGTTCTGGATATTTGGACGAATTTCCGGACGACATAAACAATTATGTAGTAATGATTGACAATCCGTTGGTTGTGATTAACCCGGTTTGTGGTGACAACCCGTGTCTTCAAAACGGGGATTAGATTTGAGTTATTTTTAGAGTTTTTTTTACTAATAAACAAAATGGCGAAAAAACTTACAATCTTAGTCTTCTCACTGATAGCTTTGTGCGTATCAGGTATTACCACAAAAATCGCGATCACTGTTCTGATCCATAGATTTTCCACAGATATTACGTGTCCTTCGGTTCAGAAGCCAATTGAATCGTACGAATTATCGATCGACACTTTCGCTCCGAAAAGTTATGATTCAAATGTCGACAAAGAAGAACAACCTATGATAGAGAGCGGACTCGACGGCGATCCCTCTGACGAGTTCGTCCCGTCGGCCGAAGAGATCTTCTCTCGTCACCGAAAAGACGATATCGTCTTCTTAATGGATGACGGATTGTATTATTATTTTTGCGGTTTTTTAATCAAATTTGTTTAATAAAAAAAATTTCCGCAGAATTCTCGCGATTCCTGACTGCGATTCGAGCAAAGGCAAGAAATGTCCGCCAAAATGATCAGAAATTGCAAATGGGATCTCAAGTCTTTGACGTCACTTCTTATAAATCACTTTTTAAAAATTCCCTCAAATAAAACCCTAAATCAGAAATGGCATCAAAAATATTGTTTTTCTCATTAATAATGTTATTTTGTATCTCATTTTGATTCTTTCGGCGACCAATTCTTGTCCAATGATTGCGTTTTTGTCGCAGAAATTTTTATAACTATTATGAAAATGTTTTGAATAGAAAAAAATCAAAGAATTCAGACTTCTTTGGAGATCAACGTTAAGTCCAGTACTGATTAGACAGATTCAGTTGTTGACCAAACATTGGTGTCAATCAAGGCTTAAATATTTAAAAAATCGGACGAAAATTAGTCGAAGATGTAGTTGAAGTTGTGTCCTGTTTCCAGTGATTTCCGTTTCCTTTGATAAATAGTTAATAACTAATTAATTAATGTTTGTTTTTTTGTTTTAATTAAACCTTAAATAAAAAGCTAGAAATGAAATTCAATTTTCTTGTTTTTTGTACCGATTTTTGGTAATTTTTTTTGGATAATTGTAATAAAATGACTGAAAATTTATTATTCATAACAAATATTTTCTTCTCTATTAAATTCAGTCATCGCTGTCTTCGGCTATCATCACAATGAATATGATTTCGACTATTTTGCCGATTGGACGCCTCCTCTCTGGAATCCATTGCTATAATGTTATCAACAGAGAAAACCTTTCGATCAAAGAAAATATTTAGAAAACATAAGACTTAGAGAAGTGGAGTCTGATTCACGAAGACATCGCAAAAGTGGGTTCTTTGCATCGGATGAACAATTCAGTTGATATGTCTGTGATTTTCTCCAGTGATCCACACTTTTTTTGCTACCATTAAATTTCTTAAGAAGATTTCTTTAGTTAATTTTTTTCTAAAAAATAAATGTTTTAATATTTTTTTTTTTTAAAATTGAAACATTTCTGATTTTCATCCATCGATTGGTGAGAATTCTATGAAATGATTTCCATTTCCGTTGAAAATGGTTTTTATTAATTAATTCAATTAATTGATTAATTTTTGTTCATTAATTAAAAATTACAACAAAATGAATCGCAGTTTTGCTGTTTTTGTGACATTTGTTGCGATTTTCGGTAAAAAAAAGGTTTAAAATTTATAATTTTTAAAATACTATTTTTCTTAAATTAAGCGATCGCTGTCTCTGCCTATCGTTACGGCTATGAATCGGATTATAATTCCGATTGGAGGCCACAATATCGGCCAATGCATCATCATATGCAACGACAGGAGTTCCAACCATATCAGCCCAGAAGACATTTTGTTGATAGAAGAGGTTATGGCAATAGAAGAGATTATGACAACGGAGACGACAACATTCACTTCTTTTCGTCGATAAATGACGACGAAGGAGACGAAGACAGACCGAGAAAAACGAAGAAACGAAAGAATAAGAAAAATAAACCCGGATTTTGGTTGAGTGCTGATTCCGGGGCCGGAAAGAGTTACGGAAGTTTCGCAATCGATTAGACGAAGATTTAAAAAAAAAATTTTAAGTAAAAACTAAAACAAAAATGGCTTATAATTCTGTTTCCGTTTCATTAAATGTTAATTAAAAATTATTAATTAAATGGAAAAATAAAAACACGAAATGAATAACTCTTTTATTGCTTTATTGATTTTGGTCGCGATTTTCGGTAAAACAACTAATAAAATAACTTTTATTTATAAACTTTTATAAATAAAAACCTTTTTTTATGTCGAGTTCAGCTGTTTCTGCTTATTATTATCCGGATTACGATTACCCGCCACCGCAATGGTTCCGACCTGTGAGACACCAATTTCAGTATCCTTCAGAACATCGTTATGGACAGCATTATAGACAGGATTATGGACATAGAGGTAGAGATAGAAATCGCGAAATTAATTACTTCGCAAAAAACATTGATGACGACGACGAAGATAATGACGACATGGATTCGCGACCTCAAAAGCAAAGTAAAAGAAAACTGAAAGCTCCGAATAGACGCGACACAACTAGAAATGGATTTCTTTGGCCAGAAGCTCCCGGTAAACACCGAAGTTTTGATTGGCTCATTAGATCAATGCCTTTTCTCTAAAATGATTAAAAATCTAATGATTTTTTTGTTTAAATAAAATCTTATTAAAAATGACAAAAAACGCGTTGAAAAACATTTTTTCGTTGTTTTTGCACAATTTTTCGGATAATTTTTTGCACTTTTTTCGGTTTAATTTACTATTAATGTGTTTGTCTAATGTCTGCTTTCTTAAAGACCCGTCGGTGTCGATTCCAAACATCCCGAAGTGGTGACAAAAATCGGTGTCCGTTGATAACGGAAGACGATTCTGGAGGCATTTGCGGGACATTTTCTGGAGACTTACCGGCGGTTTGGCACCGGAAGTGTCGAATTTAATATTCGGAAAGAATTAACATAAAACAGATGGTCTATTCAGTCATGTTTTGTATTGAAAAACCTTGTATTTTGTTTTTTATAGTTTTTGCCGTTTTTTGTGTCCATTTTTCGAATCCGACGGCAATTCGTCGACACGAAAACGGTTTTCCTATTTCTGACTCTCTTCAGAATTACCGAACTTTTATGACAAATAAGAAGAAACCGATGTCTATGAAGTTGGTGATGGAAGAGACGTACAATGGAAGTGATTCAAGTTTTATCGACAAAACAAACGAACAAAAGTATGAGTTGGAAGTGACGCCAGAAATAGATGGACAAAACTTACAAAAAGAAACACAAACGGAAAGTTCGGGAATTATGGGATGGCTTAAGAAGGGCTGGGAATGGATTAAACAGATCGGATCTTATCTCGGACTTCCCGGCTTTAATATATCGTACAAAACAGAGACTCATACCTACCTGTCCAACGGGACAATTACTGTTCGGGTGCCGAACACTGTGTTGGAAGGGATTCGCCGAAAACATAAAATTTAGAATTGAATTGTTTGTCAAAAATCTGAATAAAATGAGTTTATTTTGAGTAATATTTGTTTTTTGGTGTTTTTTCGTCAATTGTCGGCAAAAGTGGTCAGATATGGAATACGGGATATACGGGTTCAGCCATTATTAGTGCCATTTTTGAGGAAATTGCGTCAAAAGTTAACGTAATTTGTTTTGTAATTAAATTAAAAAATTAGACTAAAATGTCGTTTGATTTAAAATAAATGCAATGAATAGACTTTTTCTACGAATTTCGTTGCTTTTGTTGTTTTTCGGTAAGTATTTTGAAAATATTTATATAAATTAATTTTAACACATATTTTATGTTAATTTTGATTACAAAAGCCGTGGTTTCGGTTTTGACTAAAAAAAAGTCAAAAACCGAAGAAAGTGAGTCAGAAGCTGAAACTGAGGCCGAAGAAGAGGCTGAAACGGAAAGTGGAGAAGAAGAAGAGGGCGACACCAAAGCATCGAAGAAATCAAAGAAATCGAAGACATCGAAGGCATCGAAGTCTTTAATAATAGGAAAAACGAAACTAAAAGATAATTTGGCTGTCATTAGGGAAAAACTTGTTTACAATAAAAATGGCGACAGAAGAGGTCTTATTGGACGAGCGATTCAGAAAAAGAAAGAAAAAAAATCAGAAGAAGCGGATCAAAAAGCCGGTGATTCGACCGACAAATTGTTAGCAAAAATGATGGGAAATCCCGAAGAAGAGGACGAAGAAAAGGAGACCAAAGAGAACAAGAAAAATAAGAAGAAGATTGGATTAGGATTGTTGTCGAAGATTAAAGACGTAAAGACAAAAGTGACAGAAAAAGTGAAAGAAAAGGTAAAAGAAAAGATCAAAAGCAAAATGTCAAAGAAAGACGCCGAAGAAGAGGAGACTAAAGAAGAGTAAAAGGAGGCGAAAGAGGAGGCAATGAATAGTCGGGAAAAAGTGAAATAGGATTAAAAAATAAAAAAAATCAAGATTTAAATGATTTTTAATTAATATAAAAATATTTATTTTCTTAATATATTTTGATTATTCATAAAAATAATAGTTGTTTTTGTTTTGAAAGTTTAAAATGATTTTTAAAACTCGAAATCAATTCAATTTGATTTTAATATAGATTTTTTGAGTCCGAAATTTGTTTTTTGAACGCAAAACAGAAAATTTTGTTCAAATACTTGAATTTAAATAAATTGTATTAAATTATTGAAAAGTTTTAATAAATCCTTAAAAACCCCGAAAAAAGACCGAAAACTCCATCTTAATTGACGTCACTTTCCATATGTTTTAGAAAAAATTCAAAAAATGCTTCGGATCTACGTTTTAGTCATAGTTTTCTGGTCACTGTCGGCGACTATTCCGTTAATCTCGACTTTCTTTTACATCTACTGCCGATTTGTCTGTCACTGAAGAGTATATGGATCTGAATCCAGAGGTTAACAATTGTTTTTCAAATCCCGAATCGTTGGTCGTTGAGTTCGGACAATCTGCAGGAAGTGAACCTGTGGTCGAAGTGGACGACGAAGTTATAGTCATTGTTGGCGATTGCGGGCCGCGGACCACATGTTCTCCAAACGAAGAAAATCCCCAAAAGTGGGGAAAAGTTTGAAAACATCTGCGAATAAAATGCGATTTCATTTCTCCAAACGTTTTCACTGTTTTCTCGAACTTCGCGTCCTTTTCTGCGGTAACTTTGACTTCTGTCTTGTTTTTTCGTTTTCTGATCCATTTCTTGTGTGCAGTGCTGGTCGTCGTCACTTCAGACGGACCCCCAAATTCGCCGACTTTGATTCGGCAACCTTTGGCCGGAAATGCGAAACCGATTTATATTTCGCCGGAAATGGATGACGTGTTAGACGACGGAAATGACGTTCCGCACGAAGAAATTCGCGGAACTATTCTTATGCCTCGCATTCGGTTCACTTTGCGGGACGACGTCGAGGACGAAGACATTGTTGGCAATGAATTCTTCGGACAACAAAAAGACAGAGGAGGAAGACGAACGGTTCGACGGAACGGAAGGCCTGTAATCGAGGATCCGATGTATTCGCAAACAATCGAAGAAATGATGTCTTTTGCAAAAATTCCGAAATCGGAAGACACGTTCATTGTTATGGCTGACGATCCCGTGGGTCAGTGTTTTTGCAATTATTTTAAATACTAAGTTGTCTTTGGTTTCAGTGGCTGTCGATGAAGTGCCAAAATGTACGGGAAATGGCGGAAGCGGTGGTCAAAGCGAGAAAACAGACAAAGAATCGAAAGAAGAGAAAAATACTGAAAAGGGGGACAAAACTGAATCTACTTCTGATGTGACAACAAATTCAGAATCGAAGGAAACAACTGAATCCACTCGAACTGACTCGAAGTCTGAATCCACAACTGAGTCATCACATGATTCCACAACTGAATCCACATCTGAAGCGACATCTGAAGCGACATCTGAAGCGACATCTGAAGCGACATCTGAAGAAACGACAGTTGCGTCAGAAAAGGAAAAAAGGAAACGACGTAAACGGCAATCAATTTTCGGGTTTTAATTTTAAATCAAAAAATAAAGTTTCGTGACCTCATTCACGACCCAAATGTCGGGAAAACATTTATTTTTGTCTTTTCTCTGTTTTCTGTCGTTTCTGTCGTTTCTGTTGGCCGATTGTCCGCCGATTCGATCAACAAAATAAATACGATTCAAATACTTTGGAAGACATTGTTATTCATTGATAACAGAAATCGCAAGTAATATAAAAATTTATAATTCGTTTACTGAAAGTCACAAAATGCCAAATGAAGAATACGTTTCATAACAACAACGGCGACGGACAACAAATGGTTACCGAAATAACAAAACAGATTACAATTTCAAAGAATTATTTGATGGACTGTTCCGAGAGATACGCGAAGAACACATTAGACAAAAGACAAACAAATGAAAGAAATGCGACTAAACGTCAATACGTTTTGTCATTTAATATGATTTTTATAAATACATTGATTTAAATAATAATTTTATTCAAAAAAAACTTATAATTATTTTTATGCTATAATTTATAAATCATTGAATTAATTACTAATAGTTTTAAACAACTTTAGATTCACTAAAAATTATAACATTAATAGCAGTTTATGTCTGAAAGAGGGCGCCATTTGGTCCGTAAACTGCATTCAAATTATTGCAAAACTATTGGTTCCTATATTTCTAATGAATAAAACATAAACTCTTTAAATAATTATTTTTTAAATATAAATATTGTTTTTAACTCTATTGTAATGTTTTTACATTCAATTAATTACAAATTTGCATATTTTTTATTATTTTGAAAATAATGCCATAAAAATTATCTTTATTTAGATTATATTTAAATTTCTTTATTATTATTATATTATTATTAATTTTATTGAGTTATGAAATCAATTGCATTAATTCAACTAATAATAGTAAATCTATTACTAGTTTATTGAAAACTTAGAAAAAAACCCTAAAATTATTTCACATTTTAATTAATTACATAATTATTATCCAATTATGCAATCGGTATTCATTGCGTTCATGTTTTTCCCAGTCTTTTATTTGTTTGTTTTATACACTAATAATAATAATATATTTTATTTTTTAAAAAACATATTAATTAAGAAAAAATTAGCTTAAAAATGAAATTTATTGCAAAATTGAAACTACTATTAAATAATAATGAGTATATATATAGGCTATTAGTTAATCAAAATGATTGAATTGAATATGAAATGTGTAAATATCTATTCAACAATAGATGGCACAACTGGTTTCATAAGACATTATTAATGCATTATTACTATAACATCGATGCACTTAATATAATGTAAATCACATACAATAAGGCAAATATCAATTATAAACGCTTCAATGATTTCCTATTCAATACTTGTTAACAATATATAGACTACAGTACTATCACTATTGCATTCACACACACATACCCTCTCCCTCTCCCTCTCTCTCTGGTTATACTCACTTAAAAACTACTATATGTTTGTCTCTGTGTTCCCCCACTGTCTCTCCCCCGCAATATGACTGCATTGCGTGTGTAATACAGTAGTAATAATACTTAATATTAATAAAAGTAGTATAAGTAGTGTCAGTTTGGACGACAAATCCAATAGATGGCAGTATGGGTTCGGTTAGATTTGACGGCAATATAGGCTAATTTGACGGCACAGTGGGTGCACTACAACATTGCACTACATTTGTATGACAACTCATGTATCAAATATACATCAAATATCTGCTTCTCATACTTTACTACAACTACTGTATGTTTATGTGCTTTCATATTAAACAATACCTATACATACATACATACAGTAGTAGTAATAATAATAATGTTCTCATAAGTCATATACGATTTTCCCTACGATTATCATAATTATTATTATTATTATAACCATTAAAATAATTGTTATTTCAGTACAATATTGTTGTATATATTGTTAAAAAATAAGAAACAAATTCAATGTTAAAACTCATGTAAAATATATTTAATCTTTTATTTCCTTTTTTGTGAATAAAACTAAATTATTTTTCTGCAAAAATTTGTCACTAAAATAAAGGCACAAAATATTTAGTGTATTTTTTTGTTAGAAAACATTTTCATTTGATTTTAATGATCTTTAATATATTATTATTATTTCTTTGGCAAAAAACATAATAAATTATACAAAAAAAAACAGACAATAAAAAACATTTTAAAAATACAACAATTTTTTGATAAATTTAAATAAAAACATAAATAAAAAATATTTAATGACTTAAATCGTAAGAAAGAATCCTTTTTCGGCCAAAACGACGCTAATAACGAACCAAACGGTAACGGCCACTAGATTCCTGGCCAGTGGCCCGACGTGCGATGACTCGTCGACATTGAAGCTCCAGGGAATCATATCGGCGGTGATTTCGTGTCCGATATATAAGAGAATGGAATTCATTCCGGGATAATGAAAGGGCTGTCCGTTTGGCCAGATTTGGAGGACATCTATGAGATAATAGAGAAGACTGATTGCGAAACAGGCGGCCGAAGAAGTGAGACAAATGAAGCTGAAAGACCAGAGGTTTTTGTTGATAGGAATGGTTTCGGTGGCCGCGAATAGAGCGCTCAGAGAGCCTGAAATAATGTGTGAATCGCAGCGGAAAACGAGTTATGAAATGTGTTTTCGAGCGATAAAGTGATGACAAATACCTAAAAGTAATCCCCAAACGAGCCATCGAGAGATGCGTTGTTTGGGATTCGGGTAAGCGATCAGTATTTTCCCGATTTGTAATCCCAGGAAAGTCAGGATTATGGAAGTCGTCGTTCCTTCAAAAAAATCAGTTCAAAAGTGATTGAGAAATGGTTCGAAAGATAAATACCGAGAATTCCCTCGGGGTCGTGACGCAGACTGAACTCGTGGTTCGGGTCATACAAACGGTCTCCGGTGAAGTGGCCGTAGATGTGTTTATCGCCCAAAACCCATTTGTCTATATATGCGGCGACGCCACCCGTGCAGTGCACGTGAGTCATGTTGTCGTATAGGCCTCCCGGTCCTGAGTGAGTTAGGGTTGTTGAAAGGCAATTGTTTTGAGTGCTTTCATACCGATGTATCCCTGGGGACAGATAGGACTGAATTGCCAGCCGAATGTCAGCGCGAAATGGAGAACAGCCATTAAAGACATAACTATCCATTCGGGCCAAAAGGGAATTATGTCAACCAACTGATGGATTCTCACTGAAAAACAGTTGTTTTCTTTACAAACATTCAATTAAAGGCTAATCTAATCAATTGAGACATACAGGCGCCGAATAGCTCGCCCTTGTGCACCAAAAGAGACAACACATGACTCGAACCAACCACTAAATATGTTATACCGAAGCGCTGGAGGACACCCGGGATCCGCAACGTTCGGAAGTCGGCTAAACAAAGATCAGTAAATGAGTGCGAAGTGTGTGTAATAAGAGAGTGTGCGGAACAGTATGTCTTAATGACTTTTTTGTCAATAGTTTTGATATAAAGAAGTCTTTGTTTTAGTGAAGAGAGAGTCGTCTGAAAAAGGAAATGAAAGACTTTGGCATTAATTACCACTTCCTTTGGAGTTAAGCATAAGTCCGATGACGAAGAGATTGAATGAACGCTTCACTATATTATAGTATATTTTGGAAACCGTCTGTTTTTGACGAATTACTATACTTTTGAAACTATTGAAGAAAGAGAGAGACATTACGTGAGAGAAATGTGACTGAAATTTAACAATAGTTCACTACTGAGTGTTTCCGACAATTATTTTTGAGAAAAAAGTCTTTTTCAGAGCAATAAACTCAGGTTTTAGTGTTTTTTTTGTGAAAAGAGAGGAAACAAAGAGATCATGAAATGCCATCATTTTTGAATTAATTACAAGTTTGTATGATATCGTAGGCCAAGCATTCATTGCCACCGATTTTGTGTCAGAAATGTTGAGAAAAACTATTGCGATATTGACTCATATAAGACCTGAAGCGTTAATATAATGTCATTCATAAAAATATGAGAAACACTTGATATCATTGATAGTAAAAAGAGTGGATTATTATTATTATTATTATATATTATAGTAATAGTAATAGAAAATCAGTGAAACGGAAAGAATCGCAAAGAAAATTGCATTTTTGCCAAAAAAAAGTTTGAATGACAAAAACAGAGTCGACATACCGGTGCCGACTGTATAAACATATGAAAACAGATCGGAAGCGAACCGATTGTCGTTAAAGCAAATTAGTGGCAAATCAGAGCACTATTTGAGGCATTATTTTGATTATTAAATCTAATTTCCATAATATATGAGTTGTAATGGATTTTTGAGCACTTATTGAGTAATTCAATAATTATAGACAGACCTGATGGCCATAGTTGTTCCCATAATGAAGATGAACCACGGGAATATGATGTCGGCGAAGTTGAATCCGTCCCAAGCGGCGTGATCCAGGTTTTCATAGTTGCCGGCGCCCAAATTCACGAAAATCATCATTAATATAGTTATCCTATTGTTTGGGAGGAAAACACGATTCAATTGGACGTCAATTGACTTAAATTGGATTAAACAGAGATTGGATTAAACCAAACAAACAGTTGTTCCTAAAGTGCCTTCAAATCCAATTTGTGTCAAAACTAATGCCTTTTTTGCGGTTTTGTTCACAGATTTTATGATAAAAAGTATTGAAAAAGTATTGAAAAAGTATTCAAACCCTCGAAAACAATCCAAAGATTTCAAACGCTTTCGTCTTTTGTCGTCCTTTTGTTCGGTTCTCATCTCAACAATCGGTGACTCATTGGGCGAAGACACGGCCAAAGCGGCCGCTTGTCGTTCGCGCCATCGGTAAAAGAGACGACGGCCGCCGTAAAAGAGGACGGCAGCGATGACGTAGATGAGAACTGCACCGACAATTGGCCAGATGTTGTTTCGGCCGGATTCGGTTTCTTGGATTTGGCACTTGTAGTCATTTCCGCCGTTTATTCTGCGGAAAGACTATTAAACAATGGTTTTGTGAATGAATTGTTGTTTACGTGAAGACATGTTTCGATTGATCCAAAAGAGAATAACTGTTTTGACAAAAAACACTTTCTTCAGAAAGCGTCCAATAATTGATATCATTTGGTCTCTGGTCGGTAATAGCGATGCGTAACTCGTAATTTGTGGTCACTTTAAGAGGTTTAGTCTCTTTGGGTTCTAATTGTTCCCAAAAGACAAGCGGACACTGAAAACGATTTCATTTCAATTAAACTTCATTTCAATCAATGAAAATCCGCGAAATTAATTGCAATCAAATTAAACTAATTTAGAAATCATTGACAGAAAAGACTCGAAACTGATCTCAAAGTCAGAAATCACAAGTCTTTCGGCGATTGTTGTGTTGTCAGAGATGTTCAGGAAATCAGGAAAACAAGACTTACTTTAAAACATTGCGTGAATTGTTTCCAAACGAAGAGTTTGTGACCCGAAGAAGCGTTGTTCGTGAAGACAATCAGCGTCTCGTCGAGAGCCAGTCGGCGGCTGTCGTCGGTGTCTTCATTGTCGGCCATTTTTGAGTGAAATGGTCAGAAAGACAACTCACAAACTGACGATTTGTGTGACATTAAGAGCTTTGAAACTCTTGACTAAAATGAGTTATTTTTGATAACAATTAGTTGTCGTTATCTGTGTTTTGTTGCCATTGTTTACAATCACTTGTGCTGTGAATCAAACACTTGAACAACAATTACGTCACACATCAGTCGTAATCATTAACCAATTGGTCGACAAAAAGCTCTGCGCTTTTCCGCTTCACTAATCAATCGGTAATATTGTTGTCCTCATTATCACCATTGAGGTCACGCCTGAGGAGATGATCACCGGAGTGAACCATCCGAAGAGTGCACAGGAATCGTCGGTAAAGCAATCCTATCGCTTACGGCATCTCAATATACAGTGTATATAACTGTGCTCTTTATAGGTCTGATTGAATCGTTTTGATTATTAGCACAAAACGGAGGAACGGTTTATGTGTTTGTTGTGTTGAGAGGAACAGTATGTTTCAGTGAAGATCATTATTAGTTCATTCAAAGAGAGAATAAGTAAGCTTTTAATGGAGATGTGGTGTCACTAATGCAGTCATAAATAGAGTTATCATTTGAGGCCTCGAATCGACTTTTTTTTTGACAATTTTCAGCCAAAAAGTCAATGAAAAGTCTGCAAAACGGCTATAAATTCGCGAACAATGGTATCGATTGTTGGACTCGATGTCGGAATCAATGAAATGAATGCTTTTTTGTGTGTCTTTTGTTGTTCTTTGTTTGGCATCTGTTCTCTATAGAGATCTTGAATACGGTTTGATTGGTGTCGAGACTCGACTGCAGTCGTAGTCCTGGTTTAGAGTTTGAAACGAAGGCTGATTTGGCGGACAGTTAGGTTGAGTTGATATTTGGTTAGTCGTGTTATAGACTGTTGTTTGCAATTGTGTCGGAATGTCAGGCATTGTTCGCCAGATTCTGGTCATCTGCTGCCTAATGGTGTGATAAATGTGTGAACGGGTTTTCACAGCTCTATTCGCCAGTCGGGAGGGGGTCCGGGACGGGACAGAGCGGGACAGCACAGGGAGTCAGAGAGAGAGAAGTGATCGCCTTTTGATAACACAATAGGTCTTCCCTTTTGAGTGAATGAATGAACGAATGTATGAATGAATGAATGAAATGAACGCTTCAGAGAACACAAAAATGTTTCAAAAAATGTTTTCATTGAAAATGCATTTCTTTTAGATTATTATTAAATAGACTTTTGAGTCAATGAATACACGTTTGGGAACTTCATCTCAGACTCAATACGACATCCAATAGTCGTAATACACGAGCAGTCCTTCACTTCTATAGTCATTCAGAAGCAGTCATATAATGACACCACTTCTCAACTCAATAGCTCTCTAATGCCTGGGAATAGACTTCTATAGGGAATGATAGTCGAGTCAACTGCCGGTGCAATATTGAGAGCAATGTTTGCTTTTTGGCGATAGCTTTACACGAAGTCATTATCAATTGATTTGATGGCAATTAACGCTTTGAACCCCACTATTCAACCGCTTCTCATAAATCATACGATTGTGTGCTTAAAAAGATTTTATTATTTTTTCTATATTTCTCAATATATTTCTTAATAAATGCCTCAATAAATACAAAACCAATGATTAAACCAATTATTTATTTAAAAAAAAACATTGTTATTTGGAGTCTATTGTTTGGAGTGGACCCACCCCACCCACCCCACCATCCCTACCACTCCCCAGCCATTAATTAGCTTAATATGTATGCACAGTGTGTTTTTGTGGCAATTTTCTGACTCTTATCTCTAATGACTGAAAACCTAATGACTTTTGAAAATCAATTTTTGTTAATATTTTTGTTATTTTCCATAGATTTGAATGAAAGCAACGGTTTTTGTTGTTTTGATGAGTAGTTTCTCTCTTGTATTACGTGTTCATCACATTAGTTGTCATGAAATTAAAGTTATTATGAAATAAAGTTTTTTTGGTTAACACTAAACATCTGTTTCAGACCTAACAGACAGACAGACGTGCAATAGTAAGAAGCGTTGAATCAATTGTCTATTGTATACCTAATTTCAACGTTAAAATCAATTATTTCATCGTTAAGTCGATAAAAAGCCGCAACAAATGGTGCCAAATATCATCTGACAGACAAACGACTACTTTATTTGATTACATCTAACAAATGGCTTTTACAGACATTGATTAACACTGACTCTAATATAAGTGCAAATAATTAGAGCACACTTCTCCTAAAAACACATATATCTTGATAGCACAGGTAGTCTATTGAAGGCCTATTACTACTCAATAACTGATAATCTTTGGAAACATTTCTCTTTTCTAATCAGAAATGAAAATCGTTACTCTCTTTGACGTCAAACTTAATGATTGATTGTTTTATTTATCAAAACATTTGATATTAAAGTCATTTTTTCTAATATTATTCAATGTTTAATATCTTATTTGACATCTTAATACCATTAAATGCCATTTATGTCTGATTTATAAAACAATATATGTTTCAAATTACTGCTGTTTTTATGCATAAACACACGGAAACACATATTTTTACTGTATTTTTGAAATAATATCTCAATTGAAGCACAAATTTTTGTTGAATGAATAAAAAACAAAAATATGAGAAACAGGTGTAATATTATTACGTTAGACATCAGACAAATGGTTTTTAACGCTTAAATTGTAATCAATCGTAAAAAACTACAGTTTTTACTGTCAATTAATCAATTAATTCAAACGGATTAAAAATATAATAATTATAATGAGTTATGAATAGTTGACATTTAAAAAAAGAGATAATAATAAATAGTTTTTAAATAATTATTGTTTAACTGAAATTTGATAACTATTATTGTATTATTGAATGTAATCTATCTTGGTGGAAAATCTATTTTACTGTTTATACACAATATGAGGGCATATACTGTAAATGTCAATTGAAAATTTACAAGGATGAGTAGTTAATTTAATTTGACTCACGATAAGCCTGAATAAAGCAAAAAATGTTTGCAAAAAATACAATTCAATAAAACGCGTTCACAAAACATCATTAATCGTTTACACAATAAAACTATTAAATCGTTTTTTATCAATAAAATTGTTATCATAATCAATGCAAGGCCTACAACACTACTGTATTATTATTAATACAATATTAACTTGTTATTCAATATATATATCTATACAGGGCTACTATTTATACAGTCCTGTATTAATAATACGATATATTTTATATAATACATAATACTGTAGTAATATTGTAATAATACTGTAATAATAGTGATACTATAATCACAACTATTGTAGTATTAGTACCGTATTGTTCATTCAATGCAATATTAGGTGTAAATATTCAAAATAAAAATTCAATAACAATGACATTCAATTAAAAACACACAAAAATTGCATTTAAAATCAATAAAATATGAGAAAATGTTGTAATAATTGGAAAATAATCGCTTAATAAATGTTTACATATGTTATGCTATTTCTAAGAATAACTACAATAAATACCTGTATATTAGCAAACAAATGACAAATAATTTATGCATTATATGTAAATGGTTTCATATAATTGCAAAAATGTTTATAAATTAGAAAAGCATCTGTGGTTTTGTGTAAAGGAATTTCACAAACAATTAATAAACATTTAAAACATATTTGATATCATTATTAGTGATTAATATTTCTATATTTCTGTTATAAATGTTTTCAAAGGAATATTCTTTATATAAATGATTGTATTATTAATGAAACAAAACTTCTTTATTTGAAAAAATTGATAGAAAAATATGAAGTTTACTATTGTGTGGATTATTGCGGCGATTAATGTCTTGAAAGTCAATTCTGAAAATTATTATGAAAACAATTGTCAAATAAAGTCTTACGGATTGAAAACCGTTGAAGCGATTCAAGAAGCCATCGATAAGGCCGCAGACAAGTCAGTCATTAAGTTGGATCCGATTACATATAAAGGCAATCTAGAGATCAAACGCGGCAAATATATCACTCTTTTGGGTGACAATCAGTGCAATCAAAACACCAAAATTGAAGGCAAAATCAGTGTTAATTCAGTCCAACATTGGATTATTAAATCACTGGTAATTGAGTCGACATCGAAGGCCATCGAAGTTGTCAACTCTGTGGACATAAAGCTGTTGAGTCTTGTGATTCGCGGAATTCGTGAGAACGGGATTCAAGTGTTTCAGTCGTCTAATGTTGTGATTAATAATCTGGTTATCAATGAAATAGCAAACAATGCTTTGGATATTAGGTTTACTTTCCATTAATTCCACTCTTTATTAATGCTTTTTCATTCAAAACAGAGACTCTTCTGGAGTGGAAATCAATAATATCGTCGCCTCTAATGTCAATGGAGTCGCGATTCTGTGTCATAACTGTCCGAATGTTGTCATGAAGAACGACGTCATTCGCAATACGGGTCACGAAGCCATTCAAGTCAGCGGTCAGTCAAACAACGGTCTGTTATCGCAATCAGTCATCACCAGTGATTCACCGCAGGGAAAGGCCTGGATCTACATTGAGGGCAACAACTGGCGAGTGGCCAACACTGTGGCGAATGGCGCTCCGAGAAACGGAATTGTGGTTTGAGATCAGATTCAAAGATTTGTTTGATTTATTTCCTAACATTTGGTTTTTCACAGATTAACGGTTGTAATAATCAATTCAATTCCAATATCTGTAATAATCGCGGATCTGGTTATTGTATTTTCGCCACAAACGACAACCACAACAACAACTGTCCGCAAACTCTGGCCATCACCAACATCAACAATGGCGGCTTAGGACTGACCAACCTGCCGTCCAATAGGAAACCCATGTTTGGTCCAAATTTCCCGTTTGGCAATAAAAGTCCGTTTGGCAAGAATTTCCCGTTCGGCTAACCGTTTGTTGTGTTTAATATATATTATAAATCTCTAGATTTTGTTTTTCTCTATTAATTATCAAATTTGTTGTTAATATTGTTATTAATATTTAGTTTTAATGTTTTAAACAATAAATTGTTATTTAATTCAAAGCAAACATTGATTTTGTTTTCAATTTTATTAAAATATCTGAAAATATTAATCGTTTAAACATTTCTAATGACTTTTACTGCGAATTAATTGTAAAAATACCTAAAAATCTGTGAATTATTTTCATATTTTGGAAAAATAGTGAGAAATTTAGTTAAAAATTGAGTTGAGTTTTGTTGTGAATGTGTTTGTGGCCTATAATAGGCTGTTTCGTGGAGTTTATGTTTTGTGTTAAAGTCGTTGGGATTGAAAAAAGCATTGAAGCGCTTCGGGAGGCAATCAATAGGGCGACGGTCTGTAATAATATCGATGGCATCACATATTGAGGCGATTTGAGAGGATTAACACCACATAAACCAGAGAACTGTTGGTTTTATTTGCGATAATCAAAACAGTTAAGTGTTGTTCAACAATATTGTGCTTAAAATTGATTAAAATTCTCAACAAATTTGTTCATAAAATATATGTTTTAATAATGTTTTAATGAATTCGTTAAAAGACTTTTCGTCTAAAAAATGTTTGAAAAATACAAGGCTTTCCATAATATTAACGGATTATGTATTAGTTTTTTGCTAATTATGAAAGCATTAAATAAATACACATTTAAATAGAGGTAAGTCTTCTTAAATGTCATTAAAAATTATCTAATTTTCTGCTGTTTTCATCAGTTTATAACTTATATACAAAATATTAAAACAGATTTGTATTGAATTTCTAATTTATATGCAATTAATCGCAAAATCAGTGAAATATTTATTTGAATTACTTATGAATGCAATTATTATTAGAAATTTAATGTGTATTAAAAGTGAATTTAAAAATATAAGACATTTCACAACAATTTCTAGACTTTTTTATCAAAAGAAAAAAGAATCAAAACTTTTAATCAAAACATTAATAGAAATGTTTGAAAACAAATAAACACAGAATTTGTGTTTAATTTATTACAAAAATTAAGAAAAAAGCATATTTTGTGAGCAAATGATAACTAAATATTAATACAAGACTCGAAAGCAGTTTATTATCAGTTTTGATGAAGAGTTTGAGTCTTGAATTGTGTGTGAAATGGCATCCGATCGACACTTTAATTATGTGAAAATAGGTCTGATTGTTGTCCACGGGTTCTTTCTTGTGGTACTTCTGGTCTGTATTATCCTTTCAATCGTGTCTTTAATTGGTTTATCTCAACAACAATTCGGCAAAATTCAAGTCCAATCAGCGAGTAATCGGAAAACCAATCAGTAATTAATGACAACTAAAATGACTTTTACTTTTGGATCAGATTTTCAATTGAAGACAACTTTAATAATAATGATTTCGTCTCTAATCCTGTCTTTGGTTTCATTGATTGGTGTCATTCGTGAAAACAAATATCTCGTCATTGCCTTCACTATCTATGGCTGTATTTCAGTGGTCTATCAGATGATAAATGCCAATCTCTTCGGTCTCTTAGTTGAACTCCCGTTCCCTACACTGATGGGAGTCTATGGCTATCTTATTGTTCAACGAAAAGCAGACAACAGTCCGACAACTACTGACTCTTTCACGGCTTAAGTATTGCTATAAATGTTTTTTATTTGAATTTGTTTTTTCAAATGTAATGTAAATGTCATTAAAATTATTATTTATTAAAAAGTTTTCTTTAATTTATTCAAAACTTTTTCTCAGAATTTTTGATTCATTTATCAAAAATGTAAATCAAAAATATTTTCTATTAATTTCTCGACAAATAAATCCAATTCAAGGACAGTCTTTTGCTGAAAAGTTTTCTCACAAATCGGTTGACAAAAAGAGTCAGTTTGTGGTGAATAGATGTCCGCAATGGCCGTTGATCCGTGTTTTTCGTGTTTAAAGATAACTCTAATTGTTGTTCACGTCTTGTGTTTTCTGTCATTGATTTCTTTGATTATTATTTCGACTCTCGCTTTGGTTTTTATTCCGCAACAGAATTACGACGAAATAGACGCCCAAAAAGCCAGTAATTCCACCGAAAAATATCCATTCAATTGACAATTAAAACCGATTTCTTTGTTTATCAGATGTGCAGTTGCGGTCGTCGTTGCTGATAATGAGTGCTTCGTTTGTCTTTGCGTTGATTTCTTTGGTCGGAGTCATTCGTGAAAACAAATTAATAGTAATTTCAGTCCTTATAGTGTATGCCATCTCTGCCGAAGCCTATCTGGTGGTCAATCCGAGTGTTGTTGGGTTTGTGTTGGAACTGCCGTTTCCCGCTTTGACGGCATTATATGTTTACCTTTTATTTATTCGCAAACGAATGCAAATCAATTCAGACTAAGTTTTTGTTTATTTTTAATGTAATTATTATTAAACAAAAACTCAATTAAATCTGTGAAAAACCGGTTTATATTAAGTCTTTATTTAAGCGAAAAATTATCAAATGATCGGTTGATTCACTAATTCTTAAAACAATTTCTGCAAAAATATAACTGTTTTAATGTCTCAATCGTTGACATTAATTGTGTCCATAATTGCGTTCATCGGAGTCATCAAAGACAACAAATCGCTTTTATTGACAGCTCTGGTCTTCACATCAGTGGCCACAGCCGTCAACATTGCGTCGGGAGCACTGTTCGAGTCGTTTCTCAGTTTTCTGGTTTGCGTTTCGACCGTTACTTATGTCGTCATATTAAAGGCCAACGAAAGACTTAATTCCCTTTTTATTCACAATTTCAGACAAAATTCTAACTAAATCTATATTTTTAACCAAAATATTGAATAAAACTTATGAAAAGTTATTTTTTTATTTAATTATTTATTTAATTAAAATATGTCTAAATATGTCTTAAATGTTGCAAAAAATCAAAGACTTTTGTCTTTTGAAAACCATTTACGAAAAGAGTTTTTAAAACAAATTTTGACACAATTTTTAGAGATTTATTATAAAAGAAAATCTATTTTTAGATAATTATGTAAACATTGGATAAAACGTCTTGAAAATGATATAATTAGCAAACAATGCATTAAAAAGTTGAAAATCGCGATTCAGTTATGATTTAATTGCAATTCTGATAATTATATTAACAATAATTAGAAAAACATTGATTTCAAGGCCTATTAATAGTTAATTAATAGTCAAAAGTGAAGTTTCATTGAAAACTAGAGTTAGTTTCGAAACAAACAAAGAATGGCAAACAATTCCAAAATAAAAACGGCTCTTAAGATGGGTCTGGAAGTGCTGTTGGTGTTGGCCATCATCGGAGCCATTATTTTGACAATTTATTCGAGTATTGAACTCAACAAATCCAGATCAGACGCTTCCGTAGACACAGACTCGGGTTTGTCATAAAATCATTAATCAATTAATTAATTAATTGAACAAACATGTCAACAGTTACGGTGATTCTGGTGTCGGCAATCCTAGCTCTGGTGTTTTCGGTGATCGGTTTGATTGGAGTTCTCAAAGAAAACAAATGTATTGTCGTTTTGCTCTTAATTCTCTTTATTCTCGAAATGATAGTAAATCTGGTGAACAAACAGTGGGCAACAGCTTTCTATACCCTTATAATCGTCGCAATCAACGCCGCATTCCTCTTCTATGTCTTCAAAAAAGACAACAACTCAGAAACAACCGCCGCTTAAGAATTATTTCATTTATTTTGCAAAAAAAAGTTTTGGCATTGAATTCAAGGTTTGGTTGAAAAACGAGTTTTCAATAAAAAAGTGTTTTTTTTGAACCAAAAGTCCGATTCTTATGTCATAACTGTTGGTCTTATGACAAGTGCTGGCAATGAATGCGAAAAGAGTCGATTAGTTGTCAATTGTTTGGGCGAAACACGTGTCGTTTTGAGAGGAAAGTTGTGTCGAAACGATAGCTAATAATGACTGAACTGTAGTTTCACTTTTGACTGACTTTCTCTTTATTATTTGATTATTGAAATGCATTTATTTGATAACATTATCAATAGATTTCTGAATAAAACTCTCTTTTAATGACTCATCCGACAAATGGATCTAATTTTTGGTATTGAATGACAAAAGACTGAAAACGATTCCCAAAACAATTCATTTGAAATCATCGGTCGATAAAAGGCATGAATTTTCGCCCAAAAAGACATGTTTTTCATTAGATTTTCATTCAATTGATTGCTTTAATGTCTAAAATGTACTCAAATTTGATTGCATTTCAATGTTTGCGACAAATGTTTAATAATTTTTAATAATATTTAATAGACTTTCGATTTGACACTAATTTATGACAAATTCAAGGCTTAGACGACGTCTCAAAACCAGAATTCCTTTAAAACAGAGCTCAGAGACAGAGATTTAAAACTAGTCTTTGAAATGCCATTAACGCAGAAATGCAGTCGTTTTGCGACGAATTCTTCGGTTCGTTTGGAATCCATTTCCCGACCGAATGTCTGCCAAAACTGTTTATTACATAAAATGCGATTAACTCTCGAATTAATCCTTTTGTTGGCAATAATCTCTTGGATTAGTCAAGCAGTCGTTGTTTTGCCGCAAATGTCAACCCGAAGAGGAATCGCCGAAGTGGACGCCGAGAAGAAGACCAGACGTATGCCTAATCAGACCTCCTTTTGCCACACTTAAGACAACTAATCCAACTAATCTCACGCAGTGGTGTCTCTGTTGATCACGTGTCTCGTGTCTCTAAGCATTGCTGTCCTGGGATTGGTCGCAATCGTCGAACACAAGAAGCTCTTGATCGCCGTTTTCGTCGGTCTTCTGGTCGTTTGGGTGGCCGTCGGTCTCGTTTTTTTCGCTCGATTTGCGAATTATTTTTACATTCAATCAGTTTTAGCCGTTTTTTCTTTACTTTACGTCAGTTTATGTGTAATCAAAGAAAACCTGAATTTATTGCATAATCTCTGACTCCTGACGCCCACGCAATCCCAAAATGTCGTGTTTAAGGATTTGTCGCGTATTTCTGGCCGTAATTTACTTCGAGATTCTGGTTTTGTCGACTCTTTCTGTCATTTATTTCAATCATTCAAACGATTATTTCATGTCTTCGGAAACCAAACATAAAAGTGAGTCAAAAGTCAACAAAACCTCGAATTAAATGTCTTTCTTTGAATATAGTCTTCCAACAGATCCTCATCAAAGCAATTGTCATTTTCCTCTCTTTGGTCGCAATAATCTCTCTATTGGTAAACGAATACCGATCTCTTCTAGTCATTTGCGCCGTCCAAGCCGTGGCCGCCGTCGCGTCGTCCGTGAGTTCGGGACGAATCGGACCGATAGAGGTCGTGACGGGTTTGGTGTCAATCGGAACGGGAGTCTATTCGGTGGTATTAATGTCGACATTGAATTGAATAAAGAGTTTTATTGATCACAAAATGGTTGGTTTTAGTCTTTCAGTCAATTCTTGTATTTCTCTTGCTTGACTTGGACTCAGTTTTGTCAAGACATCTTCGGTGACAATTCGCCAATGAACTCTTCCACTCATTTCCATCAAGTCTTCGCCCGAATAGTGCACGTGCCAAACTTCCGTCTCTTTCCACGCGTTGTCGGAATTCAATTCGCAGTCTTGATACTCACGTGACACTCGCTCTGTTCGCACTACACCTCCCTGACCTCCCTGAGCCTCAAAAAACCCGATCATTTCGGCACTTGTTGTCCATTCTGCGTCTGCGCGAAACAAATCCCTTAATTCTGCGTAAAGTCTGTCGTCGGAAACGAATCTTTCGGGTAAAGACATCTGATCCCTTCGTTCGGTTCGTTCGACAATTATCTCGAGTGCTTCGGAAGGAGTGGAAGCGTGCCATCGCGAGACAATCAGAAGAACGAAATGGTTTGGACCCCAACGCGGCAGAACGCCTCTTCCGCGTAATCCTGTTCTTCCCCTTGGATTCAATGGAAGTCCTGCGTCGTCCAATCGGTAAAGAAGGGGTTGTCCGTCGGGCTGTAGTGTCCAAGAGGTCCTGTCGATGGTGAGTCCCGCGGGATTAACGGAACGACAATTCCATTGCAAAACCGGAAGTTTGCTTTCAATGGATTCCATTTGTAATTCTCGTAATAAAAGGATGTCTTCGTCCACGTGACTCTGTATTTGCGGCGGAAAGTCGGTTCGGCTCTTGGAAAAGGCAACAGGGTCGTAGTCCACCCACAACACCTCCCACGCAACCAACTTGTCGGGCACGGGGACTCTCTGGACACGAGTTCCCGAATACGGCGATTGTCGGCTCAAGAAATGCGGTTTTTCTATGGATTCGGTCGTTAAGTCGTCTTTGCGTTCAACCAATCGGCGAAGTCTTTCAAGAGTCACGTGAGATCCGAGAACCAAACGTTCGATTTCCCGCATTCGGGTCTTGAGTTGTCGTAAAAGAAGTTTTTCGTATTCCGTCTCTTCGACCACCGTTTGGACACATTCCAACTGACGGCTCATTGAAGTCAAGTCTTCGGCCGCGTCTTCCTCTTTACGGACCAACTCTTGAGCCAAATGTCGCCATAAATTGTAATCATCTTCAGAAAGAACTCCCGAAGAATAGGGTTCGGTTTCGGGAGACGACAACAGACCGTTCTTTCGGCGCAAAGAGTCCTTCAAAGAGAGAAAACAAATGAATGAATGAATGAATTGAATATTGATTTACCGTTTGATCCGAAGAACGACAACAACGACAACAAAGAAAGCGATAAATCGAGCGAAGAGTGAAAAAAAGGTAACAAAAGATATTCAAAGGCGCGGGAAGTGGAAGACGATGAGCGAAATCAATGACCAAAAGATATCTTTGAAATTTCCAAATATTATCGGTTTCTGTTTGAAGACGAGAAGCCGTCGAAGAAAACAAAGCGTATAAAAGAGTCATTAAAATCAGTTTCAAAAACACCAAATATTGAATCGAAAACACGAGCGGAAAAAGTCCAGAAGCCGGACATGAGGCCGACATCGGAGTCACGGTTCCGCATTCCATGGGTTGCGGCGGATTTCCGAAGAAAGAAGTCGAGTTATAACAAGTGTTTTCCTTCAGTTCATCCAAAGGAGTGATGAAAAGCGCGAAAAACGCACGATGAAAGGCCCGACGCAACATCTCCATGTCTATGGGGGCGTTCGGGTAGAGAACGGCTTGAATGGCGACTCCCGAAGAACAAATCACCAAAAGAGCCATTCGCATGAAGTTCACGAAGTCCACTGTGACCATCAGTTTCAGACGGAACAACAACGGACCCAGAGTCGGCGAAATCGGCAAATGGACGGCGAAGAGGCGGTAATAGAAGTACAGAAGCGCGAAAGACAACAACACCTTCATGGCGTAGGTGGACACTCCGAAGACACGGCGGTCGAAGACGCGTCCGGCCGTATAGATGAGGACAAAGAGCGCGATTGCAATGATTTCTATGCATTTGAAAAACATGGGAACAGAAGTGTACTTTCGGTACAAAACAAATGTTCTTCGGATGTGTTCGACGAGAATGAGAAATGTCCATGCGCACACAAGAGTGTCCAGAGTGTAGTGTCCGCAAACTGGCCAAATGACGGCCAGAGAAAACAGACCCAAGAAAGTCACGTAAAAAAGCTGAAAAGTCCAGAATTTGGTGATTGGCGCCGACCACACCAAACACACCATTTCCAGCAGTGGCGGCTGACGACGGATCAGGATCTCCCGTGGCCAGTGCACGGTGCGGCGCGTGCGCGGCGGCGGACGAGCGGAGTATTGCGGGTCTTGTTGTTGTTGCGGATCTTGTGGCAGATCTCTGTCGTCTTCTTCTTCTTCTTTGTCTTCTTCGACCGAATTGTTGTCAAATCGAACCCAAAAATACATCGGAAACACGAAAATTGCGGCCAAAAGTATCTTAAGAGACGGCCAGAGACTGACCACTCCTAAACTGACTTCGCGCAGACTCAGACCTCCCATGAAGACAGTTGTCAACCATTTCTGAACACACGGATGGCCAACAAAGGTGCGGGCGCGGGCATTGGCGGCCAAATCGACGGCAGTTTTTCCGTTCCAATCAGAAGACTCTTCGGACAGAAGCGGAAAAGCGCGAGATTCGTCTCTTTGGAAACACAGATCGAGAACACCGACGGCGCGTTCGGCGAACAGACGCGACGGTTCCTGAAGAGATGTCTTCAGATTGTGTTCCGAAATATACCACGAAAGACGTTCAAAGGCCAGGGAAACGACCAGAGCTGAAGAGAAAACAAGAAAACAGTTTCAAACTCTGAAAAGTTCACAGTTTTCGGCACTTTTTGAGAGTTTTTCGAATAAAAATTCTAAAAATTAATTAAAACTTTGTTTTTAATAGTTTTTAATAATCGAAAAAATAGTTATAAAAATGAATTCAAAGAAAATAAATTTTTTTTGTTTATTAAAAAAATACTTAATTATAATTGTTTTCAAAAAACTTTTGTAAAAAAACTGAATTTCAAGGTCTGATAAGCACTGACTTTGAGAGCAGAGTTAGAAACAGACTCTTAGGACTGGATTTGCAATATAACTGTAATAAGGGCGTAACTACTAACATAATAGATATAATAATATATAATAAGATTTACTAAACATTTATAAAGTATTTTTCAAAGTAAACAACAGTTTTGGATAAAAATTATTTTCTAATAACAAAAATAAAATTAAAAACTAAAACAAAACTAAATATTTACTATTAAAATACAGAAGGGCGTATTATGCGTTCTATTATGTTGGTAGTTACGCCCTTATTATAAATAAAAAATACTTACCCAAATGAATTGGTTGATCCGAGTGTTTCCACAAGACTTTAGCCAATTGTTGTCTGTTGGCATAGACTGACCAAAGAGTGAGAACGGCCAGAGCGTGTCGTTCGGCGGTTTCGGGCGTTGCGTCCCAATACATGCCCATAACGTTGAGGGCGAGAGTCTGCGCGGAAACCAAATTCGGAATATCAGTCGTGGACTCAATCAACCAATTCAGGTCATTGTCCACAAAGTCTTTGTCAATGCGTTGAATCGGCGAATGTCCCAAAACTCCAGACCAACAAACGGATCGAAAGAATTCGTCGGAAAGTTGTCTTTTGAAGAGTTGTTTCAATCGTTTTGGAGACAAAAACTTATGAATTCTGAAGCCATGAGTGAGAAAAATATCAATAAATTCTTCGCGATTCGGACGCAAAAGCGCTTCCAAAAACATCTTCTTTTCCAAACGCAAAACACATGTCGGATCACGTGATATCACTTCAGTGGCCGCCACGTGAGGACAGTTCCAGTCGAGAGTCAAATAGAGATCTTCGAGAAGAAGGTCTGTAACCGGAGAAGCGTTTGTGTTTCGATCGGATTGCGAGCGGAAAAGCGCCAAAAGAAGGTATTCCTGGAGATTCTCGAGACGACATTGCGGGGAATGCAGGTTCACGACAGACAGGTATTCGCGACCCAATTGTCGACCCAAACGCACGCTTTCCACAACTCTATCGCGTAATATATTTCGGGCCAGAGTTTGGTCGCGAAGACGCGGAAACCGACGAACGATTTTGAGCGCGAGTTCGGGTTTTAGCGCCGATTCGACAAACTCGGGATCCCAAGCATCCCATTGGCCGCGAAGTCTTTGTTCGATTTGTTGGAAAGCAAAGGCCAAGACATCGGCCAAACCTCCCGAACCGCGCAAAACAACGACTGCTTGACGTCTTTTGAGAGCATCCAAAACCAGTCGCGCGCAATCATATCCGCCTTGAACTACAAGAACAACAATTGGTATTTCTTTGGAATTCATTGAAAGCGAATCCACAGATAATCTTCGGTTTTCTTCAAAACAGTCGTTTGAAGACAAAAAGTCCAAAAGTCGAGGCATAAACAGATTGATTCCCGTCTTGGAAACCGTATTGTCTTTGACGACAACGAAATGCGAATGATCGGCGTTCGGTTCGCGCGCGTCGTCCGCATCCACGTGAAGATCGACCGAAGACTGCAAGAAGGCGTTAACTCATAGCTTATTAAAGCAAAGACTTACGCCTTCGAAGGAAGCGTTCAATTGATCTTCTCTTAGAATTGCGATAACATTGAGAGCGCACTCGGCTTTGGCTATGTTTGCGCGTCGTTCGCGTTGTTCTCTGAGAACTGCTTCTCCGATAAGACGGGAAACTCCGGTATTGACGCCATTCGTCATAATCCACATATGCGTCGATCGCGCGGCCTTTCATTCAATTGTTAGTAATTATTAGTAATTAATTATTAATTAATAAATACTTTAATTAATCCGTTTTGAAATTCATTCAATTGTCGCGCGTTTTTCCATTCCTTCAAAGGACAGGCATTCGAAACAATGACTAAAACGATTCGCGGAACCGGAAGTGACCAGACGCCGTGAACCACCAGAACGACGTCCTCTACACGCGCGTCGTGAGTCACGCGCACAAAAGGCCGACCCTAACAGTCAGTATTAGATTAATTAATACTCGAATAAAGCAAACCTCAGATCGTCTTTGTTTTCGCCAAAAGTGAAGAAATCCTCGGTTCAAAAGAAACCTTTCGTTTGCGGCGAACAAACAGTCGGCTAAAGAACTGGAAGTCTGACGATCAACACTTGCTTTTACCGGCGGATCAATGCGTGATTCGCTTCGACTGAAGAGTCGGTGTTCGTCCACTACAAGAGTCGGTTCCGACAACTCGACGGCTCTTCGGGCTCGAGACCAATGGGCGGCAGTTCTCAAGCGATTTGCGATTCGACGAAAAGCACCGTTCGATCGACGGACAGTCGTATCGGCCGAAGAAGCATCAGTTGTGTGATCTTCGCCTAACATTTGTCTCAATTCATGGATTTCTTCAGACATTCGGCGAAAAAACTATTCATTTGTTTGAAAAAAATAAATAAAAAACAAATTATTTCTTTCATAAAAAACGTCTAAAAAAACTTTTTTTTTTTGATTAATTGGTTTTGAAATTTCGAAAATCGCGCGAAAACTGAGTGAAAATGTGTTGATTTTGGCGCAGAAGTGGACAGAAATTGCTTAAAAAATGCCGAAAACGCGATCCGAGTGTTCATCTGATCCGTCGGTGAATTGCTTCGAATGCATCAAAATATCTCTTCTTGTGATTCATTCTCTACTATTAGTTGTCGTTATTCTTCTGTCAGTAATGTTTTTGACAACTCTTTTGTTAACCGAAGAACAGAACGACAACACGGATAAGCATTTCGCGGGTTTTTCGGGATTAACGGCCGCCTCAGCGGTCGTCCTGTTATTGGTCTTTGAAATCGTGGTTTTGATGGGAATTCTTCGCGAAAACCAATTAATTATATGTTTTTATTTGTTTTTCGCGAGTTTAGTGTCTGTCTATAGTCTGGTCACTCAACCCTTTGTTTCGGGAGCTCTGAGTCTTGTAATTGTCTTTCTGATCGCGATTTACGCCGTTTTTGTCATTAAAAACAAAAGAAATCAATAAATAATATTTTAATCAATAATTTAATCCATTTTTGAGGGAAAGGCAGTCTATTTCGTGATCTAAATGTCAAAAAATTCAAATAATTCCGCAAACAGTTGTCCGAAAAAGTCTTTGGATCCGAATCTTTGGTGTCTTTGAAGTGATTTTTGGTCTGAATTCTGATCTGAAGTCAAGTGAAAGCAATGACTTCAACGACAGAAATATCGAAATCCTTTGAATCTTTGGATAAAAATTATTATTAAAAGAATAAGAATTACAAGAATTACCCGAAGAAAGCGATTGATTGGCAAAAGTATCGCAACAATCGCTTTGTCCGCGAGTCAGAGACCCGTCGATGAAGAGTCCGAAGCGTCCGCCTCCCGAACCCACGCAAAGACTGGTTTGAGTTGCGGACATGAAGAGCTGTTGAGAATGTGATTGGATCTGTTGGTTGCGTCCAATCCATTCCCATTTGTTTAGACGCGGTTTCAAAACAAAGAGAAAGGTTTCTCCCGTTCCGAAGTATTGACCAGATTTGGTTCCGCTTAAATCCAAACGACGGTTCCAAGCCGTCGAACAAAACGCACCGAAGACGTCGTCCCGAAGAGTTCGCACCAACAGAACAGTCGGTTCCAAATCTCCGCAAAGAGTGAAGAAAGTCTGCAAAGAATTTCCGTTTTCTTCCGAACAAAACACGACTTCCGGTTCTCTGACGACAACTCTTTCCGGAAGCCACGCCCACAACGCGTCCGCCAACGCCCACTCCCGCAGAACCGAACTGCGGAAAGAGCGCGGGGCGAGTCGGGCGCCGATGATCCAATCGGCGGGGTTGAGTTGGTCGGGGAGGAGGGGTTTGAGATTGGGTTGAATTGTTTGTTCGTTTTGAATGAGTTTAGAGATTAAGGAAAAGCGGGAAATGTTTTTTCGGGACAAACGGGACAAAGAAATGGCGTTTTGAATGAGTTTTTGCGGAGAAATCGGAGGATTAGAACAGAGATTAAGGACTTCTTGGAGAGAATGACAACTGTTTTGATGACAAAGAATGGAAAGCGAAAGAGATATCCGAAAAAGAAATTTATGGCCTTCACAGAGGAAACAGTCCACCACTCGGACCACGTGTTCGAAGGGAAGCGCGAAGATCCCTGCGAATAGAGGGATTGGATTAGAGATCGGATTAATGAGAGTTTGTTTGATTACATTCGAGATAATTCGCAAAAACGGAATCCAAAACCGAATTTCTGAGTTTTCTTCGTGCTTCTCGACCAACAGCTGATCCGCCGAAAAAAGACAATCGTTTCGTGAGTTTTATGAGAACAACGGCGTCTCGAGTCGCGTCCGAACGGGAAGTACTGCAAAAGTGCGGATCACGTGACTGAAGAAGTCGATAGAGAAGTCGATAAACAGTTGTCGAGTCATAAAAGTGAAGACAAATGGCGGCCAAAGGGAAGAGCAGAGGCGCGTAAGTCACGTGAGGACAGTCTGGGGATTAAGGGATTAGAGATTAAAGAGATTATCTGTTTTGAGACTCACTTTGAGAAAGACTCCAAAGAATACGCGAAACGTCTGAATAATTGTCGGCTTTGAGACCGAAAAACCGCGAAACACGCGGATCAACGAATTGCGGCAATTTGTTGGACACTTCTATGTCCGCCAACAGATCCTCTTCTGACGGATCTTCGGAGGAATGTTTGGCCACTAATTCGCGCCACAAATCGTCTCTAATCGAGTCGTTTATCGATATATTCAACGAACGGATCGTTTGTTTCAATTGTCTTAAAGAAGACGAACGAATGATCGCCAAAGACAAGGACGACGACGCCGTGGAGGGGCCGATGGAGGCGAGGGAGGCGTCGGTCAGCGCGTGAAGTCTCATCGCGGGAACGCCCACTCACTCCACAAAACACGACTTTATTTACAAAAAAATAAAAACTATTTCCGAAGTATTTCTGACGTCTTTTTTGGACTATTTTTGCGCGAAATTTGAAATCAATTTTTGGTTTCAAATCAAAGAAAAAGTCTTTTCAAAGAATAAAAAATTGATTTTTGGTTTTGTTTTGTTTTTTAATTAAGTTTTTCGCAAAAAAAATAGTTTTTTTCGTCTTTTTCTAAGTTTTTTTTAATAACTTTTGATTTAATGACAGGAAATGAAAAATATTTTAATTAGAAATTAATAGAAAATTATGAGAAAATGGCGTTTAATTTAATGAAATATCTTTTGTTTCTTTTGTCTTTTGAATCAATTGTTAGTCAAAAACAAGACAATCCGTGTTCTCTTGCAGCTGATCCGGTGGCATGTGCTCAGTCGCAGTTGATCCGCGGACAGACGAATATCGGAATTCCGTCGGCGTGTTTCCAGAGAGTGGACGCGGGTCCGTGTAGTCAAGACTTGGTTCGCATTTATTTCGATTCCAAGACATTTACGTGTAAATCGTTTTCGTATTCCGGATGCGGAGGAAACGCCAATCGCTTCGTTTCGGTCAAGAATTGCTACAAATTGTGTCATCCTTATTATAGACAGCGATTCGTGAAGTTGGGATCAGATTCGGGACAACCGCCGAGTCCTTTACCGAAATTCGGTATAAAATTAATTCATTTAATCAGAGATTAAAAGTGATTATCGTTTAGAAGAAAAAGTTATCGAAGAATGTTCTGAAAGAACGACAACTGATCTCTTGAGTGAAGATTCGGGAGGACAACAAAGATCCACCACTGAAGACGTCGTGTCAGACGATTCCGGAGCCAAAGACAGAGACACCGAATGTCCGCAACCGACGGAAGTCACGGAAGTGTCGGAAGTGATAACGTTTTGCGAAGAATCGACAGAATTGGAAGTCATTTCTGAGTATTTTTGAATTAATATTAAAAAGATTTTCGGAATTGATTTTCTTCTGTTTGAAGATCTATTGGACCAATTGATTGCGATTCCACCGAAGGATCGAGTAGTGGTGGAACCAGTAGTCAGACGGGAGCGGCGAGTACTGAGACGGGAGGCAGTAGTGAGACGGGAGGGGCGAACAGTGAAAGCGCGACAGAGAGCGGGACAGAGAGCGGGACAGGAGCAGACGGGACGACCGGGAGTGAGAGCGGGACAGAAACGGGAATAACCACTGAATCGGCGGGAAGCGAAGCGACGACTGGATCGGCGGCGGATTCAACGGCAGAGACGACGGCAGAGACGACAGTCGAGGGTGGGGTGGAGACGACGAGTTCGGGAGAACAACAGACCACAGAAGGAGAAACAACGACTGCGGCGGCGGCGGAGACGACGGCAGAGACGACAGCAGGAGAAGAGACGACGACTACAACAGCGACAGAAGAAACAACGGAGAAAATGGCTGAAAACGCAGAAACAACGGCGGAAGGGGGGACAGAGACGACGACCGACAAGACGACGGAGAAGACGACGGAAGAGACGACGACTTCGAGTGAAAAGGAATCGGAAACCAAAGAAACGACAGAAAATGGCGTCGAATCCACGCAACAAACCATCCAACAGTCCACGGAAGCGACGGAACTGACTTCGGAAGCAATTTCAACCGAAAAGACGTCTTCCGAAGAGTCTTCGACTGAATTGTCGTCTGAAATGAGTTCTGAAACCGAAGTTTCCGGAAGTTCTGAATCACAATAAATAAAATGTTTTATTCGATTTGAATTCCAGAGTTTTCTGTCTTGAGATGCGCGGGAGGGGGGYAATCCAGACAAACAGTCCTTCGAGTCTTTGGTCTTCGGAATCGTCTTTAAAATGATTTTAGTTCTCAATCCCGGAGCGCACACGTGATAACAGTTTTTTATAGAAACGAAACGATTGGCGTTTCCTCCGCAACCTTTCGAACAAAAGGTCAAAGGTTAACATCGAATTCGAGTTCAAGTAATAAATACCGGAATACGAAAAGTGTTTGCATCTGTGGGTCCGGAAGTCGTAAAAAACGCGAATTACGTCTTGACCACACGGACCAGGATCACTTCGCTGATAACACACCGCCGGAAGTCCGACCGAAGTCTGGCCGCGGATGAAAGCGGCCGAAGTCTGAATGGAATCGTCTTTTTGAAGACATTTTTGTTTTTGTCGAACGAATAGTAAAGCATTCGAAAAGTAAACGAAAAATAGGAAAAAGAAAACGAGTTTTTCAGACATTTTAACGGAAATTGAGTTTTATTTCAATTAATTTTCTATTAATTTCCGGTTTTTTAAACGGTTTTCTGTTTTTCCGATTGAATCAAAGTTAAAGTCTTTTTCGGATTCAAAGGATTCGGAAATTGACGGAAAACCAGATTCGAAGACAATTCGCGAGTCTTTGGACTGCATTTGCGGTCATTTGGGATCAAATAAGCTCTGATTGCAGAAACGACACGTGGTTTCTTGACGTCCGGATCGAACGGATGGCAAATGTCGTAACAGTTCTTGACTGAGAGGAATCGGTTGGCATTTCCTCCGTTTCCCGAAAACGAAAACGGAAGACACAGTTGAGTCACGGGATTGAAGTAATAGCGGAACAAATCGTCGGAACCGAAGCCTTTGTCCGGAGAAAGAGAACACAACTCCCGGACCGTCGTCTCCGAGATTGGCGGACATTCGGCCGACAAATAGAGCGACGGATTCACCAAAAATACGATTAGAAATGAGAAAAACATTTTCCAGAAAAACATGTGTTTATTGTGACGTCATTTCCGGTCTTTTATTCGAAAAACGGATTTTCGAGAAAAATAATTTGATTTTCTTTGACTAAAGGCAAGGCTTTCATGTCCACAGAGTTTCCATCGCTTTGAGAGGCGGGAGGGGGCAGACGGACGTTCTTTGTGACGACCAATGGCCAAACGGAGTGACCGGAGTGGCCGGACTCACCCGATTGGTCAAAGTGGTCAAAGTGACCAAGGCCAGTCGAATACGATTGAATCGGATTAAAGTTCTTGGAATTGAAATATGAATTCGCATTCAAATTGTTTTTTCTGTCTTGAAATTCGATTTTCGGATCTAAAGGCGGAAGAAATTCCGATTCTTCTGATGTCTTGTCTTTTCCTTTACCACAAGTCGCACACGGAAGTGGATCTGATCGCACTGTTGGATCAATTAAATCTGTCAGTTAAATCAGATCTAATCAGAACTAATCAGAACTAATCAGAACTAAAACAACTCAAAGAACTCAATAAAACTCACCGAAAGTCAAGAAAAACACGACAAAAACAAAAGAAACCATTTTTTAATTAAATAATTAATTATTGTTTTAATTAATTCATTAATTTCGCCGAAAATTCGACCGAAAAGTGAATAAAAGAGACATCTATTGACTGAAAACGAGTTTTAAGGAAAAGATTGCAAAAGATTGGGATTTAATTGAAAAAACGGGAAATTATTTCAAACTTTTATTTTTGCAGAAATTATATCAAAAAATGTTATCATTTAATGAGAAAAATGAATAAAATTGAGGAAAAAAAGAGTTATTTTTTAATAAAATCAAGTTTTAGTCTCTGTTTTCACGCAATTTCGAGAAAAACCCGTTTTTCTGTTGAAAAAAACAAAACAAAAATCAATGAAAATATTTGAAGCGATTCTTTGAATGTCTTTTTTTGATGACTTCTTGAGCGCCATCTTTTGGATTCAAAAATTCGTTTCAATTATAAATCAATGCATTGAATACAGAGTTTGTCTAAAGAGGGCGCCACTGATGGGCGCTATTATTAAAGGCGTTATTAATACTATTATTATTATTATTACTGTATTATAGGTTCAGTTGTTGTTAAGGAAAGACAGACTGAAAGAGAGAGGACAGGGATGTAGAGTAGAGTCGCGTGAAGTGAAGCGAAACAAAAAGCTATGAATAATAATAATAATATCAATGAAAAAGTGATTTGTTTTTTATCTCTTTTTTTTCATTAATTATTAAAAACGCATTTATTTAATGACTGAAAACCTTTTGATTATCTTTTCTGACATTTCACGCGACTCTACGACCGAACGAACCGAAGGGATGGCACAGAAACACGCGATCAGAGCATCAAAAACGGTGAATCCGAGCGCGTGCTGACTATAGAGTGCGTGAAAAGGTTGAATGAACGCGCGATTAAACCATTATTTGCTGTGAAATTGGATTTCAAATTGATTTTCAAAAAAAGCATTAAATTATTAGAAAAAACAAGACTTTTATTCACAAAAATAGTTTCAAAAAAAAGACGACAAAAGAGTCTTTGATTTTAAGGGATTTTAAAGATTTAAAAGGATTTCCCTTTTTATTCAAAGACGTCTTTTGTCTTTTAAATATCTGTTTTGACGCCAAAGCGGCGGTCATTTCGGTGCAAAAATTGCGTAAATGACAGCTCATTGATTGATGATAAGACACGTGACGGACAGTCAGACCCTTGAGAGACGAAAACCCGTTCTGAAGGACGAAAACTATTGTATAAAAGGCTTTTTTAGTCCGACTTTTCATCGAAATTCCAAACAAAATGATTTTTGTGTCGTCTTTGGTCTCAATTATTGTCGTTTTGGACGTCGTCTTTGCGTCCGTCGTCCCGGACGTCACACACGTCAACAATAATGTCGGAATCGCTGTCTTCCAATCATTCAATTTGGACGACAATCTGGTGGTCAGTCCTCCCGTCGCCACCGCATCTCTGGTCACACTATTGATGGCCGCGAAGGGCGAGTCGGCGGACGCGTTGAGAACAGCTCTGGAAATGACACCAAAAACTGGTTTTTATTGAAAGTGAAAAAAGAGTTTTGTTTTGAGTTTTTGTCTGTTTTTTAGACGAAAAGTCTTTTTCTTCACTTTTGAAACCGATTTCTGAAATAAAAAGTTCTCAAAGACTGATATCTTCTGAAAAACCGAAAAAAGATTTCAAAACAATTGCAAAACAATTGGAATCAGAAATCATTTCAATTGATTTCTCTTCAAAACAATCGGCAAAAGACTTGACTCTTTGGTCTCTAAACGCTTCCGACGGAAGAATCGCCGTAAAAGACATTTTGGATTCTAAACAACAATTGATTTCTATCGGCGTTGTTGTCGCCAAATTCACGGTCCCGATGCGACCTGATCCCCGAGAACGCGATTTCCATAATTTTGTTTCCTATTCTTTCCCAGGAATGGCGTCTCGAATCCCGTTTTTCTCGACTGAAACCGAATTGAAATCAAAAGACTTTTCCGAAGAAAAATCGATTTCAGTTTTGATTGATTTAAACCAAGATTTGTCTCTATTTTTGGTGAGTTTTCTGTCTTTTAATTGTTTTTTTTATAAATTTTGAATTTTAAAGGTTTTGCCGAAAACTTCAGAAGATTTAGAGTTTTTAAACGAAAACTTAACGCAAAGTCTTTTGGAAAAAATGATTTCCGAAACGACAAAAACAACGGCGAAAAACATGCGATTAATTGTTCCGCAAATTCGCGTCGAAAGCGGTAAACATTTCAATGTTTCGATTGTTTTATCGATTAATCGAAAATCGTTTCAGAAATCGATTTAAAAGACGTTTTCGAAGAATTGAATTCGAATTTCGATTTTAGTAAAGGATTCGATTCGAAGACCGAAATCAAAGTCTCGAATGTTCTTCAAAAAGTCGCGCTCGAAGTGTCCGCCGAAGACCAGGACGAAGATCAAGATCAGAATGACAAAGACGAACCGACTCCGGGAGTTCCCGAACTGGTCTTCGATCGGCCGTTTGTGTTTGCATTGCTGACGTCGTCCGGAACGACGGTTTTGTTGGGAAGAATTCAAAGTCTTTTCGACGAAAAAGTGTTGTCTTTTCAGTTCATTTAAAATAATAATTCATTTTAAAAATCAATAAAAGCTTTATTTCTCTCAAAAATGTGTTTTAATTTCCGAAAATTGCGGCCAAAGATCGCGCCTTAAAAGACAATTCAATTAATTAAGAGATTAAGAGATTATTTGACTCACAATTAGCGGGAAATCAAAAGAAAGTTGAGTTTCTTTCGGCGAAATATCTTCTTTCGGACAAAATTCAGATGATTTTCCGCAAAACATTTCGAGAGTTTGTCGAAGAAACGGAAGAATCGGATGTTTTTGCGGACAAAGAGTTTTAGATTTGTTTTGAATGCAGTTTTCGGTGAAAGAAAAAGAACAACAAAAAGTCGAAAAACGTTTTCCTTTGAATTCATTGGAAATCGAATTCATTAAAGAAGTGTTTAGTCTTTGGAAACAGTTTTCGGACTTCAGAACCGAATTCAGACATTGGTTTTGCTCGAGAGTGGCCGGGGATGTGGTCGGAGTCGGACAGAGTGTGGTTTGGATTTTCGCGAAGGGACGAGACATCCAACGAATGGCTGAAAAAATCAAAATTAATTTCAAATAAAAAATGAATTGTTTTCTGACTTTCGCTTTGAAGAGAAGAAAAACATCTTTTTTCGTATTTTTCGAGACTTTTTCGGAAAAAAAAGAGTTAAAAAACGTTTGAAATCTTTAGAAAGTTTATACCATTCTTGAGTTTTGTTGATATTTTTGCAAAACTCTTGAGTTTGTTCTTGAGATTCGGGAAGCGGTCGATTGGAGTCAAAAGTGGACACAAAAGAGATAAAACAAGAATCAATTTCTCGGATTTGACACGACTTTAGAGTCAAAGAAACCGAGATTTGAAGACAAACGACGAGAAAAACGATTTTTAGAGACATTTCTTTGGATTAATTCAGAGATTAAATGAATTTTTTTGAAAAGATTTAAAGATTTTTAAAGAGAAATAAATCCCAAAAATGTTTGCGTCGTTCGTGACGTCACTGAAGACGACAGAGTCGTTGCTATGGCGACGCGTCGACCAAGAAATGGCGAATCAAAACAGAGTTGAAGACTTGGCCGCAGTTTCGGCGAATCCGACGGCTATTGCGGACGTTAAGCGCGAAAAAGAGGTTCAGTTTCACGTTCAAGAAGTGGGAGACACGAGATTCTGTATTCTTAAGAGATATCAAAACCTCAAAGCCATTGGAAGCGGTGCTCAAGGCATTGTCTGGTTTGTTCTACATTTGGGCCCTTTTGTTGCTTGGATTGTCATAGAGTGTGTAGTAGGAAAAGGTGCTAAATGTGTGCATTTGTTTTGATTGCAGTGCGGCCTACGACGCGAAGACTGGTCAGAATGTGGCCATAAAGAAGTTGTCGCGTCCGTTCCAGAACGTGACGCACGCCAAGAGAGCGTACCGGGAGTTCAAGTTGATGCAATTGGTGAATCACAAGAATATCATCGGATTATTGAATGCTTTTTCGCCGCAAAGAGGTTTAGAAGACTTCCAAGACGTGTATCTCGTGATGGAACTGATGGACGCCAATCTGTGTCAAGTGATTCAAATGGATTTGGACCACGAGAGGATGTCGTATCTTCTCTATCAGATGTTGTGCGGAATCAAGCATCTTCACGCGGCCGGAATCATTCATCGCGATCTCAAGCCGTCGAATATTGTCGTTCGAAGTGATTGTACTCTAAAGATATTGGACTTCGGTTTGGCCAGAACCGCCGGCACCACTTTCATGATGACGCCATATGTGGTCACGAGGTACTATCGGGCGCCGGAAGTCATTCTCGGAATGGGATATCACGAGAACGTCGACATCTGGAGTGTCGGGTGTATTATGGGAGAAATGATAAGAGGTTTGTCTCGTCTTTCAATTCATACTTCGAATTGATCCAATTGATCCAATTCATGTCCATCTGATGGATTAGGAGCCGTGCTGTTCCCGGGCACCGACCACATCGACCAATGGAACAAAATAATCGAACAGTTGGGAACTCCTTCGCAGGACTTTATGCGTCGTCTTCAGCCGACGGTAAGGAATTACGTGGAGAACCGCCCACGATACGCCGGATACGCGTTCGACAAGTTGTTTCCCGATTTGTTGTTTCCGGCCGATTCGTCGGAACACGCCAAACTGAAGGCCAGTCAGGCCAGAGATCTGTTGTCGCGAATGCTTGTCGTCGATCCCGAACGACGCATTTCGGTGGACGACGCACTTTCCCACGCCTACATCAACGTCTGGTTCGACGACGCAGAAGTCAACGCCCCCGCACCCGCACCATACGACCATTCGGTGGACGAAAAGGAACACACAGTCGAGCAGTGGAAAGGTATGAAAAGAATGTCTGACTGAAGAATGTCTTTGAATGACGTTTTCTGGTGTTTAGAACTGATTTACGAAGAAGTCAAAGAATACGAAATCAGACGACGTCTTCGGGACGACGACCGGACGACAGCCACGACTTCGACGTCCGAACGGACTCAACGCGACTAAAAATGGACGAAAAGTGCAATAAACACCGGAAGTCCTTCATTAGCACTTCCGGCGTCCCTTTACCTGTGATTTACTGCAATTTTGTGCTTCCGGCCGATTGTCGCCGCTCTCGATGTGCTCCGATGCGCTCGAGTGCGGCGAAGGCGGCGCGCGGGCAATGAAAGGGGGAAAAACGCGAAATGAGTTTTTATTGGATAAGAGATCAAAGAGTTCTTTGGTTTGCGTTTCTGCGACTGCGCAGAACATCACAGCGAAACCGTCGTCCGCGAAGACGAAGACGGCGGAGACGACGGCGTCCGAGGCGGCGGAAGACCGACAGCCGAACCCACGGCGGCGGCCGAGTAGTAGTACGGATCTAAGGATTAAAGGGATTAACGGATTAATCATTAAAACAGATTAAAAACATTGAAAACTGACTTATTTGAAGCGAACTTTGTTGAACTGCCGAAGCGACAGGTGCTGATTGCGCAGTGGCCAGTTGGCCGTAGTTTGCTCCGTATGAGGGCGAGGCGTAGTAGGAGGCGTGGGCGTGGTGGTAAGCCGCGTAATAATCACCGGAAGCGGCAGTTGATCCTGCGGGAGAACAGAGAGAGATTGAAGCGCTGTTTGGTTGTGATCCGGTTGGATATGAGGTGTTGGCAGTGACGGACGGATGAATGGATTGGCCGTAGAAGTAGTCATTCGATTGATTGACTAATTTATCCATTTCGTGGTAAGTGGGCGTCAATTCGGACGACGAAGACATCGTTTGCACTGTTTTTTGTCACAATTTTTGTTACATTCTGTTTGTCTGAGTGTCTGAATGACTGCCCGAAACACCGAAACACCGAAAACCCGACCGAAAGAACCGAAAAACAGATAAACACTTACCGATTGGAGGCGTGTATAGAGTTGTCGTTTCATAATGAGGTTGACTTTCGGAATGTGACGAATGATGTGTCGTCTCAGACGACGCGTTCTGACCAGTCGTTCCATAACTTTGCGTCCAATACGACGTCTCGGACGACGGCTGGACGACAGATGCCGACGTCGTGGGCGACACAAACGGCGGCTTTATATCTGATGATTTGAATTCGGCGGCCGGTGAACGCGACTCAAAGCGGGCGGTCGTTCGGTCGGTATCGGCCGTGGCGGGGGTGTCCTCCTGTCGCGACTTGAGTGCGAGGGCGCGCTTTTCGGAGGAATCGTGAGAAATGCCAAGAATTCCGTTAATGGAATACAATTGCGAGTGTTGTGTCGTTTGTTGTTGTTGTTGTTGTTGTGAAACAATTACCGACGTTTCGGCGGACTTTGGAGTGGTTGTGGGCGACGGAACCGAATGATGATTGTGGTTGTGATGATGTTTCGCTTTTTCCGCCGCTTTATTCCTAACTATTCTATTGATAGACGAAACCGAAGGAATGTTATCCGAATCGCAGATTCCGTCCGACAAAAGGCGGTCGCGGATCTCCCACGCGAACATTGTCGGATTCGACTTCTTGTAATTGGCAATCGCGTCCACGACCCGCGGAGTGGCCACTTTTGGTTTCGAACCTCCGATAACTCCCGGCTTTATTGAACCCGTTTCGTAATAACTGAGTGGAAAAAAGTTGAACCTATAGTATACATAACATAACATACCAGTGCTTTCGTCGCAAAGCTTTTGAACCTATAGTACAGTAAAAGGCATTCCATAAGTCACCCTTCGGTGACTTATGACGACTTTTCTCGCGTCTATCGGCTGTCGTCTCGGACGACGCCACCGACGGCGGTGTCGTCCGAGACGTCGGCCGAAAAAAAAACTGAACAGAAAGTGTTTGACTGATTGTTCGGTTTTTTGGTATTTGAGAGCTCTTCTCGAGAGTCAAACGTCGCGTGCAATGAGAGCGCAGTCGAACGCATCGTTCCGTTTCACGTGTCAAGCGTTCACTCGAAACGATGAAAACAACACGTGATTCGAACGACGGCCGGACGACACACACAACGAGGTCAGTGTTAAGAGTGTTAAAAGAGTTGGAAAGAGTGGACGACGACACTTACCGACCGAGAATTTTGGAGACACAGCCGTGAGAAACGCGTAACTGTCGAGATATATCACACGGACGGACGCCCTGATGCGCCAATTCGACAATTCTGGAGCGGACAACATCGGGAAGCGGTCGGCCGTTGACGAAAACACCTCCCAATTGATTGACGCCTCCGTGACCTACAGTTTAGAAAAGTTAATCCGAGTTTTGAATACAAGTGTTGTTTAAATACAGGAGTAATACTCCATCATTGAGGCGTTGTAGCGATAGAGCGAGAGATCCATCGTTTGAGACGTCGTTCGGGACGACGGCCACTAACACGACGGACACAGACGACGACACGATAGAGACGACACTTTTTTGGATGTAAAAGACGTGAAGCGGAACCGAAATCCTCTCAAAGACTGATCTCTCGCTCAGCGCTGAACGCGAGCCCCAACTCTGCCACAGAGCGCGAGAGACGCGCGTGCGAGCGCTCATCCAATGGGTGCGCTTGGGTCGCGCACTCGCGTTCGGCACGCACTGAGCGTCGCTCGCGCTCTGATCGACAGTCAGTTCGATAGACAGACAGAGAGTCCGTCGTCTTTGAGTTCGTCGTCTCGGACGACGACAACTGAACGACGACTTTTGGAAAACTTATAGAAATTCTTACGTTTTTTCTTGGAATTCAAACAATGATTTTGTTGTAGACTTCGGTCGCCATTTGAGCCGAACTCCGCGTCGCCCGAAGTCATCAGAGCGTGCGTGTTGGCCAACAAATCAAATTGTGGCGGCAGCGCGGCGTGGGTGGCGGAGAAGTCGGCGGAAGACAAGTCATTCATTAGGAACGCATTTTGCATACGAAACGGACGGACGAGTGGACGGGTGGACAGCGGACGGACTGACGGAACGAGAATTGTATTCAAACAGAGAGTTGTTGTCACAAATCGAGCGAAAACTCGACTAAAAGTCAGTGTTTTTTTGCGATCTTTGAAAACAATTGCTTTCAAGAGCTGAGCTCTGATTGGCCAATGCTGTCGTCACATCCGCTCACTCCTAATTAGAGGCATTACCTGTTGTAACAATACCAGAGTCTCTCGCTCTCCACCTGTCACTCCATTCCGTTATTATTGACTTCCTTTGCCCGCAGGCGACGAACGAGACAACAATCAAAAGGAGGATTCGCTTCAATTCCCAACACTTTATTCAATCCGACGAAACGGCTTCGCGCGCGCGTTAAAGTCGCGAAAGCGCGGCCAAAACGGGGTACAGGGGGCGGGGGGTTTCAAGGGCTCAGTGGGCCGAACGTCGTCCGGCACGACGGCCAATGTGTCGTCCATAGTGTCGTCCGGGACGACAATCCATTCATCGCTTTTTTGTTGTCTTAAAGCGAACAAAACGTTTCCTTTAGTTTTCGCTGAAATAATAAATAAAAAAAAGATAAAATAAAGTCTTAATTAATGACTTTTTTTGCTTACTGTCCGGAGACGTCAAGTCCGCAAATATGCCTTCACATAGATCTCTTGTCCGACGTTCCTCTTTAGCCATTTCCGCTTCGTTCGGCTCAAAGTCCAGAGAAGACAAGTCCTGAGAACTCAACAACTAATGAGTCGTCGTTCCGGACGACGGCCACTCACCTGCACGTGACGCGGGTCGAGAACAAGACGCAGATTCGGCGGACCTTTAATTGGAAAAGAGTTTTGAATGTAATGTCAAGACTATTCTGACCTTTGACCGGACTGACCTTCGGAAATGGTATTGGCGTGCGAGTCGTCGTCCGCCACCCCCGCGCCGTCGTCGTCGTCTTCAGTGGAAGCGGTTATCCATTGCATTGACTTTTGTTGTCGTTTTTCAAACATTTCACGTCCTGCGGGACGGGACGGGATTCGTGAGTGAGTAGTGAGACGGGAATTCGGGAAATTAGTTCAAACCCTTTGATTTTGCGTTTTGTTTATCAGAAACGAGTTGTTTTGCTATTTCTCGACACAAAAACACCTGAAAAGAGATGAATTGAAGAGAAGATCTTTGGATCCGATTCTGACCTGATCTGTAAGCGTCGGGTGTTGTTTGGCGTCAAAAAAAGCCGAATTTGCGAACAAAAGTCTTTCGGAATCCATTTTAGTCGTCGTCTCAGACGTCGCGCGCTATTTAAGGAAAGGAATCCAAAAATATCAGAGTTTTGGACGCTTTTAGCGCCGACTCTTCCGACTCTTCCTATACTTACTGTTGAGAACTGTTTAGCAATAAATTGTCGCCAAAATCGGTCGGAAGTCATTTCAGACAATTGGCTGAAGAATAAGTCATTTTCGGAATCCATTTTCAATCAATTTTTGTTTATATTTTCGCCAAAAATAGGATTTATTTTAAAATTCTTTGAATTCTTTAAAATTCTTGAAAAACGCGACAAAAACGACATCTTTTGGCGAAAAAATGAATTTATTTATAAAATGTATAAAAATCTCGAAATAAATACAAAAATTGTGTAAAAATTTGTTAAAAATCATGATTTAAACGACATTTTCTTCGTTTTTATTTAATTTCTTTTTCAGTCTTTCAATCGTCTGGTCATAAGTGGGCGGACCCGTCGGGTGGCGTCGAGGGGGCGGAGCGGCGCTCAGAGCGAGAGCTTCTGAGTGACGAAATCGCGATAATTCTCGTAATTGTTGTAAACGTCTTAATGACGTCACGGACGACGACTCGGAAGACAGTGTCGGAAGAGCTTTTGTCAAATGCGACGAAAACCGCGTTTCGGCCGTCAAATAGTGGCCATAAAACGGATCGGGAGTCAACGGCGGTCCCAATGGAGTCAACGATGGCGGACGGGGAGTCGGGTGTTGAACGCAGTGGTCGGAGAGCGCCAGGAGTTTACGCAAAGCCGTCGAATCGTTGGATTGACCGAAACGAAGACGCAATCTCTGACCGGAAGCGATGGACGCGATATCGGCTGAAGAGTTAGTTGTTGAGGAGGAAAGCGATGGAGACGACGAATGCGATGAGAGAGTGGGCGACGGCTGGACGACAGACGCGGACGACGACAGTGTGGTTGTGGAGGCGCGTGACGTCCCGGACGACGGATGCGGCGGAGGTTCGCATTCAAGACTTTTGGCTAAAACAAGGTTTTCGTCGCAAACGATTCGAGTGAACGACGCGTCCAGAAATTGTCTGAAATTACAATTGATATTAGGTTTGAATTACTTTCGAAGAAGACTTACTGAACGCGTTTTTTCATTCGTTGTTTTTCCCAAAGCTTTCTATAGGAATCGGTTTTTTGCGACTCTTTCGGCGATTGCGGTGTTTGAGACGCCATTTGCGCCATTCTGGTCACTTCTCGGATATTAGTGGACAATAAACGCATTTTTTGCCAATTAATAAGTGTCTGTCCTTCGAATTGAACGCGACTTTCATTCGCTAACCAAATGAAAGACAAATCCTTTTTAACTAAAGGAAAGAACGGAATAACAGGTGAAAGACATCTTCGAACACAAGAACGAAACGAATGGAAGTTTCTCGACGGATCCATCAGAAGATACAATTTCTGCAACTTCTGAAGCGATTTATTCGGCAATTTATCCCATAATGTCTTTTGTCTTTCAACCGCCGAATGAGAAAGACCCGACAAAATGGCGAACAAAGAGTTGAAATTCTGCATTTGTCTGCAGAAGTGCGCCACTCGGATCAACTGTTTCACACTTTTTACGCGTTTTTGTGGCGATTCGTGAGCAAAAAGAACACAATTAATGGTCCAAAACATCTCTTCATTGGTTCGATCTTCAAATGCTTTCAATTCATCCGTCGTTCCGGACGTCGCAGTCGTCGTCGTCGTCCCGGACGACGCTTCCAAGTCTTGAACAAACTGTTGCGCTTCAATGCGTCCAAACAGATCCAGATCTCTGTCCGTGAGTTCTCGTGCAATGGCTTCTCCGTCGAGCGAAAGAAGCGAATTGTCAGTGGATTCTCTTGCGATATCCCGAGTGATGTCGTCGTCTGCGACTGCGCTCTGTTTGAGATCTCCGGCGACACTTTTGAGGACAAGTCTTGCGTCGACTCCGAGATTATTCGCCAAATTCTGTGAGTTTTCGGACAATCTTTTTACGGCCGAAGTTTGGAGTTTTCGGTCGAGAAGTCTGTATTCGAAAAGAGCGAAATCTCGAGAAGAAAATTGCGATAATTGGAACTCAATTAACGCCAATTGAATGCATTCGCGAGCAGTCGTTGTCTTCATAACGGGAAGAAACCGAAAATCAGACTCAAAGTAGACTTTGACGACTTCGGGAGTGGCGTCGGGGGCGTCGGGCGGAAGCGTGGGTGGAGTTGTGTGGGATTGGAGTCTTTGACTCGCGATTTGAACGATTTGTTTGACTTTTTGTTTCCAATTATTGTTTGAATTATTGTTTTGCGAATCAATCGTTCGATTATTTAAAGTCGAAGACAAAGGGATTAAAGGTTTTAAAGAAGCGAACGAAGCGTGAGATGAAGTCATTAACGGTGTTGTTGTCGTGTCTGACAAAGTGGACGACTTTTGGCGGGCGTTTTGACCTAAAAATCAATCGAAAATTAGTTTCAATAAAAAAACGTCGTTCGGGACGACGAAACTAACCGTCAATAAAGGCGTCGAAAAGCGAAGGATCGAAACGCAAAACAAGAGACAAATGAGTGGACGCGCGACACAACCCAAGTGCACGTCCCACTTCCATCACGTGACAATCCACGCCATTTATGGCTAAAAGACGGTCTCCGGGTTGAAGATCTTCGGACAACTCTTCGGACACTTCGGATACAAAAAGTCGCGATTGGACTTCATATCCGCCGATTAAAGAGAACGGAAGCGCGGCGTTTCGGTCGGAACGGGTTATTGTCACGTGTCTGTCACGTGCTTTCGAGGAAAGCGTTAAATAAAAGAGTTTTTTATGAATTTTTGATCTCAAAGTCGTTTCAAAAGCTCTTAAAAGATGTTTTCGTCGCCGAAAGTCTTGAAAATGATTCGAAAGCCATAACAACACGACTTTTACACTTCGATCAGCAGTTCTTTCATTTCTTGCACTTTCGAGAACTCTTTCCATCAGTTGATCCACACATCGATCGTTTGGATCTCTTTTTTCTGACCAAAAAAGACGAAAAGTAAGTAAAAAATCTGCAATAAAGTCGTCGTCCGAATCAGGCGTCGTCTCGGACGACGACTCTTCTGTTAAAAGCATTTCGACGAGTCGGTCACGTGTGGCGCGAATCAGTTCATTGGTTTGCGAGTCTCGAACTTCGATGACAGCATTGTTGTCGTCCACAAGAGTTCGGAACTGCTTTTGACCGCAAATGTCGTCAAATATCACGTGAGGAACACATAAAACCCAAACAAAATCTTCGGCTGTAAATATCTCTCCGAACACTACTCTGTCGTCCAGCGATGCGCCGAATTCGTCGCCGACCGTCAAATAGCGGACGCTTTCGGTTGGGAAATGGCGTTGAGTGCACTGCAAGTCACCGTCTGCACAATCGACGCACGAATCCTCTGAACGTGTCGTCCGGTCGTCGTCCGAGACGACGGCCGACGGAATCACGTGACGTAATGATCCGCAGGCGACCACACAATAGGCGTCGAGTCGTTCTCCATGAGTCAAAACGCGTGTATCTCGCGCTTCAATCTCCGCCAAAACCATGTGACGCGCGAGCAGACGGCGAGTGTTGGCGTCGTGTCTCGCGAGGGCAGAGTCGCGACGGGGATGACCGCTGGGATCGGGCGCCGATTGTCGGGAAACAAGACGCAGAAAGTCGTCGATGAGGTCAATGTCTTCGTCCGAACGATTTGTCGCGTCTCTAATCAAAGCGTTTCGGATTCTATGAAATGATTGTTCGAGTCGTTGGCGCGCGTCGTCCGCGTCGTCGTCCGGGACGTCATCGTCTTCGTGTGCGTCGTCCGTCGCGTCGTCGTCTCGGGCGTCGTCCACAAGACTCTCTTCGAGACCTTCAAAACAAAACTAATGACAAAAACAATCAAAAAAATAAAGACAACAAACCGTCGAAATCAAAGACTCGCGACGATTGTAGAGAAGACGCGGCCGAAGAAGGCGACCGACGGGCGGCGGAAGCGAACGCAGACATGACTGCGGCGGCGGGGGTGGAGGTCAACACTTCCGGTCAAACTTTGGCCACAGTTTCCGTCATTTTCTTCTGTGAGCGCAACGCACGCGCAGAACGCGGACAAAGGGTCGGACATGAAGTACGTCGCGAACGGAATGACCGAAAAATTAATGATTTTTTGGTCGGAATTCGGGTTTGAGTTTGGATTCGGATTTCGGATAAAATTCTTGTAATTTTTAACACAATTTAGAAATAAATAATTTATTTTTGAAATCGATTTGAATTTCAGAAAAAAAATTTGAAAAAAATATTTTGATTTCAAAGAAAAACTGTTTTTAAACCGAAATTAAAACAAAAATTGTTTTTTTCGACTCTTTTTTCGACTCTTTTTTCGTGACTTTTCTTTTGGTTTTTCATTGTCTTCAATATTGTCCACAGATTTGAGAGAATTTTCCCGAAAAAAGCCGAAAAAGTGTTTAATTCCCGGAAATGTCGAATCAATTGTTTGAATTCAGTTGAGTTCCGACTCTTCAGTGACCTCTTTATCGTATTTTCCATTTCCCGACGACTTTGATCCCGAAGACATGACTTCCCGATAGATGTGTCCATAAATGACGTTTCGATGAGTAGTTTTGCGCATTTGATAGTTTTGCGCGTGAGTTGCGTCGTCTGAGTCGTCGTCTATTGAGTGACGTCTGAGACGACGAAAACCGCAGAGAAATAGAGAGAAATTGAGTGAAAAATGTCGGACAAAATGTCGAATCAAACGAATCAGACTTTAATCGCTTCTTCAGCCGCCGTCGGAGGACCCAAAGTCTCCACCACTGATCGCATCGTAAAGAGTGAGTAGTCTTTAGTGTCTTTTGATTACTATTTCTATATGAATATTAGGCGTTCCGTTCCCGCCGTCGCATAAGCTGTCAATGGCCGAAGTTTTCGACGCAAAGACTGGAAAACCGAAGACCGAAGTCTTGAAACAGCATTTTATTCTCGAAGGAAGAATCGATGAAAACGTGGCTCTTCGCGTCATCAACGAAGGCGCCACTCTGTTGCGGTCGGAAAAGACAATGATCGACATCGAGGCTCCCGTCACCGGTTTGTCTCTATTCATCTCTTCCAATGACTATATCTTCGTATCTCTTAGTCTGCGGCGACATCCACGGCCAGTTCTACGATCTGATGAAACTGTTTGAGGTCGGGGGCCCGCCCTCCTCCACGAAGTACCTGTTTTTGGGGGATTACGTGGACCGTGGTTATTTCAGTATTGAATGCGTTCTTTACTTATGGTCTTTGAAACTCTGTTTTCCGACGACTTTATTCCTCTTGAGAGGAAACCACGAATGCCGCCATCTCACCGAATACTTCACTTTCAAAACTGAATGTAATCATTGATCCGTTAATCCATTGGCTAATCCGTTGATCCATTTTAAGGCAAAATCAAATATTCGGAACGCGTTTACGACGCTTGTATGGAAGCATTCGATTGTCTGCCTTTGGCCGCACTCATGAACGGACAGTTCCTTTGTGTCCACGGAGGTAAATCATACATCCTTAATCTGATCCCATTCTCAATAACCCATTCACAGGTCTGTCGCCCGAAGTGCACACTTTGGAGGACATAAAGAAACTTGATCGTTTCAAAGAACCGCCGGCTTTCGGCCCGATGTGTGATCTTCTGTGGTCGGATCCGTTGGAAGACTTCGGCAACGAGAAGTCGAATGTCGAGCATTTCACGCACAATTCGGTGCGTGGGTGTTCCTATTTCTACAGTTACGGCGCGTGCTGTGAATTCCTTCAACAAAACAATTTGCTTTCAATAATTCGCGCGCACGAAGCGCAGGACGCGGGCTACCGGATGTACCGGAAGTCGGTGGTGACGGGATTCCCGTCGTTGATCACGATATTCTCGGCTCCCAACTACCTCGACGTCTACAACAATAAGGCGGCCGTTTTGAAGTACGAAAACAATGTAATGAATATTCGACAATTCAATTGTTCGCCGCATCCCTATTGGTTGCCCAACTTTATGGACGTCTTCACCTGGTCTCTGCCTTTCGTCGGCGAAAAAGTCACCGAAATGTTAGTCAATTTGCTGAATATCTGTTCGGACGACGAACTCATTCAAGAAGGCGAAGAAGAAAGCTTCGAAAGCGAACTCGAAGGTAAGCAGCCATTCGATTATCGATTGTCTCACTATCGATTCATCGATCTATCGATCCATCGCAGCCTCCGCGCGCAAAGAAGTCATTCGCAATAAGATCCGCGCAATCGGCAAAATGGCACGTGTCTTCTCGGTTCTTCGCGAAGAATCGGAATCAGTTCTTCAGCTCAAAGGTCTCACTCCAACCGGAACTCTTCCGTTGGGCGCTCTTTCGGGCGGAAAACACACTCTGAGGAACGGTATGTCTTTTAATATTAGATTTTTTGTTTACTAAAAGCCGGTATAGCTTTGGCAGGATTCTCTCCGCACCACAAAATCGCCAGTTTCGAAGAGGCGAAGGGTTTGGACAAAATGAACGAACGAATGCCTCCGCGAAAGGACGCGCCTCCCCCGCCGCCTCCAACAACCGAAAAGTCGCCGATCGATAGCTAATCAACAAAACATCCGAAAAATCCCTTTTATTTCACTCTTTTTTTTCATTCAAACATTGATTTTGTCATTAAAACTGCATTTAAAGCCAAAATCATTCGACATTTGATCCAAATTTCAATCGATTTGTCTTTAATTTCAACTAAAAATTGCTTTAATTTCTGATCAAATGTTTTAATGTTTTATCAATTTTTCGATTTTACGCCAAATTTTAATCAAAAATAACCAAAAATATTAATACTTTTGAAGACAATCTCAAATAACGGACTGTTTTTTGTGCATTTTATTCAGTGTTTTGTGAAAATTATTGTTTTTTTTAGTGAAAACTCGACTTTTATTTCAGATTTTTTGACGAAATTAATGAAAACCTTAAAAGCCTTTTGTCTTTAATTAAATGCAGAAAAATATGGAAAATATTTAAATTCATATAAATATTGAATATTTTATGTAAAAAACACTTCATTTCCTCTAAAAAACAACTTTTTGAAGCGATTTTCGTATTTATCGCTGAATTGTGTTTCAAATCAATAATTTTCGGCACAAATGACTTAAATGTCGTCAAAAAACAAAATCCGGTTTTTCGTGCACTTTATATGACTTTTAATCACTTGTAAAACCATTTAAAAAACGACTTCTTTTTCAATATTTTTATAATTATTATTGAATTACATCTGAATTGAAATTAAAAATTCAGAAATAATTGAAAAGAAGACAAACTTTTTTGGCCAACAATTGAAAAACAATTCATTGAATTTGTGAACAAATTATAGCCAAATGTTCACCAAAAACAGCAAATAATTCAAGATTTCATATCAAAAAAGCAATTATTGTCACAAAAATGGATTGAAATCAATGGATTTGAAGCCAAACCCAATGGAAAGTGCAATAATTGAATGAATTATTAAATATTATTAAACAATAACCTCATAATTAATATATTGTTAATCGAATTTCTTATCATTAAAACCAAGATTTTATTATAAATGGATTGAAAACTCTATTCAAATATTGTATTATTTATTATAATTATTATTGTTATTAGAAATACACGAAAATCTCGATTTCAAGACTTAAATAACATTACATTTAATATAATTTTCATTCAATTTATGTTTTGTTTATATTTTATAAAACAATTGTTAATCAATTATATATTTATTATTTGATTTTTATTTAAGTTTATTTAGTTTTAAATCTTTTGTTATTTTAGTTAAAAACAAATAAATGAACTGTTTTTGTGATATTTTGAGTTTTGTTTCAATTCAGATGCAAATCAACTCATTTTTCACTGATTTTTGTGATTAGTTTTCAACAGATTTTTAGTCACAAAAATTCAAACTATTGTTTGAATCATTATTTGGACTAAAATTTCGAAAATAATTGCAATAATTATCAGAAAAAATATTGATTTTTCGCATCAATTGTTAAAAAATATCAAAATTAATAAATTTAGTGAAAAATAATAAAATATTTACTCATTATTATTAATATTAAACACAATTAAACATTAAAACCCTTTTTGGCTGTAATTTTAATATTAATTTTCCGAATATATAAATATTATAAATATTATAAATATATAATAAATATTAAAATTGTTTATAAAAATTAATTATTTATTAATAAATGTTTTATATGTCAAAAAAAATTCATTTCTTTTCTCAAAATTCAAAAGAAAAAAATGTATTTTAGAGATAAAAATCCGAGAAATAAACAAAAATAAACACATGATTAACGAAAAGGCGATAAAAATTCAGTATTTATTACGAAATTTGTTTTATTTATAACCGATTTCTATATAAAACTCGAAATAAATTGTTTTTCATATTGTTTTGATTGAATATTTGATGAGAAATGAGTGGACTTTCGGTGAAACTGTTGAGTCTGTTGTTTGGTTTGGGTTCGTGGGTCGCCGTCACCGGTCTTTGGCTCGAAATCCCGGTTTTGATCCAACATTTGCCGGAAGGTTGGTCTTTGGCTTCGGATCTGAATTTCGTGATTCAATTGGCAAATATTGGACCCGTTTTCTACTATTTTCTGCGAAAATACGGATTTTTGAATGAAACGAAAGCTTCTCATGGATTACTAGCCGTCGGAACGCTTTCTTGTCTTCTATTGATGACCAGTTGGAAGCGAACCTTCCGACTCTTTTCAAGGGAACGTTCGGTGCCTTTGTTTGTGTCGACATTTGGATTATCATTATTAGACACGACTTCTTCCGTCACTTTTCTTCCATTTATGTCTCGTTTTGATCGAAAATATTTGACTTTTTATCTCATAGGAGAAGGTATTCAATCATTCAATCAATTAATCCGTGAATTAATCCGTGAATTAATCGCAGGTTTGAGTGGTTTTATTCCAACAATTTTCGCCTCAATTCAAGGCATTCAAGAAACGGACGAAAACTGTGACCAAAACTCGACTCAAACGCAGAGTTCGTCTGAATTGAAGTTTTCGTCGGAAATCTTTTTTTCTTCGCTTTTAATAACTTTATTCATAAGTTATTTGTCTTTTATTTTACTACAAATTCTCTCTAAAAAACAGTCAAAACTTCGAGAAATCCCTGAAAAAGACATTCAATTTTCAACAAAAAAAGTAAACATTTTTATATAGAATTTCAATACAAATAATGTTTTCAGTCCTTAGAGTCGAAAAAATGTCTGTTTTTCGTAATATTTTTGAGTTGTTTTTCCACTTTTGGAGTTTTGCCTTCAATTCAAGTAATTTTCAATCAATTTATTAATCAATTAATTAATTAAAACCAAATTTTCTTTAAGCCGTTCGCGACTCTTCCGTACGGATCGGCAACTCTTCACCGAACAGTCATTTTCGGCGGACTTTCTTCTCCTTTCGGATCTTTTTTTGCAATGTTTTTCAAACCAAAGGATTTCGTCATAAATTTGTTGACACTTTTCGGTCACGTGATCGCCATTTATATCTTATTTTCGGCTCTTTTGAGTCCAAATCCGTTCTTCAGCGCAAGTAATCCGACTCTGGGCTCGACTTTAATCACGATTTTGTGGATTATTTGCTTTTTAACGCTTTCTTACGTCAAAACAGTCGTAACTCTAAGAATCGGCGATAATTTGGGAGAAAAAGGTCTTTTTTGGGTCGGATTTCAGACACAATTCGGAGCTTTTTTTGGAGCAATTCTTCTATTTTTTATCATTAATTATACAAATCTTTTTCAAAATCAATGTTAAAAATCTATTTCTAATTAAAAAAGAGTTTTTAAACAAAGACTTCATAAAAACCTAATTTTTTAATCAATTATTAATCAATTAATTAACAAATTATTACAAAATTTCAAATCTTTTTCTTATAAATCAAATCCAAAACAAAACAAGAAATAAACAGAAAAACCATTCAAAGACTCTCAAAGATTGAAAAGTCTGGTGAATGACAAAAACCATTGTCCAAGAAGTCCGTGAAGTCATCTCAAGAGATCCGTCATTCAAGCGTTTCCACAAACGAGGTCCGCATTCACGGGTTTTAATCAATTATCAGACAGTTATCTGAACTCGAAGTCAACATTCAATACAAATAAACGCAAAAATTATGACATTTTTAACTAATCTTTAATTTACAGAAAAATAAACACATTTTTCAACAAAACTTTTATTAAATGATAGAAAAATCGCAGAAATTATTGAAAAAAGTTTGAGTTTAAAATCCAAATCTATTTAACATTTATTACAATATTTGCAGAAAATTTGTAACAATTTTAATGCATTTTATTTCATATCTAAAAATCTTTATTCAATTAAAAGCAATAAAAACAAGAATTTTATCACAAAATGTAATAAATTTTCGATTGATTTGTAATAATATTAACATAAAAATTGTGTCGATTTTACCCTTCAGGGAGTCATTGATTAAAATAATCCGAAAAAATGGCGAAAAACTACTTGTTTTCCAATTTTGAAAGCAATTCATGAAAAAAATATTATTTTTATTGCTTTTTATACAATATATTGTCGACAAATGTAATAACAAAACGAAAACAATACACAAAACACTGAAAACTAATCTTTTATTTACACAATTAGAGAGACTTTGAATCGGATTTTGTTATTTGATTTCAAAAATCAGAAAAAAGACTTTTTTTCGCTTCAATTCAATGGTTTTTTACGCCAATTCTGAACCAATTTTATGCTAAAATATTCAATTATTTCTTAATTAAAAGTCAATGTTATTAACCATTAATTAAATTTTGGAAATTTTATGCATTTTTTAAAAGCATTTTTCGATTCATTTTTCGAATTATTCATTAAATTCACAAAATTTTTGTCAAAATTAAACATAAAATGATATAAAAGTATATTAAATAAACTTTTTTTATCAGATATTTAAATATCTATTAATAATAATTAAAATTTGGATTTTTTGAGAGAAAATTTCTGATAAAACGCTTTTTGAGTAATATTTGTATAAAATTTAAGGAATTTTTTGAGAAAATTATTTGTCAAATGAGAGACAGTTTTATCCAAAAAAATGTAATATTCTTTGACATAATTTAGCGGTCATTTCACTTACTGTTTATTTACTGAATATTTGATAAAAAAATGTCTGAAATTTTAATATAAAGTTCAGAAAAGTATTTAAATAATCGATTAATAAATCAAATAAATAGTAATAAAATTTAATATAAATTATAAAATAATAATTAAATTTCGATCAAAATTTACGTTTAAAAAGCATTTCTGAAATATTTAAAAAATGATATTTTAATTTAATATTTAGTAAAAAACTATTAATAATTCTATCATTTTTTAAATAATTTTATTAAAAAAATGTCAGAAATTCTAGTTTTTATGTCGTGTTTAATGTCTTTTCGTGAATATATTTATTATTAATATATATAAAGGACAGTAAGCGACCCCCATTACCGACCCCCGCATAGGAGTGGCTTTAAGTGTGTATTAATATATATAAAAGACAGTATACGACACTCATTAACGACACCCACATAGGAGTAGTTTTGTGTGTATAGCACTAGCACTGTGTGTGTGACTGTGAACTACAGTAAGCTATACAATACATCTACAGTACATGTATTAACATAACACACTTAAACACATTATAAGCATTGATATCATATGTGAGACATAGGCAACACTTTTACAGAGAGTCTTAAATAGTGGCGGCGGAGATGATATTAATTACAATTATATGGTCATCAACACATTTAATTAAAAAGTGACCAAGGGCAATGTTGTAGATGATTTTAAACTAAATAAAATTGTAATTGGTCATTTTTAAATTAATTGTATGATTTGCCAGATAAATGCAGTCGACTATCATTTATAAATTTTTTAAACAGTCGACTGTAAATTATTTAGCATATAATACAATTAATTAAAAAATGACCAATTACAATTTTATTTATTTTAAATTTATCCACAACATTGCTCTTGGTCACTTATTAATTCAACGTATTGTTCACCAGATAATTGTAATTAATAGCATCGCCGCCGACGCTGTTTAAGATTATGTGACACTTTCACAAAGTTTTCATAACATTTCAAAACTAATATTTCAAATTATTTGTCGCTATTGTCTCAATAAATACTATCCTTGAATTAAAATATATTTATAATAAAAATTTTGATTTAATTTAATTAAAACGGGCCGTAATTACGGGCTTTAAAGTCTTGTATTATAATAATTGAAAGCGAAAACTGTGTGAATGTGTGGGCAGTCAATCTGTATATGAAAAATGTCAATGAATTTGAAGGAAAACGACATTATATTTATCAACATTTATCCGAAACAAAACATTTGCTTTTTATTTATAATTTAATTCTAAAGAATATATGTTTTTCATTAGTTTTTTATAATAAGAGATGAAATGTTATTATTATTAATGAATTCATTGAATATTTCATCAAAAAATACATAAACTTTGTTATAAAATAATATTTAAACAAAAATATTTGCATTTTTAATTGCATTTATTTAAACAAAGTTTGAATTCTTTAATATTAAAAATTTTAAACTAATTTATTGTTTTTTATAACATTTTTAATAAAACAAAATTCGCTTCAAATTAAGAATATTTATTAAATAAATAGGAAATTATTGGTCAGAATATTATTATTTGAAAATAAATCGATAAAAGAGTTGTTTTTCAATTAATTTCACACAATATTTAACACATAAACACATAATCCACAGAAACAACAGAAACAACACTATTAAACACAAAATTTTTAATTAATGTCAAATCTATTGTAATAACGCTTTTGTTTTTTAATTAAATGACTATTTGTTGGAAAAGAGACTGAGATTTGACATCAAATGAATGTATAAATAGATAACAGTTTTAACATTGTTTGGAAAACACAACAAATATATGACAAACAATACGTTATAATCAATACAATCGTCGAAATAATTCATTTTCCTATTAAATCCTTATATTATTAGCGAAACATCTTTTTATTTCATTAATTAATTTATTTTATTAATAAATATTTGTAAAAATAGTAAAAGATTTGAATAAGTTTTTAATAATAAAACAAAATCCCAGAAATAGTAAATTAAATTTTGATCTCTTTTTAGATTACTTTTCATTCAATTTGTTATAAAAAACGATTTTTTGTTTATCAGAAACACAAATATTAGTGAAATATAAGACGAGTTTTGGATAATAATAATGACATTCAATAGTATTAGAAAAGATTGAAATAAAATATTTAATAATAATTTTGTCTTAGATTTAAATTATATTTTATTTCAGTTTTTGAGAATATTTTTTGCGATTTTTATAATTTCATACAATTTTAAAACAATCAGAAATTTTTTCCACAAAAATACTGTTATTTTTGATATAATTTTTGAATTTCAGTCATAAAAATCAATTCAATATTACTTTAAAAATATAATGTTTTTCTAAATATTTTTATAAATAAATAATTTTATAGAAAAATTGGATTAAAAGTCGAGAAAAGAGTTAATTATAACTAAATTAGAAAACACTTAATATTCATGAAAAAAATAAACAGAAAATATGTTTTTAAATGAATTCAAAAGAAAGACTGAAAATGAAGCGCAAGAGTCGTCTGAAAACAAACAAACAGTCATTGAGTGCTCTCAAGAGGATAGGTTTGCCATCACTTGAAAACACATTCAGAGAGAGAGAGACAACAGTTCTCTCATTCAGTGATTGATTGAAAAGAGTGTCAGAAGTGTTGAGAAAGAGATTCACAAAACTTGAAATCAATTTTTTAAAGTTTTTCCAAATTATTACTAATTTCTAAAAAAAACAATTTCTTATAAATCAGTGATAAATGTGACTAAAAATCAGAGAAATGTCGGAAATATTGACCGAAACATCGAATCCGCGGCGAAGTGAGTCGTATTTGAAGATAAAGAGGTTGTTTGTGTGGTGTTTGGTTGGGACGACTTTGTTGACGATTGTGGGTCTGTTTTGGGCGCTGAAGACGGGTCAGGAAGAGTTGGATTTGGCCAACAGTGCCGAAACCGATCGCGACGTCCGACACATGTATCAAACGATTCGTCCGTTTCTGTCGTCTTTGATCGTGTTTTTGGTGGTAATCGAGTG